GAGAGTCGACAGTTCTGGTGGGTTTGGCGTCGATCACTGATTCTCATACTCTAATAACTTGGCGGTCACCGATCCTCGAATGCTGGTAGGATGAATATGGGTAAACAAAGGACTTGACTTAACTTAGGACTTGGTGTCTGACTCAGCCTGACAATCAAATTGCTGTGATTGGCTCGATGGTACTTTAGTGCTAGTCTCAGCTTGACCCTATCGGCCTTGAGGTGGGTCTGAGTAGGAAACCCTGCTAAGACTTATTTTTTTGGTGTATCGCCCGATATATAATATTTATACCCTACGTATATATAATTCTTAATAAAAATACGTAATTACGTGATATAGCCTTTCTTGGAATTCCCTGAAAAAAGTCGAATAAATAGTTAAATAGGCTTTTATTAAATTAGAAGTTATAGTATAGTAATTAAGAAGTAGACTTTTAATTTTATTTTATTAAAAAATTTAGTTAACTTAGCTATAGTAGCGATATTAGTATTTAAGAATATTATACGTCTTAATAGATGCGTAGATATTATATAGGAATTCCTTTATAGTATATAATCCTCGGGGTAACCGCTATGATACTCGTCGGATCGACGATATAATATATTAGAGAAAATGCCGTAGCCTCGCTAGTTAGTTTATTACTTCGGTTAGACGTTATAGTCTCCCTCTATTTTTTGGATGGCCAGGCTTATAAGAGTCGCCGCGGTAATAGATGTAAACAAATAAATAAGTAAGTAAGTAAGCAAGTAAGTAAGCAAGTAAGCAAGTAAGTAAGTAAGTAAGCAAGCAAGTAAGCAAGTAAGCAAGCAAGCAAGTAAGCAAGCAAGCAAGTAAGTAAGCAAGTAAGCAAGCATGTATGGCGGAGAGTAGAGCGGAGAGCGAAGCGGAGATAATTTATTCTTTTAATGTGAAGTTAGATATTGATAGCGGCGATATCGATGAATGAGAATATCTCGTATGATGTCGGAGTCTCTTATGGGTATATGAAATATAGAAAAAGACGTCTTTGAATGTAGAAAGGTCTACGTTATCGTTATAAACGATCTAATTAAATATCGCTTAATTATCTTTACGCTATAATTCTAAAAAAATATTAAAAAATATTAAGCTCTAGATCTATTAGTAGTTAGTATATTTCTTATTAAAGAAGATTAGAAGTTAAGTAATATTTCTCTTTACTTTAAACGTTAAAATATTTTTCTCTTTACTTTTATATTTAAAAATTAAATATATAACTTTTTTTCTTTATTTTAGAACTGGTTCGCTAAATATTTTAAAACTTTATATTTATTAGAAGAAAGAATATTTCTATAAATTATAAAGAGATTAATATATATAATTCGAAAATATCTCGCTATCGTTATTAAAGAGAAAATCGCATATCTAAGCGCCTCTTATAGTCTTCTTATTTATTTAAATTCGTTTTAAACGCGTTAAGCGCGTTAAAATTATTTAAGATATATATTTTATACTTTCTCTAACTTCTAAATAATATATTTTCGAGTTAATAAATATATATATAGAGGAGATAGCTTTAATACTCGATTTTTATTAAATAGTAATATAATTAAACTTATAATCTAATTATTATACTCGACTCGTTATATAATCTTTTTAATAATATTAAATATAATATATTATCATCTAGAATTTAATTATTAAAAAATAATCGATTAAAGATAAATACTATAATCGTTAGCGAAGAATATATATTCGAATAAGCTTATACGATAATAACGAGCTATTTAATTATAATAAAAAGTTTATATACTTATTTAGTAACCTCGAAAGGTCTATTATCTTTTTAATTAATATTAAAAGACTATATAATAATAGTTGGAAAATTAAAGGAAATCGCGACTTTTCGATAATGGGGTAATTATTGCGGTAGGTTTATATAAATTAACGATTAATATAGCGATTTGAAAATTTCCTACTTAGACTTTAAGAGAGGGGTATATCGTAATAAGCTTACGATATGATTAGTTCCCGAAGCGAGATATGAGTGTAGGGCTGGCCATAGGTACCCCGGCTAGCCGTGAGTCTGAATTACTGAGACTACTTTAGTGCTTACCTTAGCCTTCGCACGTCACGGGTTTACGGCTAACATCCGACAAATCAGCCGGTCACCGTATGTTTGGATATTGACACCATCAACTCTACTATCCAACTGTCAATTGCACAGACAAACAGCCATACTACGGTACTAGAACCTAATCTTCACAATGGAGGCTCTACTGAGGCAATCCCGCTCCATGTGCCCCTTCCTCAACAAGACATCTCCCGCCACCCTTCGATCCCTCTCCACCACCACTCGCCATGTTTCTCCCGGTGGAGGAACCATGTCCAATCTCCAGGTCCTCGCTCGTCGCTGCCCTGTCATGGGCAAGGCAATGAATGCCCAGGCTGCAAAGACCGGCACCAATCCTTTAAATGGCGTCTTTGGTGGGGTCCGGGCCTACGGTGGGAAGGCAAAGATCCATACTTCGAGGCCTCAGAAAGCGTCCGTGGCATCTGACACTTTGAGGGACAAGTTGCATGGTACGTCAAGCTAGCCTATCTTCTGTGAGTACCCATTGACTGACGTTGCGAGCAGTGCCTATCCATCATACCCAGAAGCCGAAAACAAAGGTCCAACCAGAAGCTGTCGCTCCAGGTCCAAAACCTGCGGCTCCAAAACTGGCCACATTCGACTATGAAGGCTTCTACAACACCGAGCTGGACAAGAAGCACAAAGACAAATCCTATCGTTACTTCAACAATATCAATCGCCTCGCTCAAGAGTTTCCTCAAGCCCACATGACAACCCGGGACGAGCGCGTCACGGTCTGGTGTTCCAACGACTACCTAGGCATGGGCCGCAACCCGGAAGTTTTGAAGACGATGCATGAAACTCTGGATACCTACGGTTCCGGCGCGGGAGGTACCCGCAACATCTCCGGTCACAACCAACATGCCGTAGCCCTTGAATCGACCATTGCCCGCCTGCACGCGCAGGAAGCAGCTCTAGTCTTTTCCTCCTGCTACGTCGCCAATGATGCCACTCTCGCTACTTTGGGTAGCAAACTCCCAAATTGCGTCATCCTCTCCGACAGCATGAACCACGCTTCTATGATCCAAGGCATCCGGCATTCTGGCGCCAAAAAGCTCGTCTTTAAACATAACGACCTTGCAGACCTAGAAGCCAAGCTTGCTTCTCTACCCCCAGACGTCCCTAAGATCATCGCTTTTGAGTCTGTTTACAGCATGTGTGGTTCTATCGGACCTATCGAGGAGATTTGTGACCTTGCCGACAAATACGGCGCTATTACCTTTCTAGATGAAGTTCATGCTGTGGGCATGTACGGACCACACGGCGCTGGCGTTGCAGAACACCTAGATTATGAAGCCCATGTCGCTGGTCGACCAAAGGGCACGATTATGGATCGCATCGACATTATAACCGGCACTCTCGGAAAGGCCTACGGATGCGTTGGTGGCTATATCGCAGGCTCAGCCAAGATGGTCGATACCATTCGCTCGCTCGCACCTGGCTTCATCTTCACCACTTCCCTCCCACCTGCGACGATGGCAGGCGCGAAGACAGCGATTGAGTACCAAATGGACTTCCAAGGCGATCGCCGCTTGCAACAAGTGCATACTCGCTCGACTAAGCAGGCTTTGGTCGAAAAGGGTATACCAGTCATGCCAAATCCAAGTCATATCATCCCGGTCCTCGTCGGCAACGCGGAGCTCGCTAAACAAGCGTCCGACCTACTGTTGAAAGATTGGGGCATCTACGTACAAGCCATTAACTACCCTACCGTTCCTGTCGGCGAAGAACGCCTCCGCTTCACCCCTACGCCTGGCCACGTCGAGAAGTACCAAACAGAGCTGGTAATAGCCTTGGACGCGGTCTGGAACCAGCTCAGTATCAAAAGGACAGCTGATTGGGCAGCGCAAGGTGGCTTTATAGGTGTAGGGGTTGATGCGGAAGCAGTGGAGCCGTTGTGGACAGATGAGCAGCTGGGACTCCACAGCCGAGCCGAGAGAGCAGGCCTCAGAGTGCTGGAGGAAGAGAAGGCGATTCAGGGCTCTATCGACGAGATGGGTGAGCTTCCCCGTGCCGTGGCAGCCGCCGCTTGAGCTTGAGCTTTGCCAGGAACGTAGAGATATGGAAGGAAAAAGCCGTAAAGTTTGGAAGGATGCGGAGAAACATCAGCGATTGGGACAACATTAAAGCTACGTGAGCATGATCATGACTATGTATGACGAATCCTCAGGATATAACATCATTTCAACGACCAACTCCACAATGCCTTGTTGACCCAAATCTCCCTTCTCTCCCTCCCCTCCACCCTGCCACCAGACTCCCAACCCACAAGCTCCACCCCCTCAAGCTACCGTCACGACCTCCCCCACTCTTCCCTGAGCTCGAAATATCCGTCATTTGGATCCTATCATACCTAAAGCCTTCATCCTCTAACCTCAACGCCTTTCTGAACGGTTGCATTACACTCCTCGTGTACTCTGCCTGCCTGTATTATCGCTCTCCCGAGCTGCTTAACTCGTATCTAATGCATGTTTGATTTTCATTTTTTGTGGGCTCTCATGCTTTGAGGCTGGTTGGGATCGTGTTGATTCTTCTCGGCCCTGTTGCGACAGTGATGAGGGGGTAATGAGGTGGTAAGGTGGTGGTAAGGTGGTGGTAAGGTGGTGGTAATGAGGTGGTAAGGTGGGTTTGAGATTGATTGGTTGAAATGCGGTTGTTTTTGCTTTAGGTACTGGAGATGGATGGATGGATGTAGGCGGGAGGGGTTGGAGGAAGGAGGACTGCTGTCACTGCTTCCGGTGTCATGATTTCGATGGTTCGTCGCTCGCTTGTGGATTGTACAGGCGTAGGTGGTAGGTAACATTTGCAACGTTAGGGTTGGGTTTTGGATACATGGTGCGTCAAAATCCTGCGGTTCCAGTCTTCACTGTTCATCATCCATCCCGCTTTCCCTTCTTGATATCATTATTTAAACGATGTTTCCCCACCGCCTAACACCCCTTCCCTCCTCCAACTCCACAACCCACCACAGACTCTCCTTCGCCTTCTCCACCTGCCCACCCTCCTCGTACGCCCTGGCCAGCGCAAACCACGCCTCGCTGTTATCCCACCCCGTTCCACTCTTGGTCAGTGCGGATAAGAGACCATAGGCTCGATCACGAGCTGCAAGTCTGGATAGTCGATCTGGTGTGGTGGTGCTGTCGGAGTTGTTGTGGGTGGTAATGTTAATTTGCTGGGAGGGCAGGGGAGGGAGGGAAGCAAGCGTGGGCGTCGAGGGTGGTGGTTCGACTGGGATGGCAGGGGTGACAGTGGGAGGTGAGGCGGAGTAGGCGTCTAGAAGGATGTTGCAGAGGCCGACGGTCGCGGCCGCGTGATCTGGGAAGTGTCCCAGTGCCGTTTCGTATGCCGCCGACGCTTGGTCGACATTTCCCAGCGAGGTGTGTAAAGCCGCTCGTTCAGCAAGCACGTCAGCCCACAGCTCGCCGCAGGACTTAACCCCACCGTAGCCTGGCATAGCAAAGTTTTCAGCGCTGCTGCCTTCGCGTTTCGATATAAAGGTTTCGATCGATTGCACATGAGTGGTGGCTTCTGAGAGGGCGCCTTGAGCGTCGGTAGGCATGGAGGCGCGGCGGTAAAGTGATGCTATCAAGAGCCAGATCTTTGTGAGGAGGGTTAGAGTATGGCGGCTTTGGTCTGCCGGAGAGAATTGTGGTTCTGCAAGGGGAGGAAACTTGTGGAGGGTTATCGGCTGAGGGCGTTGGCGTTGAGAAGGTGGTGGCTTGGGGGCGACAGGGTAGGTATTGGGGTTCTTTTTGTCCATGTTTGCAGTCGCTGAGGGGATGAAGTGGAGAGGGTTGGGCGGGTCGGATACAGCTGCTGGAGACGAAGGCATCGAGGGCATATCGTGGGAGATGGCAACGCCAACTTCATCGGAAGCGTAGCTGCCGTCCCCGTAGACGGAGCCATCGCCATGTCCATCTGCTGGTGTAGTTTTATTGTGTCGATGTCTTGTGGGAAGACCTAAGCTTATGCGCTTTCGAGATCCATCCGCTGTAGAGGTCCTGGGAGGACTTGCAGCTCGACCTTTTCGGATGCTGCCCATGCTCTTTCGGCTGTTGCGCTTGCGGAGCTTCTTCGATTCATGTCGCCCGAGGAAATGTGAGTGATGGTTCGAATCCTGCAGTGTTGAAGCCGTGTCACTGGTTACTGAGATAGTCGGCGCCTGAATAGCCTGGTCAGTGGCTTCAGAAGATGGCAACGAGCTTGAATTCGTGTTCTCAGCTCTGCCGGTATTCTTTCGAGATGGTAGGCCTAAAACGCTAGCTCTGAAACTTCGCGGTGTCGATGTCCCATTGGTGTTTGCAGGAGATGAAATCACTCTTTCAAGTGGCTTATCTGGGGACTTAAAAAGCTTGGTGTAGAGACCTAGTAGCTCTCCACTAGCATTGACAGCTTCCTCCGGGCCGTCCACAACCTCTGCGAGTGCAAGCTGGGTCATCTTCACTTCTATGATATTCTTCCTTTCCGACCACTCCAGGTCTTTCAGCGAGTCCAGTAGCTTGAGGTCTCCGTAAAGGATCGCTTTGCCCCCATATATTTCGAGAGCTGCTTCACAGGAAGCTATTGCTGTCGAGAAGTTCTGCCTCGCACTAAGCAACAGGGCTAGAAGATGCCAACATCTAAGCAGGAGTCCTCGTCTGTCTGGATCAAAGTCTGATCCGTCTTCAACGCTGTCACCTGCGAAATCTGTTGCAGAAACCCCGTTCGTGTTGGGCCCACGGCTGCTAGCAGACAACGCTTGTTTGGTGGCGGCGATAGCACCATCCAAATCTCTGGTCTCCGCAAGTACGAACGCAAGTGAATAAAGGAATTCGACGTTGCGTTCCTCTCCAAACTCAGGATCCAAAGCAATTCGGAAGTCAGCTATCGCCTTTGCCTGTAGGTCTGGTCGCGATGCAGTCTCGTAAGTCAGCCGCGCCCAGCAGGATTGACTGATACCTAGAGCATGGTATCCAAGAGCCAAAGCTTTCCCTGAAACAGGAGGTCTGGATGGTTTTTGTTGATCTACCAAGTCTTCAGGTACATCTTCGGCACTTACAACAGGCTTTGGCGATGAAGTTGAATGCAACCTTTGAAGCCAATTGTCTGTAACATGAGCAATACCCAAGGCCCTCTTAGCTTCCTTTCGCCGTCCGTAAGTGCACAGCATTTTGATACCTGCAGCGGCTGTGGCTAAGGAAGTTTCGTCGTCGTCGAGGCCTATCTCCGGCTCTCCAGAATTCTCCACTCTTGCTTTGCCCTTGACGAGTATCTGCAGGTAAGAATCGAGTGCTTTGGTAGCAACATCAAATTCTGCTATAGCTGCATGTACAATGAAAAGGTGGCGAAGTACCCTTGTTGAGTGAAAGCTTTTGGTAGCTGCTCGATAGAGGACCTGTGAACGGTACTGTTAGCGCTCCTTTTCGTGGACCAATACCATGTCCTCAAAAGCTGTTGCTATACAGAAAGCGACCTACGTCAAGCACTCCGCGGCCTAAAGCAGCTTTGCCCCCTTCTCCAAGCTCTTCGTCTTGCCATGTATGACCGCACATAACCCCCCAATTCGCCATTACCTGATCGACCCAGCTTTCAATTTGTGAATTGGCTTCATCTGCCCTTGGAAATGAGGTCTCTTTAAGAAGAATACTTTCATAGGTGGCTTCGACTTTCTTGAGCTCTATGCCTTGTTGTAACCTGGAGTCGAAGACGTGCTGGGTAGTCTCACGCTGTAACAAGATAGATAACGTGTCGTAATAATGACCCCATGTACGCATGTAGGAGTTATGCCGGTCACCGGCCTTGAAAAGCGTACCCGTGATTGACGCACTTTTGGTATCCCAATATTTTGAATACGCGCGAAAGGGTGCAAGAACCCTCGATGGTGGCACTGCCAGTATCGAAGGTGACACTTGGTTGGCTGAAACGTGACGGCTAGAAAGCATACAGTGGCGAGTAAGAAGACTCTCTGTCCAGTACCGATTTTCCGGAGTATTTGCAAATGTGGAAGGTAGGCTTGTGATGTACGGCAGCATTGACTCATAAGTCCGAATCGCCTCCCCCAGACTGTTCGTTTCCTCCAGCGAGAGACCTGGTTCCTTGAGCAACTGTTCCTGTCTGACCAAATTGGGCATGCATACGTACCACGTAGATAGGCGCCTTTGATGATACACACCTGTGTCCAGCGCGCGGTGATCCCTCCATCTTGGCTCAAGCGATCAGAGACTCGATCGAAAGTCGGCGGCAGAATCGAAAGTGCCAGGGTGGGGTCCCCAACAATCGAATGTATCCATCCCAAACATATCTGTGCTTGGAATGCGTCTTCATTGAATGCTTTCTCTTTTTCGGTCGCAGCTTGTAGGGGGGGTATCAACTGGGACAGAGCGGTCGCGGATGAAGAGGTGATAGGTCGGCCGGATACTTCAGCTATGCGGCGTTCGGTCTGTGCAGTAAGAATGAGGCCTAGAGATGGCGCCGTTCAGCTTTTCTCTCATCAACGTGACGCGCGAGAACATGAATGAAACGTTGCAGGTTGTGCAGAGTATACGAACATTTGCGTTGGGGCGCATGCTTCCCAACCTTCCGTGTCAGCTCTGTGATCTCCTGCCAGTGGCCGTCACAACGAGCAGCATCGAGAAGATCGAGATAGTGCCGAGCTTTGTCTGGCTCTCTTTGCTGAATCTCTCGTCAGCTGCATTGACATGGCGATCGAAAGACGATACTGACGCTCAGCATGGCCCCATGAGACTAGAATCCGCCTATTTGCTAGGCAGTGCTCTCTCTACCAATGGCCAATTGGGTGGGTAGAGAGCTCATTCTTGATAAATTTCACCAAAGTCAGAGCGCGAACTCCCCCATTAGTAGTTAGCGCCAACCATGGTGGGATTGATTACGTGTATTTTTGGCTACGGCAATACTGAGCGCCAAGCCAAAAATCTCTCTCTTCCAGCTTTTGTCCTTTGACCCGCAGCAACCTTGTATGAGAAAGGGCAAAGCACTAGATGATGCGTTTAGTCGATTCGAGGTGCTCACAAGGAGACGATCATGGCACCCCAGGATGCGTTCAATCCACTGCGAGTGGTCACCCAGCGCCTCTCGTCTACGCCTTCCAAACAACTTCCACACGTTGCTCCCTATCTGGCAACTACAATCGCTCAATGTGTTAAAGCTTTCGCTGCATCTCCTAAGGAAGGCTACGTTGCGGGTGGACCAGAATCCGCAGTAATAATTCACAAACTTAAAACTCAGCTTTCTGCGTTACTACAAGACAAGAGCCCAGAAGCTAGATATGCAGCAGTGGTCTTAATTAAAGCCACAGTCGAAGTTGGAGGTTGGAACGTTTTGCAGGGGGCAGGGGCATGGGTCAGAGGTCTTATTAGCATTCTCGGAGTAAGTCACCTGTCCGGGTATATATCGAACCTTTCGTAATTCGTTTTTATATCGGTCCCGCTCGACAGGCTGTATCTTGAATTGTAGCCTCGTGATGTATTCTGATATCTAAAGCAGAAGCACGATTCATCAAGCACCAAGAAGCTCTGCATTATCACCATAACTAGAATCTTCCTACTTACGCACGAACATCAGTCACTGGTTAGGGAGATCACCACACCTTCGTTGCCAGGACTCATTACAGCATGTCTGAATCTCACAAAATACTCACCCTCGCCCAAGCCAGCTCAACAGAGCCCACTTCTTCTGCATGTAGTTCTGCATGCATTAAGCGAGCTGATCGCTATCCACCCGACATCATTCCGTCCATTCGTACCGCAGATACAGTCCTTGACGCACCCGCTGATTGCTCCCACACCCTCAAATTTTGAAAATGCAAATAACCCAACTTTCACCTCAGCATCTATATCCGAAAGTGCCCGACATTTATTTGTCTTACTCCACGTTTCCGGACCCAAGAATACGGCTGGGGAAGAATGGGCAAAATCTCTCGACGCTCTGATTGATTCTGTGCAAAGGACAGGGGACAAGGTTTTTCGGTCATTGATCGAGGATTGGACATCTTCGATAGCGAAGTATGATGTTGCAGGTTCAAATCCGGTCGAGGATGTTGTAAACGACCGGAAGCCAACACCATTGGCTTTGCCTGCTTGGACTGGGATTCATGCTGGAATTGAGAGACTTGACGGTCTTCTGCACACATTGCAGGCATTTCTAGCTTCTGCTAATGCAGCGGTTGTATCACTTCCAGTAGGTAATATCCTCAACTTAGTCGACAGGGTATTTTCGATTTTTCCACCAGGGAATGGGAGGAACCCACGAATAAAGCTCGAGATTGGCAGGGATGAGCGCGAGGGGCTATGGGTCGGATTGCCTCGGCTTCAGATCTCAGCAATAGGAGTCTGCTCACTCATGATTTCGCGTATGGGTCATAGCTCTGCAGCAATAGCTTCCACAATAATGGAGCAGCTTTTATGGACCTTGGAGAGCCAATATGGAAACGATGATTTTCGAAGAGCAGCATATGGGCTGGTGTCACAGATCCTCACCGCATTTGGGCCTTCGTTGCCTAGAACCCACGCAAGGTCACTCTCTCGATGCGTTAGGATGTGTTGCGAGGACCTCTTGCCCTCTGTTGAATCTCAAGTGCAGAGTGGACAAGCTTGGTTTCCTGAAACGAAAAAACATCCAAATGGGATCATATCTTCAACGAATGCAGACTCGTACCTAAAGCCTGCGACAGATGAGGTGGACCTATCGAGTGCTTCCACCAATTTACTCCAAGCGGCACAAGAGCTTCTACCGCTGACATTAATGAATTTACCCAACGCGTACCTTCCATTCTCTCTTCGTTGCCAAATCGATCGAACGGCCATAATCACAAATAACAAGAAAGCGATGCTGGCAAGTGTGATGAATCCAACTTCCAGACGCAAAGGACAGAAGCAGACAAGCAGCATTCTACCCTTACTTGCGAGGGCGCACCCGGAAGCCTCGGAGGTAGAGGCCCTGCTGCGGCCCCAAATGCCTCCAATACAGTCTCGGCGAAGCGATGGGGAAGAGATGGAGTCAGATCAGGAAGAGGACACATACATGTACGATCACCCTCAAATCGACGATTCCGACGGACTCTATCATAATTCGATAAATATCAATAAGAACGCCAACGTCGACAAGAATATCATCGCGGTAGAACAAAGCGGCGCACAAGTAGACGCTACACCAGGTGCTGTGGAAAAGAGTGCTCCGGGCACAGAGCCTACGGTTGATTCCAAGATTACAGCAACAGGCTTGCCGGAACTCACGTCTGCCTTCTCCTACACTTCAACGAAGCGTGATCGGGAGGAAATTTCCGATTTTGGCACACTAGAATTTGTTGAGGGCGATGGGACAGAGCAAATCGAGATAGAACGGGCTAGCAAGCGATCAAGAGTGGGTTTTGATGAAACACGAAAGGAAACTCCACTGGGACCAGAGCCCGCAGATCCCGCAGTCCTGGACACTGATGGATCAGCGCAAGCCGTCAAGAAGGTCTCTGCCTCAGACTCTGCTGCTGTGTCAGGTAGACAGCCTGTCTTACAGCAAGAGGATAGCGATGAGAGTGATTTTGAGATGCCAATTTTGAACCTGGACCCAGATACGGACGAGGAGGAAGAGGAAGAGGAAGAAGATGATTGAATGCCGTCAACGGAGGCTCAACAGGATCTCTAGCCAAGTTATGTACGTTATTTTTATGGCTTGAAGCCTGCTAAACCACCACATTGTCAGGGACAAAGCCGCAGCCTACTTGTTGCTAAGAGGATCGGGCGGTATATTTTCAAACCTCAAAGAAAAGCGACATCGAAGGGTATTCATCGCCGATCGAAAAGAGATGCCAGTAGTTGGGAATTCGATCCCTCAAGATGCAAGAACCGCCACGCCTTGCCATTTGCATTTGTGGCGACGATGACTGTATCTCAAACGACTTGCAGTTCGCCTAGCACACCAGCCCACTTCGCCACCATCTGTCTGCGGAATACCACCTTGCCCAAAGCCCTCCCCAACGCCACCATCCATCTCCTCTCAAGGCCCGCATTGGACTAATTGGTAGCGGCTCATAAAGCCAGATCCCAGTCGCCGCAAAATCATCCGCAACTATCGGCCCTACAATGTAGCACCAAAGCGCCACAATGACCAGGTTTCCTATCTCTCTCAACCATGCTGGGATCCTCGCTCTCAACCCCGCACTCTTCATCCTGCCACTCACCGCTCTCTGTGCAATGATCCCTACCGGCTGCAGCATGAAGAATATAAAAGAGCCGTAGATCGGCCTTGTATCCCCCAGTGTCGTATAGGAAGCACAAGCATGTAATAACCCACTGCAGGCGAAGGCTACAGCGACCCTTAACAGCGTCCCCTTCTGCGACTTCTTCTCCCAACCTGTTACCCGGCCTGCAAATTCTCCGGCTTGTTCGAACGCATAGCGGAAAAGCTGATGCCACCACTGACCCCAAACACCTGCTAGACCTTTACGATATACTTGGCTTGGGGAGCCGAAAAAGGGAGGGTAAAGCCAGGGCCAGGCGTGTTGGCCTATATTGTTGGGACCCAGGAGGATTCCAAATACGAGAGGAGCGAGGAGGAAAACTGCGAGGAGAGACGCGTAGACGAATGCTAATGACAGCGAGATGCGAAAAAGGCGCGGGTATGGAAATGGCGATGGTGTCGAAGGCGGCAGGCCCCAGAAATAGGGATCCTGAAGCGTAATTGTCTTGAGAACATCTAGGGCGATCAGGCACAGTAGAAATCTTGGGACATCACGTCGGATGAGGTCGGTGCGAGTTAGAAGAGATCTTGCGTCGGTTGATGCTATAGAGGGGTCTTCGAGCGAGGATTGAATGTGCGGTGGTGGAGGTGGAAGGCCGGAGATTTGATACTTCCAGCGGACGCCACGGAAGTTAGAGACGAGATCGCAGACCCAGTCTAGCCGGTGCCGAAACGTTGGGGGGAGAGTTTGCCAGAAATATATTTCTCTTTTGCTAGAATCTGACCTGTTTCTTTCTTCCCACGGAGAGCCGGAAGAATCCATGGCTTCTCCATCAACGCGCCGTGCTCTCAAAGCCCCGTCCATCAGTCTCTCAGCTCCCGTCGTGGCCCCCTCCGCTTGATCAACAAGCAAACTCTCATCCGCACCGTCATGCCCTTTAATCCTCCTAAATTCTCCTCTAGCATCATTCCAAATGATCAAGGTCGCACTCCACAACACCGCCCATGCGTTCAGTAATCCAATGCCATACCCCACCGTCACCATAGAGCTCCTACAATTCAGAATGGAGTCCACAGACAAGTACACAATAAGAGCGAAAAGTGGATATCGCGCGTAATAGACCACTTTTGAATTCGTTGGGGGAAGGAGCAGGTAGAGTATCAGCAAATATGGGCCAAAAGCCCGATATGGCCATACAAACGGCTTGTACTCTCCTGATGCCAGTCCTTCGTCGAGTCGTTCTTGGAATTGGCGTAAGACATCGTAATGAGAGGTGGGCGTCGGGTTTAGGACGTGAGGAAGGAGCATCTGATTGTTGCTAATGCTACTCGTATCCAAGAAATAAGCCAGCTGTGGGACAAGGAGGTTTCGAGTGAGATATCGGCCTGAGGTTGCCACCGCAAAACACTTTAGTAATGTAAAAATCTCTGACTCAGCTGTGAACCATTGGTTTGGAAGCGCGCTAAGCGATGTGCGCGGGAGCGGGTCGCTGTGGCGCAGACTCCAACCTCACCTCTCTTCTCTGATTGACTCCCAATATCCCATTAATGTGTATCTTAGGCTTGTGGAGAGCCATGATCCGAAAGTTTGAGGGGTTATTTGCCATGCAAAAGTGTCAGGGCACAGGGAAGAAGCCCGCTCGGTGGGTCGGATTTCGCAAGTTGGGCGCGCAAGTTGAAAGAAAATTGGTTCGATTGAAAGGTTGTTTCCCGAAACAAAGATACATGATGCAGGCTCCAATTTCCACATTAATAAAACTTAAGTGTCATGGAGCCTTTGAAATCTGCTGTCCGGAAGAGAACGTACGGGAGACAATAAGCAAGTTGTCCGGTATGCAATCCATGAAGCTTCGCTGGAGATCGGATGTGGACCATTGCAACAGCCATGAATTATCAGATATGCGCTCCCCAATCTAATTAATGATCGAGATGAATAGGGATGATCTAGCCTTCCGAGTGAATCAGCTATAAGTCCCTTATGATCATGGGTTGCCTTATTCTGTTGGCATGATCCCCTATTCCTGCACCGCTATCAAGAGATGTGGAGCCTAAAGAAGCTCAGGAATGCAAGAATGTTGGGGTTTGCACCCTGGCAGCCATTCAATCAGGGCAGTATGGCAAGCCGGCGTGGCCATGTCTTGTGGGCATGATTCTCTGCAAATTATCAAAGCCTGAGGATACTTACTGAGCTTGAGAGACGCCAATACGGCTAGACTGGATAGGAAATGGCCCCCTTGTGTGGTGGAAAAGCTGGGTTTTGACTGCTAGTGCAATAGCGGGTGCAAAGCTGGCCGGCAAGTTCCGTATTATGGAGTTAAAGGCCGGGGTTCCTTGTCTTTCGCCGTGATTTGCGTGTGACGCAATCGATAAACAAATCCTCTTAGTACTCCGTACTCGTATTTCGCTTTCGGTACAACACTGCGACAACACTGCCACACACACATTTGCTCTGAACTGCATACAATTCAAACTTCTCATCCGGCTGCTTAATTATCGAGCGAAAGCTTTCAAGGCCTCTTTAAACAAATCTGACATCGTTAAAAGGCCTCTCTGCACCCTTATAACTGTGACGTCAAGCCTGCTCGCTGACAAAGTCCGACTATGGCGAACATCGGTTATGAAGATTATGTGTACTCGTCTGAGGACGAGAACCAAGAGAAAAAGGAACAAGATGGCTATGACCTTGACGAAGCTGGCTCAGTCAGGGACTCAAACCATACATCTGACGAGGACGAGAATGAGGACTCAAATTTTCACACAGATACTGACGAGTACGCATGCTTCTCGTCCGATTACGCTAAGTATCAGTATGATCAAAAGCGGTGGAAGGGGATTGCGAATCCCAGAAAGTACGTCATAGCTAAGAAAAAGGGCAAAGGAGAAGCCGAAAGTCAGACGAAAGCCAAAGCCAGAAAGGACGACAAGTGCCTGCGAACTACCAAGGCTGAGAAGCAGACCAAACCCAAATCTCTTCTCAAGTCCAGAAGAAAGGGCAAGAACAAGGAAGAAGTGCCATTGGAACCAAAAGTGGATATCCCGAAGGAAGGAGAGATTCATTTCGATACAAGAGGGAACCTATGGTATTCATACAAGAAAGATGGTACCTACATATCAGGTCAGTATAGGGAAGGCCGGATGTTCGGGAAAATCTGCTGACGGACACTAGAACGAGCCACATTCCATCATTGGATTAGGGCAGATCTGAGTCGTGGTGAAAATCTCAAAGGTAGCTATGGTAAGCTTTCCAACGAGCTAAACATCATACGTGGGCTAATTTCGTCAGCCTTCCCTCGTAAGAGAGGTACAGGAAACTACAACCTCACCTGCTTTAACGCGGTGGAACAGCATTGGGGTCTGCATAGACCCCACTATGCCCCTGTCATGTTCGAGTGGGAGCGCATCAACCGACAGGATCCAGTATATCCACTCAACAATCTCTACCACCAAGGCTCACTCGTCATCGACTACTGGCGTACGCCAGTCCGCAACTTTCGTGAGATCCCACTAGTAATATCCTCCGCCTTCGAAGGCGGTTACATGGAGCCCGCCACTCGTCTTCACAGCGAGATGGCATATGAAGATATCAGGGCTCGAATGTAAGAGTCGCGGTATCAATTCTCACCTTACAATCCTAACCAGATTTCGCTCGTAGGCCCCCCTTCACCGTGACCATTCAAAAAGGTGTCACAAAGTACAAAGCCCTCTCGAAGGCCAGCACTTTCTCCGGCAGATCCCGCCACTTTCGCGAAATCGCTGGAGCGACCAGCTGGGATACCCGTGAGGGGTCCGATAAGATAAAAGGCTATATCGAGGGTATTGTGAAGCCGATCAATAACTCGACTCGAGGCTCTCGCGATCTAACCAAAGCTGAAATCGGGAAGATGCGCCTACCAAATTTCGGTACAAAGCCAGGCCGCGCCAAGGAGGGGACATCTGAAGAGTCCAAGAAGAGGTACAAGGCCGTGATCGAAAAGGCTGCCGGTCTAGATTCTGCCACGACCGAGGGTCTAAATCAATTCTTCGACGAACCCATAAACTCCGTCGAGGACAACAACAATCAAGAAGACGAGTCCATGGCAGCGGAGGTGAGCGACGCCGCGCCTCCACGGTTTGTATTTTGTTGCATGGAGGTTCCCTTTCTTCGAGCCATGACTGAAGAAGAAGCGCTCATGCACCCACTTGTCGATGTTTCGGATCCCCGAAATCACGTACCCAAATTATCCAATGAGGTCGACGCGATACGGGATGCACTGAAAGTGACGGTGGATCACTTCACGGAGATCTTCGGAGTCAGACCGATGATGTACGAAGGATCGAACTACATATCGGAATACTGCAACATCCAAGACCAGATGGACGACCTCTTTTTGGATCACGCTACAGCGCTGCGTCGTCTGGGGCGCTGGGAGGGAACGATGTTCGACTGGGAGCGGGCTGAAGTGGAGCACGATCCTTGTTTCGGAAGGAAGCAACCCTCCTGATCTTGTTCCCTCTTTGCTGCGTCGGTCGACTTTTTCAGATAGCCGACATCTGTGGGAAATGTCCCTGATGTTTTTCTCTTCGTGAGTCATTCGTGGAGCTCGTACGCTCTCCAACAGCCTTCGTCCCCCCCCTCTCTTTCCCGGGAGAGCCTTCAGTGTGTTTGAAATGTCGTTCGTCCTGTCCCTCGCTTCGCGAGTTCTTGATAGGCTTTAGTACGCTCTTCGATAGCCTTTTTTCATTCTTGTTCAAGCTCTAGACCATACTCGTACGGTCAGCACAGGTTGCAATCGAAGATAGACATGGCTAGAAATCACATTCACCTTGAAAGCATCCCTCCATTGTTGACCAATATGGAGACAGTCCTTAGGCCTTTGTGGAAGGAGCCAAGGGCTGCTGACTTCAACTTACAGGAAGCTGACGGTCAGAACCTAATGCACAACCAACATAGCTATGATTACAGTCATCCCGAAAGCTTGGAAGGCGAAGGGAAAGCTTGTCGCTGGACAGGAAGCCCGCTTCTTTCACATAAATGGAGACGTTCCAGTTGGAGCCCATAAGAGTTTCAGGGTGGAGGCCGCCATGCTAAGTCCGTATCACTCATCTGCTGACTGGATCATAGTACTTCTGAGGTAGGTCACCCCAAAGGCTTGTTGCTGTACAGGAAGTTCAGGTTGGGATCATGCCAGAACGTGCAGCATCACCGCTATGCCAGGGCGTCGCGAATGTGTGGAATGCGTGGCCATAGCCATGTTAGCCTTTTTCCGAGGACAATGAGGTAGAGTATGTTGGACTTGGGGTCGTTGTTGGTGTCTTGGTGATGGTTACCAGCGACATCAAAGTTCAGCCCTATCACCCGGATTGTGTTGCTTCCAAAACTAATCGAAAACGCACAATATCCTCTGTTTCCACAACCCACAAACATCACATCCCATCACGATGGCCCCACTCCAGAACAACACGCCAATGACTGTCAAAGAGAAGCAGGATAGGAGAGACCGGATTTGCATCCAAATGGAGGCGGCCATGCGTCCAGTGTGCGGCGATAGACCTAGCACGACTGTCTTTAAAGAAAACAAAACTGCCTACGGGTGTCACAAGCGCACTGAGCCGGCCGATGAGGACAAAGACTACGTGAAGGTGGATGAGGTCAAAGACTACGTGAAGGTGGATGAGGACAAAGACTACGTGAAGGTGGATGAAAACGCAGACTTCGTGGAGGTGGATGTGGATGAGATGGAGATGAGCGACTGGGAGGAAATTTGAATGTTCGGGCGACGCTGATGAGAGCTCGAAAAGGTCAGTCCTAGAAATCACAGATAGCCAAACCACGTTTTTCAATAGGCTGACCCCCCATCAGGACAAGTCTGTGCTGATCCTTCGAGCTTCCCTTCGACGATCGCTTTTACAGCAGCATATTTTTTTCTTTCGACACCAGCTCGCCCCGACAGCCAAAATAGCTACACACGACGGGGGCTACATACCCGTCTCGACTACAGCCATTGCGGGTGCTTTGAGAGCGGTTGGTGTCTTTTTACAGCAGTTGATTTCTTAATGTGAGCTAAGGAGAGCTCAAGGCTTGGTGTGCTCCGTGGGATTGATGGTGCTATCTTATGGCAAGAGACCTCTATGGTAGATCCTCACTATCATAGCAAATACTATCACGCTACATTCCCAAGCCCTCAATCGTGAGTGAGTGCTGAATCTCGAAAAAGGTAGATGTAGATGCTTAGGTCCTTCGTAGCCTATCTGGCCCTTCGTGTCACCTCCCTCTCAATATACGTTCTTGTAGAATGGGTCAAACATAGGTATAATGTCCAGATGACATGCCAGTTTGCAGTAGGCTAGCTTATTACCAGACTTGAAAGTTACAACGAAGGTGATATCGGCCACAAATCAACGCCTCAGGCACCAGAATGGAGCTATTCTTTCAACTCGATAATATCTACTGCTCTGGACCTTAAGAAGTTGAAGGTGAAGCAACATCGTATTTGCTATGGTGATATCGAGCTACCATAGAGGTCCATTGCCACGCAAGGACATAAGTCACCAAGGCTAAGCGAACCGCCAGCTGCTCGCATCTTGGCATTCATTGCCGTAAAAATTGGCCACAAAACTTTTGAAAGACCCGCTATGCATGTAGCTGAGATGGATGCAAAGGCATCATGATGTGTAGACATTGCAGGTGTAAGCGAAGAAGAATTGCCGAGATGAAAGGGTGAATGCCATGGTGTGTGTCGTATAGAGCATCGAAAGCCTGTTCTGAAGGGAGGCTGATCAGTTGTTAGCCAGCGATAGGCGGCATTTTGGGAGCGAACTGACCTGATCGAGCTCATGATGACAGCATCAAAGCAATTCCAGAAGCTCCCAATCGTTCTCCACCGAGCAGGCAACTGACGGTCCCGCAGCAACTTCAACGTAGTCTTCGTCCACCTCGACTGTGTCCTCGCTCTCCGACGTGTCGACGGCTTCCTCGATGAGCTTTGATAGCGCGGCATCGACTCCAGCAAGTAGCTTATGGGTGGAGCCACTGTACGAAAAAGGTTCGACATTCCATTCAGACTCCACAGATGGCATATCCCAGAACCAGTTGCGTCTCTTGGTGTAAGGCGGTTTTCTTGGTGTGGACGTTGGTGACATGATGCGGAAGGTATTGGACACTACCAAATCATTAACCAGGGTATCCTCGACACTCAACAACGTTCTGTACTTCGCAGCAGCTATGGTTACCACAAGAATAGATGTTGATCAAGTAGATTCAGATACTTACTCTTCCAACTCTCAAACCACTCGACCTCCCAGGGGGTCTGCGCGTCTTTCTTCGCAATGGTCTCTCGGGCCAAGCGAGTCAGGAATTTTCGAGCCTTTTGCTCGTCATTGAAGCGGGATATTCGTCGAGGAGGGTATGGTATGGCAGCCATTTCGATGGCAGCCAGCCGGTCGTGTCTCGACTCTTCGGCTAGGTCGAGAGAAGGGGCCCACTCGACCACCCGGGGGGGCCAAGCATTCTCCTTCACAGGATGTTTCTCGGCCTCGAGACCAGTTCTCGAAACGATGGGAGGATAGTGCCGTCCGCCGAAATCATAGCGCCGCTCACCGCGACCATAGCGCCGAGAAAAGTGCCATTCGTCGCAAGGGATGTCGGCAGTGTCCTGGGACTCGATCGGGGCGTTGCTGGACCCTGGGAAGGGCAAATCCTGCTTTCTCAAAGCAGGCATGTTGGTCTGAGGAAGGACAAGCTCGGTCAGAACAGTGAAAACGGCGAGTTGAGGGAGCGAGAGAGTGTCGGTTATGAAACGGGCAGAGTAGGATAGCTTACAGCTGTGAAGAAGAAAGGTGCGATTAGTGTACTGGATATGTGGATTGGAGGGGGGATATGGAGTGTTGTGATAGAAGAAAGTGGCTGAGTGGAGGGTAAATGTTTTTAGCAAAAGGATGAAGTTTTTAGATTTGTGGGCTCGAGCTTGACGAGCTTAAGATCCTATCTGAGTATTTAGTTGGTGGGAGGACAGACTGTCACTTGTTGTGATGTTTCTGTTAGTGGCTCGGCTTTGGGACACAGTGGGACTCAAAGCATTTTTTCACACCCAAATCACTCCTCACCCCTTTATCCGCCACCAAGTTCTTACTCTCACTTAGACAAAAATCCGATAGAACCAACAAAATCCTTGACTATCTCAAAAGGCTCGAGGAATCGACCAAAAGCTTCGAAGAGCTCCAAAGGTCAGTCAACACAAACGATGTGAGCTGCCAGGGTCGGCCCACACTTCCAACATCTTCGGAGCAGCAACAGCAAGTTCCAATGGAGCCAGGAAAATCCTTGACAAACGAGCGGCGGAACAGCTTAGGCTTGTTGCAGTCAGAAAAGGCCTCAAACAAAGCTGGGTGTCAACCCAGAGGGCCTCATCCCTACAACATCTTCCTAACAAGTTCCGTCAGATACTCATTACTGGTAGGTGGTCGAACGCTCTGACAATGTCTAGAACGGAAGCTGCACCTGCTATTGAGATAATGAAAGAAATTGTCGAGTCACAGACAGCGAAAAGCACGCGGAGAGGTAAATTACAAAGGCTAACAGCCCAACAAGTAGAGAAATAGCGAAAGAATGACTATCCGTGCTGACTACTAGATAGACTCACTGCCTTAATAGTACTTTCCTAACACGCGCAGCGAGACGAATTGAGAAGATTCAACGCTTCTCCACCCCATGACGACAACCTGATTACATTCGCGGATACCAATGTAGCAGTAGCGCATACAGCATTGAAGCTTGCCAGCGGCTCAGTTGGCCAGTCTCACCAGCGTAAGTATGACCTTCTGGATGTCTCACGTGCCTTTGCTGACAGGCAGTAGTCCTGCAGCCAGCCCTGCGACACAGTCCGCCGACAACACACCCTCAAACAGTGATAACTCAGGGCATTATGCATTTACAAGATGGCAACCGCATGACAATGAGGAACAAGAAATCCTGGTTGATTCAGAACTGGATTGCCACAGATCAGGCCGACGACTAAAGAGTCGACAGCATGGAAGAGGACCCAGATACCGAGACGGGCTTCCGAGGCCCCAAAATCTAGAGTGGAAGAGAAGAAATCGATGAAATCCGACGGCACAGAGTACACAATCCTTATCATGGTAGGTAAAGATTGGGTGTCATCTGTCTTGACATGATATAGCCACGCCGCCAGTGTGTTCTGGGACATAGCGTGCTTTCTTTGCCGGCTTGGCATCTTGATGTCTCCCGCATCTTGGCACACTTTCATGAGTATCGACCAGGATAAATTGACTATTCATCTCAAGGAATCCAGAAAAAATGGCGGTCAAAAGTAGGAGAAGTGATTTCCTTCGCCAACGAGGACGAGTTTTTAGGGTTCGTGTGGCTATAAACTGTCACCTTTTCTGGGACGGTGCCTATCGATGCCTAGCGTTGTCAGTGTATGTTTACACAAATCCAGGATTACAGAACGGAAAAGGATACTGGCTACTATGGGCTTTTAGGGATTATGGTTGTAGTGACCCACGATGCTCCGAATTCATTACTCGAACTTCACTAATGCATTGAATAGGAGCCATATTGAACGATGTCTGGACCGAGATACAGATGGTATCAGCCTGAACAAAGATACAGGATAATGCAACAATAAACATAATCGGGTGGCCTCGACTAGAGGTTCTTGTTTGATCCTTTTTTCCTCTCTTGAATCGATAAGGCAACATGATGCTTGAAGCTGCTTGTTCGGTGCTACACAATCAAGTTTGGCTGTGCGACGAATGCGCCATTCTACGATGAGGTCCAAGTTTCTGATACGGAAATTGCCTTTGCAAAGAGATCAGCAAAGGAAGCTTCCTTCTTACAGTCAGCATCACGGACCTCTATCAAGATTTGCTTCGATCTCAAAGGTCCTTCACATGTCTTGCTCGTCTGTGGGGAAGACCCAGCGTGGATGAAGTGGCATCCCAAAGACATCTTGCACAAAGCCAGGGGCCTATGAAAATTTACAGTGTATAATCGCTTTGTTCATGTCGGCACAGCTTGCAAGCTCTACGCTAGATCTCTTTGGTCTACCCATAATGCCTTTATTCAAACCAGGATTCCTCATTGTGGTCTTGAGGACACTCACCCTATTATCATGACACTTTGAATCTCATTGTGCTCGACACTTAGCAGATTATCTTCATAACCCCCTGGTTCCCATGTCTCAATATTCAGTTTTTCTGATTGGTTGCTTCCTCATCCCCTGCATCCCAGGCACTCATCCAACAAATCCAGGTCTTTCATACTCCCACTCCAATAAGCCACTCTCGACCTCAGCTCTACCAGGAAAGGTTCTCCACGCTCGTCCCAATCCTAACTTTCTCGCCCAAATGAGCGACGAACAGGATCGAAACAGAAATGAATGGGCCCAATTCATACGCGGCGACGACTTTCAACCACCCCAACAACAAGTGTATGTTCCCCAAGGTTATGCCGCAGTCCAAGGGTATACTCCTGGACGTCATGCTCTAGTCCAAGGCTATGCTCCAGCAGAGACCCGAGACTGGTATTCGGACTATCAAGACTCGACTGCAAGCCCTTATAGTACTCCGCAGACTCAAGAAACGAAGGCCAACGCGGTCGATGATGATGACACACCGGAAGAAGAAGTTCGCGACTTTGTGTCGTCACGGCGGCGAAAGAGCAAGTCTAAGAGTCAGGCAAAGCCCAAGGAAGAGCAGCCCAAATCAAAGCGGGCCGAACGTCGAGAGAAAATTGCGATTGAGCACAAGGGTGAGATATCCTCAACAGATCGCCCAAAGGGTCGGGTAAGATGGCGCGAGGGTGTCTTCCAGTGGTGGGATTCTGAAGACAAGAGTTGGCGAAAAGCCGCCTATCACGACCAATACCGCGACGAATTCATCAGACAAGATAGCGCTGAAGGAACCTATATTGTCGCCCCAGATCGCGGCAGAGGTGCAAACGATATCACCAGTGCCTGCTCGGCATACAATCAACTAGAATGGCGGCTCGCAGATCGAAACAGCTGGGACAATATCGTGGATGCTGATGGCAACAAAGTTCTTTATTTGCTTGACAGACCTGTCAACCAGACCAAGTATGAGCCTGAAATGTGGATTCACGACGGCCATATACTGCTCGATGGAGACAAGTAAGTAAAATTTCCGCGTTGTCCCTTTCGGGAAAAAGCTGTGCTAATTCTTCTCTTAGTAACCCTGTACGAGCGTGGGCTGGAATACCTAGGTGCTTTTCATCTCAAATAGAAGGGGGAAGAATGGAGGCGTTGCGACGCATACTGCCCATGACCATTCAGGACTTCAGAGCGCGATGTCTTCGTGCGGTACCGACAGCGGCGACCGGAGCTAATACGAAACCACTATCATTTCCGAGCACTTTCGGTCACCGTTCCAGTCGATTCAGAGCCCAATACCAAACGCCAGCCTGGCTTTCAAGGGCAGCTAGTGCTGTCCTGAAGAAACAGGTCATTGATCAACTCCCGGAGGCTGAGGAGGCGGCGACATCGACAGAGGGATTGCAAGCATTGTCAAGATATGAGATAGAGCGGCGGAAGTCATCAACTCGTGGAATACATCTCTACAAGGCAGCCGGTCGGGCCATTTCCGAGGAAGAACGAAAAGAGAGGGACAAAAAGTTCGACGAAAAACTCGAGCGGCAAGCGGCCAGACAAGCTCAAAGTCCGCAGCGACTACAAAGCTTGCCCACAACACCATGGCAGTCTGCTTCTCCAATCACCTATCTCCCCACGCCTCCACTCATTGCGGGTAAGAAGCGGCGTCGGGAGGACTTTGGTCTCGGAGATTCCGATGTCAGCCAGTCAGAGTCTGCAGCAAAGCGAGGTCGCCATAGTTATTCACCACTTGACCCACGTTCGGAGGGACATTTTCCTGCATGTTTAACGGCGGCCGACCCAGTTCAACAAGCACCAAATGCCTACGATGCTTCGAGTATCATCAGCACAAGCAATTCGCATCACGTGCAATCAGAATCAAACGCAAGTGGACTGGGATTGATGTTCGGAGGACGAGATCCGGGTAGTTCGCACACTTTTGTTCCAAGTCAGAACACTGGTGTGCCTGAAATCCCTCCACAACAACCGGAGGCAACGAATAGTAGAGGAATTGCTTCCACCAACGATTTTCAAGTTGACAACACTCAAGTCGATTACCGCTTTGTCGGTCCCCAGAATCCTCTCGAGCAGCTGAGAATCCAAGCGGCGCTCTTCTATCCGCGTGCGCACTACTATGCTCTGATAGGAGAACACCCGATGCATACCTCAGAAGGTACCTACGCCGATCAGTACCTTCGAATTTCTTCGCTTCTTGCGCAAAACTGGATAATAGAGGGCGGTCTTCCGCCGCTTGCTGACATTGGTCCATGGTACGGCTCTTTCAACATGGTCCCTACTCCAATTCTGCCAAATGAAGTGCTGTGGATCATATTGCACCCTGACCCTAAGGCTTCGCCCGGCCCCGAAGCGTCGGCTACCGATCATCATGCCCAACTGTCTTCCGCAAATGTTGGTGCTGAGAGTATTCCCACAGCTCCGAATTCCATTAGCGGGCCAGAGCACGATGGAGAGCCCAATGATTGGAGTGATGACTTGTTTGGAGAATACCTTGAGGATTCTCAATACGCTGATGGGGACGAGGAGTAGATACTGAATGGTAGTCAACAGAGACAACAAAGAGGAGGGGCGTTGCATGGGACTGACAGAGTTCTGATGTGACCACAACGATTGACGACTGTACGACGATATTGACGAGGTGGAACAATGACGACAGCGTGTGCAAAGGTAATGTCTCGGTTTTTCATATCTTCTCTTCTGGCCTTTCACCCAGCAATCTCTTTCAAGTCGACAAAGGTTTTGATTATTGCTTTGTAAAGAGCGATGTGGGAGAAACATGAGTGATGGAGGGGACGAAATGGCTCATGCTTACTGTCCTAGATCAGCGCGCTTTTGTACATGATACTTCTTCTGGCTTTCAACTTAGGGATACTCATGTCATAGACCAACACACTGACAAACACACTCTTTTCAGTAGAAATTCTTTTGTCAAGATAATGACTTGCTCAAACTTATCCAGGACTCTTTTTCAACCTGATCTTAAAAATATATAAGGAATGTTATGACTTGTTCCAGGACTCTTTTTCAACCTGATCTTAAAAATATAAGGAATATTATGTCTTGTTCATTGACGGTATGTGTCACGCTGATGTCCGATTTATCAAGTTCATTACTGAATGTGTACAATGCTAACTGGTTGGAAATATGAGAATATTGGCAAGAAGATTTGGCCTCCACAAGACTGGCTACATTAACCTCTTCTGTACCCCTTCATTTCTGATATTGACGAAGGCAGGCACGCTTCACAACTTTTGGCTGCCCTTTTTTCTAAACCATTCGAGAAGTGGTGAGTGATCGCCAGCCTGTGGGCGTGCTGAGAGAGTGCCAGAAGCACATGCTGAGCGTTGAATGCACGCACCAGGGTCTATAACCAGTAGGAATGGCGGTCCTGCGATCGATCAAGCATGTAGTACTACTGCATCAAAAGTCTTAACCTTGAGTCTATGGCAACGGGCAGGATTGAAGGATAATTCTGGTTGATTTGGACCCCTTTCAGCAAACTTGGCAGCATCAACACAGAACCGCAGGATTTGTTTACCTTTCCCTGCCGAGTTTCCGCGTCGTCACGTGCCTCGGCCTTGTTATCTCTCTCCCAGCAAGTGACTCCAGACCATCACTACTTGGGACACCATCAGACTTCTTCCTCAAGCTCTCGAAGGCTGGTGCTTAGACTTTACCCTTTCGAGACTCCTTCTACCTGCATACTTGCTTCGTAGAAGAGACGCCTCAGCTGCTTGATATCGCACCTCCTTTTCTCCCCACGCACCAAGGAGTTTCCCTTGACACACAACACTTCTCAAGTCGATCACCCCACCTGATTCTGCTTCCGCTCTGTTGGACTCCACATCAGTTTCACAACACCAAGCCTCTTATCACATCCTTCGTCACACCTCCCAGCACCACAACCACACCTCAACGAAGCCTAACTGGTGTTGAGTATTTTGCTTCTGCAGCCATACTTCGACTCTCCCACAAGTCTCTCAGCTTTTCACAGGGAACAGCTTACTGTACCACAAGCTATTGAAGAGCCCTATTTTCGAAGGTAGCAAGTTCACAATATCTGAAATCCCATTCCTAAGATAAGTTACCATCATGACTCGGGGATTCCATGAGGAACAATTCGTGGCAGGTGATGTGCAAGACAGTATGTGATCGTACACTCAGGTGGGAAACTTCGCTAACAAGAAAGCAGTCAACATGAGACGCACCGCAGACCACAACATCGCCCTTGACCCTGCACTATTTGGGGCTCAAGCTAGTACCCCCGTAATATCCCAGCATTCAAGGAACAGCCACGGAAGACGCGTCGACCTATCAAACAGCCGTCGGAGCACAAAGAGAGCTCCAGGATCTTTCCCGAAATCGCGAAGAGACTTGCAAGGAGTAGGCCCAGACACACCTGCAAGACCAGACACCGCCCAGGAAAATGACTCTGACGTGCCCGAAACCTCTCAAATACCACCTTCTTTGAGCCCTTCGGGATACCCTGATTCTGGCTTGATCGACCGTGCCAGTTTTAGAGACGGAGTCTTAGAATCAAGCGCAACTCCAGAAACTAAAGCGGCCACTAGCTTTCTGCAAGCGCAAATGGAAGTCGATATCCCTCCACAGAAAGAGAGCAACAGTCGGGTCATCCGATCTTCCAAAAAGCGAACTCGAGCAGATGCCGGTTTGTCCGTGGACAATGAAGATAACCCTGAAGACACCACATTTGAATCACAAAGATCGACAAGACGGTCCAAACGTACAAAGACAACTCCAACATACAATGACATTGGTGATGAGGGTGAGAGGAAGATCAGGAAGATATCAAAGCTGAACGTCAGGATTGCGGAGGGTAAAGCCCCAAAGACAGGTTCTCTTGGGCCAAAAGGCGAGGTGAGGATAAGGGAAGATGGGCGGATGGAGTTCCGTGATGTGAATAATCCGGAGTGGAGTAAGTATATTCACAATTAGCACATCCGAATTGAAGCTAACAGAACTAAAGCGCTGGCCGCATATCACAATGACTATCGCCGACAATTCCTTGACGAAGCTGCTGAGGATGGCGAGTTTGGTGAGATACCCTAGGCCCCCACCAAGAACCTGCAACTGACGATGATAGACCACACGCCAGCTTGTGGCGAGGCTGAGCACGATATGACGAGCTACGAGCCTGAGCAGCAAAGCTGGGGCCCGTCTAGAGCGGACTGGCAGAATATTGTCGATTCGGAAGGGGAAAAGGTGATGTTTAAATTTGACGAGCCAAAGAGCCGTCGCCCTCAACAAGAGCCAAGCGATTGGATTCACGACGACCTGGTCTTGCTAGACTCCAAGAACCACCCAGTGAAGGATTGGCCTGGCTTGAACAAGACTCTGTCGACGGAGATCGAAAGTTGGCGATGGGAGGCCTTGATGCGTATTTATCCATGGCTGACAGTCGCAGAGTAAGTCGTGTCACTGCAGAGACAGTCATTTGCTTACAAATATCCACCACAGTCTTTTGGCTCGCATGCCACACATTAGAAAGAAGAAGGGGGCAGTTCTACCCCTTCAGACCCCGCAGGCTTTCACGAACCGCGCTTATCGGTTCAGAGTTCCTAATCAGATCCCCGCCTCCAACCCCAAAAACGGGAGCAAGACATACAAGGAGGGTATACTCAAGAGTCTTGACAAGAAAGGCGCCAAGACTACAGAGGGGCTGCCAATCCTTAATCCAGACGAGGTTGATAAAGTTAGAAGGGCGAATAAGGGAAAGTTCAAGGGGAACTCTCGATATGTTGTCAACAAGGATTTGGACCAGGAAACTCCAGAGACTACGCCACCCTCAACGAAGCGGAAGGCGCATCGCGACGATGACACCCCATCCGAGCCCGAGCATGACCCGCCAAAAGCCAAAAGACCCTGCGCCCGAACGCTACAGAGCTTGGGAGTAGAAGTGCCAAGTCCCAACGACCTGATTCCGGAATCTATCTACGATGACACTAATAGGGATGCCAACGTGGACGGCGCAGAACTCTTTGACGAGCCCACAGACACTGCTGGACTATGGAATGACCGCGAGCAATGGGGCAACCCAATAGATACTACCGCGCCATGGGACGACCAGAACGAAGAGGTCCTTGTCCCTCTTTTCACGAACATTGATGATAAAGAATTCGCTTTGGTCGAGGATGCAAATTTTACCAGCGCATATGCAGTGATACAGGCACGGAAGAGTGGCAATCAGCAGACTGGGCAAATCGGTGTATGCTGGTACAAGCAAAGTGTTCCTCGTCACATGGGGGCGGATGGCAACATTGTGGAGGATGTCGTTGACAGTGCCTACTGGCACCAGATTGAGGCTGAGGAACCCTTCCCCAACGACATCCAGCCTGCATCGCAAGTCGACAGCACCAACGATATTCCACCTCCTTCTACACGAAGCAACATCCCACCAACCTTCCACCCTTTGTTCCACGAGCCCAGCCATGAAGGCTATCAAGATTTCCTGGGACAAAATTCGTATACTTCTCAGCCGATGGCAATATCGATCTCGCAAATGCCGCCGCCAGTCTTCAACCAGATTCGAGATTACCAGCCACAGTGGGACAACTCCGACGAGGTTTGGCTTAATCAGTATGGCCCCACGGGTTTCTGAGGTCCTCCCATCTTTCTGGTCACTCATTGGATCAACATATCTTAAAGGCCGCCGTGCTCGCTACAACCCAGTAGTACTTTAAAGAGCAATATATAGTCTCGTGCATCTCAAAGGCTCAGAAGAGGAGGATGAGGAGGAGGAGGAGGAGGAGAAGTTGTATCAGGACGGTTACACTCGAGTGCATTGAGGGAGGCGGCAGGGAGCTGCTGCTGGCTTCAGAATCGCGTTGTGTTCGGGCTTGAAGTTAGTCATTGTTTCTAGTCTTTCGACTATGCCTCCTGTGAGCCAGAGAGTGATAGGTTTTCACAAAGCAGGAAGGACTGGGGTTTTGTTTTTCTGGTGTAACGTTTCTTACGGTCATCTTCCCTACTCTTAGACATCGGTAAATGGACATATTTGATAGGTTTAGAAAGACTTACATCAATTTATACCCCTCTTTAGGCTGTAGCAGCTACCAAAATATCATTGCAGGCACTTTTCTGGCGACAGCCAAGGAGACTGAGACAGAGGAGTTGTCTCTGGAATGGTTTCACCCGAGTACGTCCGCGAGAGAGATGCAGGGGGCCGGACGCTTGCCGCCTCGAGAACTTCCCAAACTGTGTCACTGTGATTTACAACTTCGGCCTCGCAGCCTGCAAACCAAAGAGCTCGCGCGACAGGTTGAAATGGGGTTCATGTTATCCTTTACAGCGAATATTACGAAAAAAGGTGCCTTTACAATACGTTAAGATCACTGTCGGCCACTTCAAACACCTGTCAACATACATACTGGTTCACTTTGAATGACCTACTTCACTCTGGTAGAATCATCACCCGAACGTACCCTTCTATACAAAGGCAGTATCAAGTACCTCGACCTGATCTGCCAATGATTGGAACAGTCTAGACGCCAAACCTGGAGGCTTGATTTATTCTTGGCGTAACGCCGTAGGCTTCTTATGCCGAGTCATAGGCGCTGGCGGGATGACTGAGGGGGGGGGGGAGGGACAAGGATCGTCGGACGGGGCCGAGGGATGTTTCGGACCACAGTCTGCAGCTTTTGCTCGGACGAGAGCTATATCCAATCAGGTTCTGTTGACATCGGCTCCTTGGTAGTTGGCCTGGAGCCTCCTGCGTTTCTCATCTCCAAGAATACGCTTGGGCAGTGAAACGCACGCTTGAAACTCATGGAGTTTCTTCTATAGTATGGCATCCTCACGTCGTCGCTTGCTGTTGGCCTCTTGTGTACACCACCAAGTAGCTGAATCTGGTGCTTATTTTCCTCCTCGTAGCTCATTTTTCATGGACATATTGATTAGGTTTAGGCAAGTTTACCTTCGGCGGGCGTACAAGAGGCGACTCCGCACCTTTCATCATCAACCGAGTCATCAAGCCCAAAATCTCTCGGAAGTCAGCCGAAAAGACTGCACTTGGAGCTGTTCATGCCACACAAAGATCGACACCTATTAATGCGAGGAGCAGGTCTCTCATCTTTTGATGACAACAGAGACACTAGGAACCAGGCGCCTACTTTTTCTGGCAGCTTACCTGCGCTCTAGCTTTGCTCTCCCTTCCCGAGCTCTTCCTTCACCGAACTCTTCTATTTTTGGTCCTGTTTTAGGTTAACGCCGACATCTCTCTACAGCCTCCACCTGAGCCTATACTTCGTTGTACGCCCTCCCAGACTCTATATTCGGAAATTTTCGGCGCCGCGGTCCAGACGTGAGATCTGCGTAGCATGTGAACTTGCCCAGCGACCATCTTCAGAAGGTTTTAAATTGAACTTCCGATTCTTTCGACGCAGCAATCTTCCAGCACCGCTTCATCAGTCAAATTCCCATCAACGAGACTACCTCCAAAGCTAGTGCGACCAACACCACAAAGCAGCACTAACGCCGTCGAATGTTGAAGACCTTTGAGATCGCGGAATATCTACATTACTATCTGCACCCGGGTGGGAGCTTTGGACATACCGTCTTGACAAGTCCTTGGATTCTGGCACTCTGAACGTTTGTTTGACAACATGCCGCCTCCACGAGGGCCCCCTATGATCCCAAGTGAGCACATGTCTGTCGGCGGGTACCTTAGACAACACTATGAATCACACAGTATGATTTTCACTGCTGAGAACACAAGAAGTTGGACCACTTACCTGGATAAAGGTTTTTCATATGCTGCTGGACAGCAATTTGATATCCCAACCGCTGGTAGTTCGCGAGCTGCACGTAAGTTTGAAGCTCCGAGATGGGACAGGGACAGTACTGACCGGGACAGAGAACATTCCGCCCCAAATGCGTGATGCACGATGGGATAAATACCTCTTGAGTAATCCTAGGAGGTGTCTTGAGAATGGAGAAAACGGCGATGCTGGTAAGTCATCCTCCTGAGGAAGCCTGTATGCCAGCAACTAACATTCGTGACTTTGAAAGAATTAAAGTCTCAAGCGAGAAAGCGGCGAGGAGGTTTGCAATATGTTTGCTACCCTATGAATGCCAGCTGACACAACCAAGAACCAGCGCGCCAGTCAAAGATGGCAGAGAGGGAGGCCGCTGTGCCCGGTGGAGTTGGATCAAATCACGGACCCCGAGGCAAGGTGCGGTACAACGATTTTGGACTCCTCGAGTTTTGGAGAGCCGATGAAGAAGCATGGAGTAGGTCATCCGCAGAGCCCTGATAATTTATAATGGAGAGTGGGGCTTACCATGTGTGTAGTACCCGCTGTATACCATTGCAGGATCAGAGCCAAATTAATCAACATGGCTAAGACTTGCGAGGCGGACGTCTACAGTAGCTATCCGATCTTAGATCTAATGGACGATTAGCTAACGAGTTTAGGACACCCTCGCGCTTGTGGAGAGCACGATCTCGACATCACAGCCTTTTTGGACTCACAAAAAGACTGGGATCTTGAGCGGGATAATGGCTGGACCAATATCCCAGACGGTGTGCTATACATGTTCTCCATGACCGGCTATAAGACTCCTACTTATGATGTCTTATGGATGTATGATGAAGGAAGCGTTGTCCTGGATCTAGACAACCATCCTGTGAAGAACTACAGCAACATCCCATTGACAGTATCATCGAAGATAGAAGGTGCACTGATGGAAGCAATTCGTCGACTTGACCAGAGGATCACAATGCAGGATTTTGAGGCAAGACTGTAAGTATACCTTTTTCGAGAATCTAGACAGCAGAGACTGACCAATAGCAGACCCAAAGAATGCGGGAATGGCGAAGTTTTAACGCCAGGCGCACTGAACATGCGCGTGTCTCGCTTCCGATTGGAGAATTGTGTCCCAGCTTTGAAGGAGCGCAAGGGTACGAAGAATTTGCGGCAATACATATGGAATCTCATGAGCCCGGCCGCCCGAGACGCAAACTCAACTCGAGAGTTGAGCAAGCTCACGAAGGACCAGCAAGAAGAAGCGCGAAGACAGAATGCCGGAAAGCACGATGCCAACGCAGGAGGTTGGGCGCGTACCAAAGAAAGCCAGAGTAATTCAAGCAAAGAGGTTTCAGCACCAGTGAACGCTCAGGAGAAAGGTACCACAAAGTCAGCGTCGTTACGATCCAGTCAGAACAAACAACCATGCTTGACCTGCAGAATCAGCTATGATGGCGACACAGAGCGTCAACCTCCATCCTTTGCTTCAGAACAAGGAAGGAAAAGTCATCCCAGCAAGCGTCGAAAAGTTCGCGAAGCTACACAAAGCGCCATTCATGCCCCGCAGGGCTCATATCCGAGGGTACCCTATGGAGACGCGTCATTTAATCCCTTCCTGCGCTCCGCAAATCACGGCTATGGCCCGATTAACTCCATCTTGCCGAGCGAAGTCGCATTCACAACATCCAGCGACAATTCACTGCCTTTTCCAACTTTAAATAGGCAAAATCCATCCGCAGGGTTCGGCTGTGCCACGACACCTAGTCCAGCGCTACCTAGAGCGTTCCACAACGGTCAACATCTGGTACCATCGGCTCAGCATGATTGTACTCACCAGCGTTCAGACGTCGAAAACACTTTGGAGAACCCTTACTGCAATTTTGATCTACGGACTTGGTCTATTGATGATCCGGCAGAATTTGTTTCCAGTACCAGCCAACGCATCGTCGACACTTTAGCGAACGAAACAGACCCTAATTCGTCCATGGAAATCGACTACCGAAGTCTTCCGCCACGAAATGAAGAGGAGATGGAAGACATACAGAGAGCTCTTGCCCTAACAAGAGCCAATTATCACTTCCATACCAACTGTGATAGTCTCGAAACAACAAGGTCTTTAAGCTACTTCCAACAAGTGGGGCAGCTAATGGACAGCTTAGCTGAATATTGGACGCTATTGGACAACCCTCCACGGATGCCGGATCTGATGACATATCAAGAGCCATGGAGAAATGGCTTCAAAAGTTGGACAGTTTGCGCAGGCGGCGGTGAAGCGTTGGTGAATGAGATATTTGACCAGTATGGAGGCGTCATAATGACGGGAGATGATGATAGGATACCACGATGAAAGGGAGCCACGAAATGAATCATGACTGGAAATAATAACATGATATGGCCATGGCGGGTAGTTACTAGGACCAGAGGCAGTAATAAAGGAAGAGTGAAAGGGTTGATGATAGCCTAAGTGTGAATGGTAGGGTTCTGAATCACATACTTGCTAGTGATTAGAGATTAGAGCGGGGAATCAATGAATGTCTGTAGCGCCAAACACATCCAGCATAGTGACACTATAAATTAGACCAACCATCCAAAACCTGTACTTGCACACCACCCTCAGGAAGAACTAATTTCAAAGGCCCTTCTGAGCCTTTGATAAAGCATATCACTGTATGCATCCAGTGGCTTCCATGGAATTATCTCATTTGTTGCCTACCCTTTAGCTGTTTGCCAACTTGAGCAAATCTAGCATGACATTCGTATCATGCAGTGATTGTGCCATTCTTTCAGCTGACCGACCTGACTACTTCTTTCTGGTATATACAAAGAGGCGGAGCAGCCTTGATGCATGACACAACGAGAGTCGACTCGACATTGCCTACCGTTGCGAATATTGCGTCATTTGGTATCCGGCCAAATGATTCACGATAGAGGAGTGAGACATGTATCTTGGACCGTGTGTACCGCAAAGCTAATGACGCATATGATTGCGATCTTGAAGGAAATCAAAACCTTGATTGTGCCTGAAGTGGGGAAAGAGCAGATGTAAAAGCAGTGAGATACTTTGACAGGTCATCATGGCAGATGAAGACTGTGAGGGACAATGCGGTCTGAAACGGAGTGAAATGAATTGGTGCAGGTTCGTGCCTGATAGAGCCAAAGATCACCTGCGGTTACCTTTCTTCATTTCGCCGTCAGGTAATGGCTGCCATCGCCCACAGAAAGTACCATATCGGTCCGGGGACCACGCGACCAATGCTCCTCAGCAGACAACAAACAGCTATCAAAGGGTTGCCAGAACAAGCCATTACGATCCCCTCTTGAAAATCATGTCAAGCACCGTTCGCTCCATCCATGCTTCCTCTTTGGAGATACACCAAGACCTGACGGCTCACTCAGAGCTAGGGATTGAAGCACCTTGCGCTCGCAATTGAACACCGCGCCTTATGCACGTTCATACCGGATTCTTGACTCCTACTGTGGGAGTGAAAACCGAAGCTGAGCTCCACTTCCTTTCGACCCTCCTGCGTGAAGAAAAGGATGCTGAGGATCTCGGTTATGGAGAACGTATATAAATATGATGTGTACCAGACCAGAGCCAGCCAACAGTGGTCGGACCAGCGTTCGAGTACTGTTGTTCGGTCTATAAAAACCCTCTGCAACACCTTTCCCGGCATTCGGCACCACACCCACGGCCATGTCAGCAGGCGACGGACCAGAAAATGGCGTCAACACTGCCATGAGAGGACCATCGGGAGTCTTGCCCCAATCATGAGCCTGGAAATGCTGTTTCAACATATACGATCGACCTAATTCTGATCGTGCAGAACTTTTTGGTAGGACCTTTCTGGCACGAAAAGCGAGGAGAATTCGCTATCGAACAGTGGTCTGGCAGTTACGAGACATCCTAAGAACCAATGGCCACGTACCATGGCCACGAGGCTTAACATGAGCTTTTTGAGTTGCAAGAGAGCCCTCGTTCTTCTTTGACCAATTGACCCTTGTGAAGAGAGATCGGCGTGGTACGAGAGCAGAATTTTAGGGAGTTGAGGAGTCCAGCAAGAGCTTCGAGACTTCGTCAGGATAGATTTGACTCGGTAAATATACGCGTTTGCTTGGCATCGCCAAGCCTTGGGAAAAAGGGGTTGAGTTTGAGTAAGTGCATCAAATCTTTTGCAGCGCTGCAGCACCTCTGACTGCAATAGAGCCTCCCTCCGCTTGATGCGTAGTCTCCTTATAGTTGTTCGGACTTCAACCTGTTCCCGGTAAGCATTAAACGACTGGGACCCCTTTTTCTCTCTTCCAGTGACCATAATCAACAAAGCACTTGGCACAATTCTTCCAACACATCACCACCAACAACACTTCCTACCTTCGAACACCGCTTTCTTTCAGCCCCGCTGGCCTTCAGCCTTACGTTGTCTTAGTATCCCGCACCTTCCCTTTTCTCTTGCAGCTTTCACAGCTTTCTCCACACACAACCTTCCCACCGCTATTCTCCACAGACACCACTCAAACATTTTTGAACTTCAAGAGGCTTATGTTCATCGCCCTTGACCTCTAAAGAGATAAAACCCTATTCAAACAGTTGATTTGGACATTCACACCTCCTATATCCTAAGACAAATTCCTAACAACGCAAAGAGAATTCTTGCAATATCCACCAGAGGCATATAGCACTGACATCTTGTATTGTCAGTATCTCACACTACTCGAACAATAAGCCGTGATGACGCCAAAGGAGCAGTCCTTGTACGGTCAGATGCCTGTCGAATACGCGGCTGGGGAAGAGGAGGAAACCTACCTGCAGATGATGAATGATCTCGCTGGTAAGTGGTGGAGACCCTGACCAGTGCAAACTAAGAAGTAACATTGGGTAGAGGAGGAATGCAGTTTAGGTCCTCAGCAGTCCCAGCATTCGCATACAAAAGGCATTTCTGGCAATCAGAACCAGAAGAAGGGTGTTACGAAGGCTCAAGGATCCAACAAGGAGAAGAAGCCAAAGCACAAGGTGAAACGCCAGACGCGTTTTGAAAACGGCCGACTCGAATTTCTTCAAGACCCTGACGCACTGGTTCAGCAATGGGGTAAGTTATTCTTCCATGATGTATGCCGGTCTAACAAGATTTAGAGCCTGCTGTCCGCATGGATGATTGCAGACGTGAGCTGATAGATCAGCAAAATCGTCTCGCGGCCCAACTAGGGATGAGCTATCGTAAGCCACCGCACAATATCACTCTGTGAGAGCCCAGCTGACGGTTATTAGGTGATCCAGATCCGGTAGGCACAGGAAAAGATGACGAGACCGCTTTCAAGATCGAGCACGCAGACTGGGACTCAGATCGCGCGCATCTTCCAGGGATCTGCTGGCGTTATAACGAAGACGAGGATAACAATCCCCGGCCTAGCGATAACCCGGGGTACATGCGGTTCAAAGGCATGATCGTTCTTGATTCAAATGACAGCCCTGTCAAGGATTGGCCTCAGCTTCCCGTAACGCTCTCCTCGAAGATTCGAGGGTACAGACTCGAGATAATGTCCAGGGAGAATCCCCATCTTGAGTATAAGGATTGTAAGCGTGCTGTTGCTTCAGGTGATCCTCATATGCTGACGATGGATAGTCATAGCTCGCATGCCGAGTGTGATTGAGAAGACCAAGAAAGACAAGGACACGGGAGAGACCGAGGTGGTAGTCGAAGCGCCAGATCCTAACGTGGTGTGCAACATGCGCATGTTGCGGTTTCGAAGAGACAAGGGCCTCCTTAGCTGGACCGAAAAGGGTAATACTAAGGTCATCGGAGAAGGCTTGGAAAAGCTTTTTGGAGATAGATTGCACAACAATTCGATGCAATCTTTCGGAAGAGATCTGACGCCACAAGAGCAGATGGAGATCAGAAAAGGAAAGAACGCACAGTTTCCAAAGCAAAACGCAGCTGGTGGCTCCCCAACTCAGGTAGCGACTAAGAAGAGAAAGACCAGGGGTGATACAAAGACTCCAAAGGGACAGAGCAAGGCCTTGATTCCAGAAGCCCCGCGACAAAAGCGTCCCCGTGAAGACGACGAAGATCTCGACTCCTCTGACGATCAGAATCTGGGACAGGCCACGGCAGCTTCATACCGCAAGCGACGTCGTAATGCTAGAGGGGAAGTATCCAAGCCTACGATAAACCTCGACACCGACCAGGCTCTATCGGCGGCGGGAATAGCGCCGAAAAATATCGAAGTTGGATCAAATCAAAGGCAGCGTGCTTCAAACCATCTTTCTGACGGGTCCTACGGTGATGAAAGCGATGAACATCTCTTGGAAGACCAAGACCAAGACGGTGGACAGTACGAGAGTAGGACAAAACGCCGTCCAATTCGTCCTCTGCCGGCTAGGCATGCTAGTGGAGGAGCCAAAACGGTTCCTCACTTCGATTCTGCCCAAACACAGGAGCAAGATTACGACCCTCGTGGGGATATTGGTTCCCAAGAAGACGCAACAGACGAGAATGCAGACGATGACATGACTGACGTTGACGATCTGGCGGATGACCTCAACAGCGGAGAAGCTAACGGATCCGTTGAAGACCTAGTGGAGGAAGATGTCGAAGAGGATGTCACGCCCGTCATACGCCAAGAGACGGACTTGGAGCGGCATCGGAGACTGACGAGGGAATTACTAGGGGAAGAGGACGACTTCTTTTTCAGACCCGAATCGAATCGTCTGTGGAGTGCTCCACTCTTTATCCCTTCCCATCATACGGAGTGATCCGTGCGGGATTTTGGACTGGGGAGGAGGGCTCATTGACCAATACGAACGACAGACGGGTTCCAATTCCAGGAAATCTTCACGACGTTCAACGATTGGTGGGGCGATCATTCTGACGAGCCATCACCGGGCTTGACTGGGGCGATGCATCTCGGAGCATTGATCTATGACTAAGACCATCCGCAAAAGGCGCCGCTGTACTATGGGGTTCTGAGCACGGGTATGGCGTACCGCGTTGAGATAGCGGGCAGGTTCACGGTATGCCAGGACTGCTGCACGAAATGCGGCTTTTGTGGGATGTGAAGACACAGGCTGGTTGAGGTGGATGCATACTGAATAGAAGGACATGAATTCTGAGGATTTGTGAGGCTTGAGCAGGATTGTCTTGAGGGTTTCGGGTTCTGCTCCAGAGAGTTCGCGACATGGGGTTCTATTCTGCAGCGTTTCCAAAAGGTTTAGTTCAGATATAGAGTAGGCCTTTTGACAGTGGAGGAAGTTTAGGCAAGGGTTTGATTCAGGAGATCAGGGTCAGATATGGGACATTTACAATAACGAACAGATCGAACACTCGGAACCGCGAGGTGGAAGAATATTCTCTTTGATGCCGAGCAGTGAGTCGAGTCGCTGGTTGTACTAGTACAGTGTTCGGCAATGGATCTGATGTAGCACTTTAGAAATCACGAAGAGCGCCCTTGGTGTATGGTAGGGCCCCTTTGTCGATGGGAATTTTCTTGGTGAGTGTGCCATAACAACACTCATACCTCCAACACAACAAATCTTCTGACACCACATTTTGAAACTAAGCAACTTTTTTTAAACATATATATTGCCAATATTTTGCATCTTCAGTCTTATTGCTCTGTCACACACCACATCGTGATGGCGTTCAGCAACCAATCTCGTCACTACCACATAGCCGGCGAATTTTCAGGTGCTGAGAGAGACGAGTTCGGCTACACCAAAGACGACTATGTGCGGATGATGGATGATGTCGCCAGTAAGTACGTCAGACTTCTGGATATTGTTGACAGCAGTATAACAAAGTATAGTCGCCGTCGTTGATGGACATGATGAGGCTCTCTCAACACCTCAAATGAGGCGCAAAGACCGTCAACCCAGTACCGGCTATAATGCCCCAGCATCAGCAGGCCGTCATCGAAGGTCGGTCAAACAAGACAGCCGCACTACTGGGCCGGGAGCAAGCAGTCACAGCGGAAGAAAGTTCAGCAGCCAAGGTGGCACTACCAGGTTTCACCCATACCATCGTCACCAGCAACATGTTCCGCCAAATGCATTTGGTGGTTCTGGAGATACATACCCGACTCCTCCGATTGCATGGCACAACGGTTCGAATGCTCCCAGCCAGAATGTATACCAAAACTCCCGGTCCAGTGCATTTGGTAATTATGGAGGTGTAATTCCGAATACTCCATCTTCACAACACAACGTCTCGGACTTTGCAGGTCAAAGATCGCAACAAGATAGTGTTGGGCTACAGACACTCCCTCCTTCCTGGAACCAAGGCCAACTTTCTGGTCCAGCAATGCAAATCGCTCAGCCATTACAGATGAATGCCCGCCCATCTAGACACAGATTGCAGGCTCGCCCTAGTCCCAGAGAGGGCAGACATGGTGCAGTGCCGGCAGTGGACGACAACGTTGAGGATGGAGAAGATTTATCAGAGGGAGAAGAGGACAGAGAGGCTGGCGAGGAGCAAGCGTCAAACAGGGTCAAAGGAACAAAGAAGTCCAAAATGTCACCAACGGCCAAGACGAGAGTCCGTAGAGGGCTAACTCGCATCAACGCCGATGGCGAGCTCGAGTGGCTCGCGGCAAATGACAGAGATGGAAGTAGGATCTCCTCCGTCCATTTCCAAGTTTGCTAAACTGACCAATCATAGTTATAGCGGTGAGGCACGATGACATCAGACCCCAGCTGATAGCCATTGCAGAGGCCGAGAGAGTTGCACTTGGGGTCCAAAATGGTACGTCCCAACACAGCCGCAACTGTGAGACCTTGACTGACCATCACAGAACACCCAGACGAACCAGGACCTGGTAAATATAATGTGACTTCGTTCTACCGCAAGCACGTCAAATGGGGCCCTGATAGAGATGACCGCCCAGATATCGACTTCGCTTGGGAAGAAGATAGGGAGAAGAATCCCAGGCCCAATTGCCCGGGTTATATGTATTGGGAGGAGAACGGGAAAAAGTATGTTGTTCTCGATCCTCATGACAATCCCGTAAAGGATTGGGACATTCCTTCCACGATTGCCTCGAATATCCCAGGATACAAATTAGAGGCCATGCGGCGGGAAAACATGAGTCTAGGGCATAAAGATTGTAAGTAATACAGGTACTGGTATGATCTCCCCTGCGCTAACCTATCGTCAGTTTGGGCTCGTATGCCGAGTCAGATCAACGTCGGCACCGAAGGTCAACCGATTTGGGAAGAGCTTGGACTCCCCAACTCCATCGTCAACATGCCGATGGAGCGCTTCCGGTTCCATGCGGGGCTATGCAGCTGGACAGAGCGCACAAAGACCTTGGTGATCAAGGCGGGCCTTAAGAAGCTGTACGGGGATAATCTCCAAAACAACACTGTCAGGGCCTTCGGACGAGATCTTACTACTAAAGAGATCAACGAGATCAAAAAAGGCGACAACGCAGTATTTCCAATAGAAGGCGATGTTGTTCCAGCGACTCCAAAGGCCGCCAAGAAGTATAGGAGCAAAGGCGCAGCTAGGCCCACGAAGCTAAAGGGAAATGCCAAGGAGGATTCCCAGTCTCGGAAGCGAAAGAACACCACTGATGATGAAGGACAGTCCTCGGAGGAAGAGGTTCAGACTCAGTTCAGATCCCACAAGCGAGCTCGCCACGGGAGGAAAGAGGATAGCGTTGCCGCCGAAATCGATGACCTTGTCATGTTCGAACAATCGCCAACCATCATCGACCAAGACAATGCTAGTCAACGATATTCACTCAGATCGACTCGACAAGATGCAAAGACCCCTAGAAGAATCGAAACAATCGAGGAATCTTCAAGCGACAGCTCGGCCGACGAGGAATATCAAGACACTCCAACCCAACGCTATTCGCTTAGTCAAACTCGGAAAGTTGCGAAAGCTCGTGGGAACAGCCGGAAAGTCAAGGAATCTCTTTCTCGCGAGACCTCGGCCGAGGATGAAGATGAATACGTTCCTGCCCGACCCTCTTATCCACTCAAGTGGATTGAGACCAACGAAAAGCCTCAGAGAGAGAGCGACAGAGTCCGGGTAGCTCCACAGGAGAACTCGGTTGAGAGTGATGAAGAAGAAATGCCGGCTGAAAGGTTCCCATTCAGACGGATCCCGCGGGCTGGGGAAGTTGGTGGCAAGAGCAAAGGACCTTCGTGGGTAAGCTCGACTGGGGAGAAAGATCAGAACAATGAGGAGAGGGATTATCGACACACAGCAGTGCCTGTGACCATCGATGGGAGGATTCATTACGCTACCTATGAAGGCCTCATCAGCAACGGGCCAGTACCCTACGTCGGCGGATCTGGTACTTCCCCTCAACCCCAGGCCCGGGAAGTTATTGGTGCGTCTTTGGCGCAGAGCGAGTCGTATCCAGCGCAGCCTCACGCTTTCGATGTCATGATGAGCATGCCATTGCTTGATGAAAGTCACCTAGAAGAGGAAGATACGCCACTGCAAGCCCACAGGAAGCGGGTGAGGGACTTCCTTGGGGATGAGGAGGCAGAAGCCTATGCGCCTGCTTCGAAGCGTTTGCGTACGGAGCAGCCGGTCTTGCCGAATCCAGCATCAGCCACGCATGGAGCTACCAGCAACTTTCCACCGCAAATCGTTTCACCACCAATCATTCCACCACAAGCCGAGCAACCTAGTATGGCTTCTCCAGCTCCTCAAGCACAACCACCCCAAACACGAAAGCAGAAGCTCGAAGCCGAATGGGCACTGGTTTTCAAACAAATGTTCGTGGATCTTGGCTTTCCATCTGTAAATTACAGCGAGGTGCCTCCCTGGAATGAGGAGGAGGTCCAGAGCCTCGTCGACGCGTTACTTCCCACACGAGAGGTATACTTCGCATGGACCGGAGAGCCAGCCCCGAGAACAGATCCGCAACAGAGCTACCGTGCACAGTTCGACACGATATTTGGGGCATTCCAAGATTGGTGGAGAGCGCATCGTTCAAACGAACAATTGCCAATCCTGGCCGGCGTTATGCATTGGGGTCGGTCGGTGGATGACTGGGAGCTTCCGAGCAAGGACTCGATGTATTATGAGGCTTTCAAAAAGGGTCATCGAGCACCGCGCGGAGAGAATGGGCAAATCCTCGACCTACCAGACTGGCCAGGATCAAGGCTCGAGGACGCTTTGAGAGAGAGGTACTAAGGCGATGACCAATAAAAGCGAAATAAAGCGTGAGGATTTCGGATTCTGCTTCAGAATGTTTCAGGCAATGGATGCTGTTTTGCAATGTTTTCAAGGGCTCGTGACAGAAAGAATTGTGGCAGTCGACGACTCACGGACTGAGCTGGAAGTTTATGATCACTCTGCGTTTTCTTTACCGGATTTCCAAATATAGGGTATATCGAAGATTTTCAGCGCCTCATTGAAGGCGTTGCTGGCATCATCTTGGGGCGTTATTATAGCTTGTAGCATAGATCCTCCATTCAAGAATACCATCGAGCACCAACTCATCCAGTTTCTAGTAATGGCGGTCCGAATTTAATGTAATTTCGGAAAATATCACTTTTCTGTTCGCGAAGGATGGATTCGAGCCCAAATGGAGAGATACCTCTGACATTGCAAGGTGATGCCATCTGGAACCAACTGATGTTCTGCCACGTCAATGCCCTTGAGTGGCAAATGGACGAAGATCTACGTGGGGTGAAAAGTGTCAAATGTCAACACATCTGCCTTAGAATGTAGGGCTGATTGTAAACTCCAGTCCTTCTTGTCGACCTCAGTCCTTCAACTCAGTCACATCGTTCACTCACCCGCTTAGCACCATCCTGCATTCGATTCCTGTCATTCGCTACTTCGCATTCGTCTCCACCTTATCGCCATAACGCTGTGTTCAACTAGGCTTCGAAAACAGTCACGATCCTGTAACATGGCTGCGCGAGGCAGCATCCAACAAAACCCCTCGCAAGTGGCCGGAACCTTCCAACCTGCACCACCAGTCGCTTCAGGTGTCATACCTGGCCCATCTGCACCCTTACAAATGGGCCAGGCCGGTACCGTCCCTTGGGTTAATGTGATGTACGCATCAGACTCGCGCTGGGAAAATCCGAGCACCTGGGAAAAGGTTGATCTACTCCAGGAAGCATTGAAGCCATCCATTCGGAGCTTTACGCGCGTTACTTCAAGATCACCTCCATCCGTCCCCGGCTCTCCATGGCAATCTTATGCGTCGCAGCTCGATATTCTTCAGCGCGAGTCGGATCGATTTTGGAGTGCAGATCGACGCCCTGGAGCTCCTCCAAAACTTGCTGGACTTGCTGCATGGAGAGGTGGGGTCTTGATGGTCCGCGAAGCAGGGTTCCATATCACAGAAGAGATGACAGAAGAGTTTATGCACGCAAAATTGCGCGGATACAGGCATCGCGATGGGTCGCCAGGAGACAAGTTTATTGAGCAGACGCATAACCAGTTTCAGAATGTCCTTTTGGCAGCAGACACCCGAAGAGGGAGGATCAGAGCACAAGCCGTGGAGAGAAGAGGGCAGCAAGGTGTCTCCGAGAACACCACGGCAATCCTCGATAATATTGTCGCACGAGATCCAGAGCGATTCTTGGCATGGCTCTCGACCATGGGATATCTTTACTTCACGATGAAAGATCATAATCCTTACGCTTTTTCTTGGGAAGATTGGTGCTTTTGGAAAGCTCCAAGAAGCTTCGAGGTGTGCTGCAAGCAAGCTTCTGCTGTGAAGAGGCCGTTACTCGGCCCTGGAGCCATCGACAGAGCTAAATACGGGCCACGAGGTGACAGACCAACCATCACTCTTGCGGAAGCCAAGAAGGGTAACAAGAAAGCGTTGGATTTCCAAGACACTGCTGATGGGATTGAGGTCTCTCTGAAGGAGAAAGCCCAATACTACATCATTGGTGGTGAAGCAACGTCACGGGAAGCAGCAGCACACTATCATGCAATTCGAGGGGAAGATTTGTGGCTCTTTGAGCCAATGAACTCCGTGAAAGAGGCGTATAATGACCTAAGTCGCCAAAGAGAAGCAGAGGTCGAGCCGAGCTTTCGTTGCTTGCGGTGATATGCATCAAGGGCTATCCTTGATCCTGATACTCATTGGCGAGGAGGTGGTGTCTCCTGAAACCTATCACGTGTCGCCCATCACCGCCTGACACAATTCCTAGTGCCATATTTTGGGCCTCTATGCATGAGGTTTTCGCACTCTGTGGTCTCTGGCATCCTGCGCGCTCTTCTTCCGATCCATTAGAGACTTTTGGCCCTCAATATTCTGCCACGAGTTAGATTAGGAGCCTCAAGGTGTCGATAGATACCATCGCCCTTTTTCAACAAGAGTCCGGCCCGGTCAGAGAAGGAAGGTTGAGGTTGCCAAGGATGACTCAAAGACAAGACTGACGATTTGGCGCTGGCAAGGGCTGACATACTCGTAGAGGAAAGTGGCAACAGTGTATGGATATACACTTAGATAAGAGAATTATTTATTGATCTTGGAAGGAGAGATCCATCGCCGCGTCATGCCATTGTCTACAGTGACGGAAAACAATGGCAAAAAGCAGGCCTCAGCAAATCTTACTAGCGTTGATCTTACCAAACGCTAACCTTTTCGGGTCTAGATTGTTCCAAAATGGCTGACTCTTGAGTCTTGATTTTGAATTTGATATTGGGAAACAGTGTCAGTAAAAAACAACCTCTCAAACACATGATGGCAGTGGCCGTTGAACCCTCATTTCCTACCTCTGTATCCTCCCTCCTCCTTCCCACCAACTCCCAAAGCTTCTCAAGTACCCTCTCCTCCCTGAAACGTACTACGCTCTCTACCACCAATCGCCTACACTCGATCCATCAGGACTCGCTTTTCATCCAGAATGTGGCTTCCAACTACAATTTTCCCATCGTTGCCAACGAGCGTTGCGGTAGTTGGTACGTTCCTCCGGAACAAAAGGCCGGCAGCGCCTATTTCAAGAGCACGGATGGACATTGGGGACAATGGAGCTTTAGTACAAGACGCTTGAACGTGCAGGTACTCGATATAATAGGGAGATCAGGTGGGTGGGTAAGGATCACGATCTAGATACCATGACTGATAGGTCGTGGAAATGTGGGCTGATCGGCGCTATAGATGCATTATAGTCGACTCTACACGAAGAGGTAAAAGCATGCCTGATGCATTGAGCAAGACTATACCCATCTGGTGTGCTGTGATCAATCGGTTACTATTCGGGGAGATGCATGAAAGTCACAAGCTGGGTACGCCGAAGGAGGTCGTGGGTGCATCAGAGCACGCCCAGATTGAGGCGCTTCTTTACGGGTTTGTTGATGATGTGAAGGTAAAAAAGGCTTGATACCCCAAACTATGGAACTCCGAAGCTGACAGAACAGGATCTCGGCCTTGACCTATCCTCCCTACGCTCAGTCTTGAAGAAGCCACTCCGACCATCCTGGGTCACCCACGATTCGACGTCCACGCACGAAACCGGTCCCTCCACGCACTATCACACCATAATCTGCTGTACAGCATCCAGACGCGTGTTCGGCGCAGAAATGTCGGAGGATGGATACATTCAAGGAGCTGGAGACGACAGCGAAGGCTGGTCGAATGGTCTGACGCCAACCCTGTTCTGGAGGCATAGTGAACAACTTCTGGCAGCAGTCGAGGTAGACATGCCATGTCTAATTCAGGGTTTGACTACTACGCATCAGGACCATGGTGCCGCTAGTAGTGATGCTGTGAAGCTTGGCCTTACGAGACTTCACATTGGCACTCTGTCGAGCGCTGCGCAAGCTGAGCAATATGATGGTATTGTCATCTGCGGTGACGCTACGCCCTCCATGCCAGACCAAAAGGCCAAAGACGAAACAGGAAAGAGAACCCTAGATCTACTGTGTGGTAATGGGAAGCTAGGCAGTCGAGCTCTTCGCTCTCAATTACCTCGCATCCCTCCATTTATTGCCAGTCTTCCGGACTATGGCTCACCACCAAAGATTCTGTTCGTGTGTCCCACGGGAAAGGATCTGTCTGTTGGTACTGCGCTGACGGTGCTTTGCCTGTTCTTTGACAATAAATGTAAGTTGCGCTGATGCTCTTTACTCCGCCTTTTCCGTGCACAACCTCTATAGCTTTCCCCACACCTATTAGCTAACCCCTTTTCTTCTTTCTTGAAGACCGTTTCAGCCGCCATGCGACTAGTACGCCAATCGATAAGGCCCTCATTCGCCGACGTCTCGCCCTTATTACAACAGCAAAGCCTGATACCAACCCCTCGCGCTCGACCCTACAGAGTGTGCATTCCTTCCTGATGCCTAGGCTTGAATGATGGTTACTCCCCGCTGGTCTCGTTCATGAGAAGGACCGACGGCCCCAAGCACTATGGTTAAGCAGACATTACCAGGTATTTCCCGCTGTCAGCGCTTATCAAAGACAAGGGTGCGAGTATGGTTCGGAGTTAGATGGAGAACCACCTGGCGAGAAGTACCGTATTCAGATACGGCGGTGCTGCAACTGTTCAAACAACGACGATGAATGGTTTATGCAGAGCGCCAATGTGGCTTCGCGAAATTCAGGCAATGCACGTATGGAGGGGAACAACCCTGATGGATACAAAGTCAACGAGGAAAGGCAGAGCCAAATTGTTCGCAAGAAGGGCAATAATCCTAAAGAAATCGCAGTCCTTTGTCTCAATGCATGCCTAGGATGACGACTATCGAGGGTTCGCTCACGGGTGCAAGGTCATCCTTTTGCTTCGATGGTATCTCGACAATGATGAATATGGGATTTGAGCCTGCCTTCTACGGCTTCTGGGGGGACTCGAGGGAAATGGAATTTGACAGCTATCTAGTGTATCATGCCAACCCTCGAAGAGCATAAGCCGCCTACTTCACAATCCCAATGGCTCGATTATGGTATTGCCCTCCACATAAGTTCATCCCCGGGGTTGATAACGCGAGTTGTCTCCTAACGAGAGCTGGCATTTTATGGGTGTTTTATAGGGTAAGAACTTAGGGATGATCTTTCGTGTAGAACCTATACATCGACGTGAATGCTACATGACCCGCAGCTCATCTTCCTCCTTCTTCCAATCCTTCTCACCAGTAGCTTCTCGTTCGACATCATCATCGACAGCCTTACCCTCAATCGTCACCGAGGCCCCTTCCTCACCTTCGTACACCTCATCCGGCAAGACCGCTCGCGGGATCATCGTCTCTGTCGGCGGGAAGACTGTCGAAAGGACCACATATACCAGCGACGTGATGACGAAACCAAGAATCCACGCGAACGTATATGGTCTTTTTCCAACGCCAACGGTGACGGAGGGATTGATGCTGTTGATAAAGCCTGGTAAATTGGGGGCTACGCCCACGATGAAAGCTGAGATGGCGCGCCAGTTGATGCCGTAGGTGTAACGGTATATGCTGTCGCAACCAGTGAGCAGGCGCTTCGCTACGAAGTCGTCATGAGTATTGGGCATACCCTTCAGGATGATACAAAGCAACGACATCGTACTTCATCTTGTGAACCCACCAGAAATCCCATACCAAGATTGAGGCAATCGGCCCCAAGAAGACGCTATAAGCCGACATGAAGTTCAAAAAGCCGCTCGCGGTCGCCAGGATCTTCCAGGGTACCATGACCCACGCTATCAGGGCACATATCAGCTGTCCACGCCGAATGTTGATGTACGAAGGGAATAACGCAGCCAGGTCGTTGGCCGCTGACAGACTATTGGCTGAGATGTTGACACCCAATGCAGCAAGGGAGAAGGCAAAAGCGGCGAAGAATTGACAGGCTCGATTCGGCCAATTAGCAATGAGGGTAGCGGGATTCCAATCCAGTGAGCCATAATGTGCCTCTCCAGCAGAAGTACATGCAATGCCGATGAACGCGATGAACGTGAACACAATCGGCAGCATCGGAACGTATAGCCACTGCCACTTAACGCTAGCCTTGCTATATCGAGAGAAGTCGGGCATGTTCACCGACAGGGTACTATAATTCCCAATGACCTGATCTCGTTAGTATTACTCTCGGACCTGAACGCTGGGCATACTGAGGTGAGGGAAGAGAGCCAGGCGTAAGAGTACGCGGACCCTCCCACGGTGGCCTTCGCGGAGGAAGAGAGCAGTGGTCCGCCAGTGCCGCCTGTGGAGCGGAATGCCCAAATGAGCATGGCGATGAAGCAGATCGGGACGAGGATGGATTTGGTGATGAAGAGATAGCGGAGGTTGTTGGGATGCATGTAGAGAAAGGGGATCTGGGCGAGCCAGACTGACGGTGCGTTTGTCAGCTCGCCGCCATCCACGGGCATGCTGCCAGCGGTACTCACACAAGAAGAACGACACCATCTGCGCCGTCGTAATGCCCTGGTCCGCGGGGATGTGGTTCGGTAGCCTGCCAAAGCTGGGCCAGATCGCCGTGATCATCACTTGCACCACATCACCGCCATTGACCGTCTGGATCGCAAACCAGAACATCGCCAGTATCACTCTCGATATAATAGCCACTAGCACACTTCATCAGCACATCCATTTCTTCCTCCCTCCCCCCTCCCCACGCCTTCTTTATCCATCCCTCCCCCCCTCCCAACCACGACGATGATAACGATGATGATGACATCCATACCATAACTCCCCCAAAACCCCCACCCGGCCCTCGCCAGCACGGGGAACGGCGCGTGGTACAGCACCCCCGTCGCCCCGTTCAGGCTGATGACCACGCTGACGAGCAGGAACCCCGTCGCCACGATCCCGAGCGCGTCCCGGTACGACAGCCCCCCCGCCAGGATCGAGGCCGCGAACTCCCACGTCGCCGCGTTGAAGGCGTCGGAGAACCAGTAGGCGATGAGGGCGTAGACGGTCCATTTCCGGTCCCGGCGGCGGATGGGGTCGAGGTCTGAGGGGTCGTCAGGGAGGGTTCGGGGGGGGATGCGGGGGAGGGGGGGTTACCTTTGTTGCTCCACCTGCTCGCTCCGACGGCGCCGGAGAAGGCGGAGGGGACTTGCGAGACGTGCGGGGAGGGCAGGTGGGGTTTCGGAAGAAGAGGCATGCTTGACGCTGCGCTGCCGGCTTGCTGGCTCGGTTGCAGTGGAGGAATGGGGTTTCTACATACTACGATGAACGGACATGGCGACGGGGTAGGGAGATGTATCTCTATCAGCAGCTTACGGTCGAGTTTGCTTTATCGAGACCGGAGTCTGAGCGCTTATCGTCTTGCATATCATAGCTACCTTAATCATGCTAATGTACATGTAAGTACTTTACCCAATCGTGCGGGCGTGGCCCCACCGCCTTACTCGCTACGCTCATACCTTATCGCGGTAGCCGGGCAGATATCGCCTGTTTGTGCAGCTGCCTTTTTGGGTTAGGGAGGGAGGGGAGCCCTAAGGTAGGGCTAGGTGGGTAGGTGGGCTTGTTTGATGGGATGGAGGGGTGTGTGTGGGAATGGGGGGACAGAAAAGGGATGCAGGAATGGCCGATTACTTCTTAGCTCCCATCGACTCTAGGTTAATACTTTACCCTTCGATATACTTGACTGTGGGTTTATGGCTCAGGGCTTTTGATTAGGTAGCTGATGCGGTGGTTTGTGTTTTTCTCGTGTGAGTGGTTGGTTGTAATCGTTAATCATACATGGTTTCAACCCGGATGCCATTCCCTGGCAGATGTAATCTTTCGTTCCACAACAATTTGATAGAAAACTTGAAAACCAGATCTGGAAAAATAGACCAGGAAGCGTAGAATACGATTTCTAGAACATCAAGAAGTCTTCAAATCGAAGTGATATTGATAATGCTGTATAATAATCGACTTGTCATACAACTTTGGTGAGATGCAGACTGTTTGGGGGTCGGACTTATCGGACATTGCATCTGCTGGGGAATTGCATCTGGGGGTCTCGGTGTCGATTAAATAAATTGCAGAGAGGCTAAATCTCCCCGCACCCAAATTCTATCAAATTTCTACCGAATTCCTACCAAATTCCTACCAAATCTCCATCAACTATTATTATGGGTACTCGCAAAGGCCAACGCAAGAGTCAATGGCCTTAAACTCATAAGAAACCCAGGCATAGACCTGCAGGTTATCCCGGTACCCCTAAAACTCCTCGTTCTCGGAGTCACAGTTCCCCCCACACTCCCGACCGTCCAATCAAGATCAAAAAGACTCACTACAATACAGTACAAAGGGCCAAAGTTCAAGGAGTTCACGAATGGGCCACTGCCCATGGCATTCCTCATGATAAACCTAAGATCTTCGGGTTCTTCGACGTCAAAGAACGAGCTGGATATGATATGATTCAATCGGGAGCGTCAGCACGTATGCGCGCTCATCAAGATCGTACTGAGACTCGAGGTCGTAAAAACAAAATGACTGGAGCTCAGGTACGAGAAGCGGATCATTTGCTATAAGAGGACGAGATTGGAATGGAAGCCAAAGGAATGACTTGGGTTACTGTCAAATGGGAACTCGATCTTGACGTATACCCAACTGTTATACAGCGTACCATGCGTAAAGCATTAGGATACGACAAACACAAGGCTGCTTTGAAAGAATATTTGCCTCCCCGTACCAAAGAGGCTCGCAACAAGTGGGCACACGATATGTATGCCAAATATCCGGAGCCATGGCACTGGCACAGAGTACGTTTTACGGATGAATTTCACGCTGGATTTGGCCCTGAAGGATAACTCTGGATTATCCGTAAACGTGGCGAATCAATGCGATACCGTTACGATAATATTCAACATCGGGATGCTCCTCCAGAGAAGAATCACCCCAAAGTACACGCATGGGCTGCAATTGGCTACAATTTTAAAGAACCAAAGCTTCTTTTTTACAAGGTTCCCGGCAACAGTAACGGGGCCATTACACACAAGATCTACCATGACGAGATCCTGGAAGGTCCCGTAAAGAAATGGATTGAACGAGGTGACGATTTCTGCTTAGAAGAAGATGGTGCTTCAGGTCACGGTGGAGGTCTTAAGGCGAGAAAGGACAGTATTGTAGCCAAGTGGAAGGATCAGAAGAAGATAGACCACTACTTCAACTGCCACGATTCGCCAGATTTGGCCCCAATTGAGAATACATTTCAAGGCCCGAAGGCGAATGTACGGAAGCATCCTTATTGGGATGAACAATCGTTGATGGATATCCTTCAAGAAGGCTGGGACTCGATAAGTCAGGAATGGATCAATGACTTGGTAGAAAGCATGCCTAAGAGACTTAAAGATGTAATACGATTAGAAGGAGGGATGACAGGTCACTAGATAGCTGTAAATGATAAGAAAAGTACATGTTTCTCTTGGTGGTTGCATATGCGAGAATTAGCCTCTCTGCAATTTATTTAATCGACACCGAGGGGGTGAAACCAAGTATCATGGGAGGAAGAGACTTTGAGGCCCCGATGCTGAATTTCGTGTCAATCTCTGTGCGTGTCGCGCGTCGAGGTAGTTGAATGCGAGCTTGATTCTCACTTTACCAACTCGACACTCTACTTAGCCTTCGAAGGTGTACAGATATCGGCAGGAGCACAAAGTATCTAACAGACCATGCGCTGCCGCAAGCACTTTTTGAGGACGATGCATGTATTCGGCCGGGAGAGTGTGCCCTAGATTCCTTTTCCACTTTCATTGCCTATCATTTCTTTATTGATCCATTCCCAGATCTTCGTAAATTGATCTTCGCCGATTGGCTTCACGTCCCGCATCACAGGAGCTACTTTCTTCGTTTCAATCATCTCGAACGTCACCTCCGCCGTTTGCTCCCCTTGCTTGGCAGCGTCATCATTGCAGTATGCCTCTTTCCACAAAGCGAGGAGTTTGCGTGCTGGGTGCTTGGCCGCTTCGCCGGTCAGGTTGTCGAGTTGAGAGACCCATGTGGACGGTGAGACGCTGTCGAAAGCTGGGGAGATCTTTTGCAGCCAGAGTAGGAGATCTGCCCATGTGTTTTGGGTGGCGGGGTTGAGGAGGTGGTAGACTGGGATGTCGGAGCTGTCAGCACTCTTGAGTGTCTGTGTTCCAGCTAGCGCGACATTTAGGACTGCTTCTGCGGCTACGTCGACGGGCAACCAGCTTAATCGCTCTCCTTTTAATAGGGGTAAGCTTCCTGTAAGTTTTACGCTGCTGAGCATCAGAGGCCATGCTTCTGTAACGTTCCAGATCCCGCTTTCTGTATCGCCGCAGAGCTGACCTAGCCGTAAGACTGTTACGCAATGTTTCAGTCGCGTGTGGAGATGCGCTTGCTCGCATATCGATTCCGCGACCCATTTCGAGCGGGAGTAGCCTAGTGGCGAAGCGGACAAGGGGTCATGGGAGATGCGTTCGGCGATCGGTGAGTTACAATGTGGTCCAAGCACGCTGGCTGTGGATGAGCAGAAGACGAAGCGCGGGAGGTTTGTCTTTCCAGATGCAAGGGCGAAGTTGATGAGGTTGCGAAGACCGGCGATATGATCTTTTACAAAGCTGGAGAGGCGCGTGCTGAAGTTTACAGCCCATGCTGCATGGATGACAAGAGTGGTCCGTATAGCGAGGTCTTTGTAGGTGGAGGAAGGTAGCCCGAGTGCTGGGTCGGAGAGCTTGCATGGGTGGCATGTGATTTTCCATGATGTAGAATCCAGTGGGGCTTTGTTGCGCGCTAGGAGTGATTTGGAGATTCGTTCGTTGGCAGCTATGGGAGATGCAGCCCGGAGAAGGCAGTGGATCTCGGAGACCTGAGAGGAGGATCGGAGGAGGGAGAGGATGTGGGCTCCGAGTGCGCCGGTAGCTCCAGTGAGGATTACGACTTCGCTGGAGGTAGCGGTATTGGTTGGAGTTGAATGTGCGGGGACTACAGAGATTAGAGACTCATTGTTAAAGCTGCTGTACTCTTGTACTAGATCTCGCATCATTTGAGTCTCGTCTTCTGTCTCCATCTTCTGCCCTTTCCGTATGTTGATGAGGTATTTGGAGAGTTTCTCGATCGTGCCGCAGTCGTAGACCACGTTAAGTGGTAGCTGGGCGGTAAAAGATGGGACGATTTCGCTATGTAGCAATGCCCTAATTTGCATACAATGTACAGAGTCCACGCCGAGGGAGAACAGGTCACCTTCTGCTGGGATTGGACTGGAAGTGTCTAGAACGTGCTGAATGACTTGTAATACAGCGGTGGGCACCTCGTCGTCTGCCACTTCGTCCTTGGTCGACGAGAGGACACCATTCGCAGATGCATCGGGACCGCTACTAAAGGCTCGTGCGATCTCTGACACGTACCTTTTCTCGGCTTGGCCGCGCATGATGGTACCCTTGCTACTCTTCTCGAGGCCAGGAGCATCATTGGGCATCACCGTCAGCATTGACTTGGAAAGCCTAGTATGACCTTGGCTTTCTGCGTTCAGTCTTTCTATAGACGGCCAGAGAGCCTCGAGCAGGTCGTCATTCGTCATTTCAGCTGATTTGATAGCTCGGAACAATAACGCGCCAGGGATTTGTTGGCCATTGCCAAATATCAGCACATCACTCAATAGTGGAGACGTAGAAATTGCATCTTCAAGTGGTGCAGGGTCAAATTTCTTCCCGGTGATCAAGGTCAGTTGTGAATCTGCTCGAGAATGGTACTTCCATGCTTTTGGAATTGTAGGGTGCGGTTCAAAAAGATCCGCTGTTGCGTAAGAGCCATCGTCCCCATTCCGTTTCGCCATGTGAGGCCAGGATGGAAGAATGACCAACTCGGCTAAGCCGTCTTCTTGCGTCTTGAATTTCAGGTACGGTGATGCGTTGCTGCGTAGATATTGCCATTCTTTGTCGGCTGTATAGTCACGATGCGAAGACAAGAGAAAACCACACTCTGCACTGCCAAATCGAGAGACTAGATTTACCCCCTTCTGGACGAGATCATCACCTACAGCCTGAGGCAGTGCAGCACCACCAACTCCCACGAGCCCCATCTGCCTCAACGTATACAGCCCTTCATCTTCCGCCGCCAGCATTTGCAAGACATATGGGACGGAAGAGAAGTACTTGACTTCTGGCGTCTGATGAGTTTCTGCAGACTTTCGAGCACAGCCCAGGGACTTCAGAGCGTTGGAGGCAGTAATTGGTACGTCTGCACCTGGAAAAAGCCAAACCATTGCACCACTGGTCCATGCTCGAAAGCAGTCCGCCACGCCTCCGTGGTAGAGGGGTGTCGTTGTAAACGTTGCCTTGTCATGACCGCTATGGAAGGTAGGAAGCACTCCAACGGCAGCACGATGAGTCTGAGGGACCGGTTTGGGTAGTCCAGTAGAAGTGCCAGATGTGTGGTGGAGATACGCAACGTCGAACTCCGATACCGGCGACATAGGAAACGAAGCACTAGGCACGGTGATTTCTTTTCTGTCTTCTATCTTCGGCAAAGGTATTAATTTTAGGGATATATTCATATTTGTTTGGTACGCTGCTTTCGCGAGGTCTTCGTACACACAATCATAGACCAAGGTCGAAATATTACACTCCTTGCACAGATGCACTATGGCAGGAGGTTGGCACTGCGGTCTAAAGTCTTGATTCTCGTATCAGTAGACTCACTCAGATGATAATTCGTCGACGTACGCAATCAAAAGAACCGAATATCCTAGCCTCATCAAAGCCAGCCATCCGATGAGGAAGTCTAGTGAGCTTGGGCAAAGAAAAGCTACCGATCCATGAGACGGGACTGGTCGAGGTGGTGACAGCAGGCCGTGTTCGAGCAGTCTATGTTCCAATATTGTTGAAAACTGTTGTAAATTTCGGAAAGCTGATGTCAAATTTATTAGCCTCTCGTTCCCCGGTAATGAATCTCCAATATCCATTTACTATAGACCTTGTAGTTCCACTCTCTGTCAGTCCCTCTGTCTTTGGGAGGGATAGGGAAGCCAACTGCTGGGCTCGTCGGATATTCTCGTGCTTGATGATCGATGAATTCATTGACCGTCCTGAATGAATGCGGCTTGTCCGCAATTAAGGCCGCCGCTTGACCTAAGGTGCAGACAAAGTAATTGACATCAATGGGCTCTCCTGGTAACTGTGCGTTTGCCATGGTTTTCATCATACGGAGAAATGGCTCAATATATTGGGAAATGGACGAGTCTTTTGACAGGTTGAAGAGAAAAAAGGCTTTCAGCGTTTGCCCATCATTAAGGCTTTACTTTATGTCATACATCATGACCTGGCAGAGCAAGAGCAGCCTTAGAGGTTCGTTTTGCCTGTTTGTGAAACAATTGTACCTCGCAAGCAGCATCATTCAGGCACGGCCAATGTCTTGCCAGTACCAGCAGCAAAGAATTGATGACTGGTATCGAAGGCCACAGCTTTGCTTTGATGCGAATCATGGGCGATTTCGATCTTCATAAATTCTGCACAAGCGGATTCTCGGCCGCGATCTTCCGCGCGGAAAGACTTTTGGCCGCTCGTACGGCGGACGACGGCTGACACTACGACAAAACCAAAAAAAAATCTCTTTTCGTTTTTTTTCTTCGCGATTTCTAGTAACTCTCTTCAAAATATCTTTTTTGCAACTCTTCGGGAGGTACTTTTTGAGGCACTCTTTAGGGGCTACTCTCCGGGGTACTCTCCGGGGTATTCTTCCGGGTACAGAGGTCTACACCGAAAGTCCTGCACCCGCACTAGTGCAGCCCTAACCCTACTTTCGAAAAGCGGCCCTATAGAGGGGAAGCCTAGAAATATCTTCTTACAGCGTATAAATGGGACTTTAGATACTTCTTTTGGCTTAATAGAGATATTAAGCCCCGAAACCTAGCTAGGGCTAGGTGCGATTTCGAAAAACTCTAGACGTATTATCTAGGTAGCCCTTTAGATAGGGCGTTATCCGAAGTCTAAGCGCAAGAGTCTTGGCGGGTGCAGGACTTTCGGTGCAGACCTCTGTACTCTTCGAGGTACTCTCCGGGGTACTCTCTCGGGTAATCCTCCGGGTACTCTTCCGGGTACTTACGACGGATAATAGTTCTTCGCAAAAAAAAAAAATTACGGGACTTTCCGCGGAACTTCCCGCGAATTTTTTTTTTTTTTTTTTTTTTTTTTTTTTTTGTGAAGAACTTTATAAATTATTTGATCGTAATGTTAGGTCGTAAGTACCCGGAAGAGTACCCGGAGGAGTACCCGAGAGAGTACCCCGGAGAGTACCTCGAAGAGTACCCGGAAGAATACCCCGGAGAGTACCCCGGAGAGTACCTCGGAGAGTACCCCGGAGAGTACCTCGAAGAGTAGCCCCTAAAGAGTGTCTCAAAAAGTACCTCTCGAAGAGTTGAGAATATTCTAAAAAGAATATTTTGAAGAGAGTTACTGAAAATCGCGAAGAAAAAAACGAAAAAAGATTTTTTTTTTGGTTTTGTCGTAGTGTCAGCCGTCGTCCGCCGTAGCTCGGTCGCGGACTTTCTCCTGCATGCCGAGCTTATTCTTTTCTAAAGTCCGAGAGCCTATGACGCCATGACTTTTTTCCTTTGTCCACCAAATTAAAATATGTGGAAAGAAAATGGCACAAGAGATGATAAAGGCATAATAAAGCCGCGATTATGCTTTCAATTGCTATGTTTGATTGGCTCATTTGTCTGAAGAGTACGAGACGAAAGGCTCAACTACGGATAGGCTAAATAATACACTGTTTACTTTACCTGCGAATACTTTACCTTGCTCCTGAGTAGGTAACCAGCAAATAATTAAGGTCTACATTCCAGACTCTTCGCACCTGGTGCTGACATTTACGGTGATGATTAGGCATCAACCATCCTGCCATCTTCCTTCACCGCATATCAGTGACGAGGCCAACTCGGACCGGAAGACACACTTGTAATCCGAGCTGACTCATGATGAAAGTTACAACCTCCTCTATATGACTTAATCCTTGACGAACAATCTCTCCTGCTCGTGCCCAACGTCAACATGGCTTCCTCCCACGAGCCCGAGAGGCCGCACTTATCTGAGCATGGAGCATGGCCCTCAGCATCTGCAAATAGCTTTCGCCAGCAGTATCTGGCTCCTGCAGATGCTTTACACACTCACACCTCGCCCGACTGTAACCCTGCAGCAGCCATTGCCTCCGCCTCCACAGACGATATTCCCGCTTCCTCCATTTCCAACGGCGAAATACTCGCAACACCTGAAGCAGAACCTTTCTCAAGCGATGACAAGACCGCTGTACCCTCTCCTGCCGACTCACAGCCTGAAGCCGTACCTACTACCGTATTCGCCGCACCCGCCGAACCCACACCAGTCCTCAGAGAAAGTCAATTGATAGAAAACGAAAAAGATGACGAGGTTGAAGACTTGACAACCATCAAGACTGCCGCATCAGATAAGCCGGTTGGTCGCCCAGGCATGCAAAAGAGGACATCGAGTCGAATGACGGAGGATGATCTTTTCAAAGCATTAAGCCGGAGAAAGACAAACCAAAGCAATCGACAGGGCTCGTACATGACCGAAGATGAAGCGAGCGCGACAGGTGAAGAGCAGGCCGAGATTGAGAAACTCATGTCACGTATGTTTGGGAAGGATCGGCAAGCACATTCGGAGGATGAAAAGACCAGACATGTTGGATTGGTATTCAGGAACCTGACCGTCAAAGGAATGGGGCTGGGTGCTGCATTGCAGCCAACCTTGGGCGATCCGTTCCTTGCATTCCCGAGAAAATTAGCGGCTCTTTTCACTGGAGGACCAAAAAAGGTCGCGGGGAAGCCACCAATCAGGACCATCTTGAATGATTTCACCGGGTGTGTACGGCCTGGCGAAATGCTACTGGTACTTGGGCGTCCGGGCTCTGGCTGCTCGACGTTCCTGAAAGTATTGGCAAATCAAAGATTCGGATACGAGAGCATTGACGGAGATGTCACATACGGCGGGACGGATGCGAAGACTATGGGCAAACATTATCGTGGGGAAGTCCTATACAACCCCGAGGATGATCTGCACTATGCTACATTGTCGGTCAAACGTACACTGGAGTTCGCCTTGAAGACCCGAACGCCCGGGAAAGCATCTCGCAACGAAGGCGAAAGTCGAGCCGACTACGTCAAGGAGTTTCTCCGTGTGGTATCGAAGCTATTCTGGATCGAGCATACTATGAATACCAAAGTAGGCGACGAATTTGTACGAGGTGTCTCGGGAGGAGAGAAAAAGCGTGTCAGTATCGCTGAAGCCATGATCACCAAGGCCAGCACGCAATGTTGGGATAATTCCACCAGAGGACTCGATGCTAGCACTGCCCTCGAATACGTGCAGTCTTTGCGCTCGCTGACCAATATGGCCCACATCTCTACATCTGTAGCGCTTTATCAAGCCGGCGAGAGTTTGTACGATCTGTTCGACAAGGTAGTCCTGATGGACGAAGGCAAATGCCTATACTATGGACCGACTGAAGAGGCTGCTACTTACTTCGAGAACCTTGGCTTCCGTCGACCACAGCGCTGGACGACCGCTGACTTCCTCACATCCGTCACCGATCCCCACGAACGTCAAATACGAGAAGGGTATGAAAATCGCATCCCGCGATCAACGGAGCAATTCGAAATTGCTTACAAAAGAAGTCCAATATTTGAGGCTAATGTCCGCGACATTGAGTCATTCGAACAACAGGCAGAACAGCAGAGGCAACAGCGCCTGGCGGCTGCAACGAAAGCCACAAAGGAAAAGAACTACACGCTTCCATACCACAAGCAGGTTTGGGCTTGCACTCATCGCCAATTCCTAGTCATGTATGGAGACAAGCAATCTCTTGCAGGCAAATGGGGTGGTATCCTCTTTCAAGCTCTTATTGTCGGTTCCCTATTCTTCGATATGCCCAAGACTTCTTCCGGGGTCTTCGAGCGCGGAGGTGTGATGTTCTTCATGTTGCTCTTCAATGCATTGCTTGCTCTAGCGGAGTTGACGTCGGCCTTCTCGAGCCGACCCATTCTGCTGAAGCATAAAAGCTTGTAAGTTGGATATCAGCCATCTTTGAGCTACTTGTACTAATTGTACTACAAGCTCATTCTACCGGCCGTCGGCTTTCGCTATCGCTCAAACGGTCGTCGATATTCCACTCGTGCTCATCCAAGTCACTATATTCGATCTTGTGGTATACTTCATGTCGAACCTATCGAGGACACCTTCGCAATTCTTTATCAGCTTGCTCATCCTCTGGGTCATCACAATGACGATGTACTCATTCTTCCGATCCTTGGGGGCTCTATGCAAGTCTTTGGATACCGCGACTCGCTTGACTGGTGTCGCGATTCAAGCACTCGTTGTCTACACTGGTTATTTGATTCCACCACAGAAGATGCATCCTTGGTTTAAATGGCTTATTTGGGTCGACCCTATCCAGTATGGTTTCGAAGCCTTGATGTCTAACGAATTTCACGGTTTGGAAATACAGTGCGCGCCGCCATACATAGTTCCCGAAGGCCCAGGCGCGACTACTCAATACCAGTCCTGCCTCCTTCCAGGAAGTCGACCTGGGTCGACCACCGTCAGTGGAGCAGATTATATCCAGACTGCATTTACCTACAAGAGAGACCATCTCTGGCGTGACTTTGGTATTATCGCAGGATTTTGGATCTTTTTCGTTGTGCTTACCATGATTGGTATGGAGCTACAGAAGCCAAACGCAGGCGGAGGTGCCGTAACCATCTTCAAACGTGGCCAAGTCCCAAAATCTGTCGCGCAGGCTATGGATAAGGGCAGTATACCTGAGGACGAGGAGAAACAACTCGCCACTGCAGGGGACGAGAAATTTGCAGAAGGTTCGACGAGCTCGGATTCCGAACTTGTCAAAGGTGTTGCCAAGAACGACTCGATCTTCACGTTTACTAACGTCAATTATACGATACCGTATGAAAAGGGCGAAAGGAAACTACTGAACGATGTTCAAGGCTTCGTGAGGCCAGGCAGACTGACGGCGCTCATGGGCTCTTCGGGTGCCGGAAAGACAACGCTCCTCAATACGCTAGCCCAGAGGATCAACTTTGGCGTCGTGACTGGGGATTTTTTGGTCGATGGAAGGCCTTTACCGAAATCCTTCCAAAGAGCTACTGGCTTCGCTGAGCAGATGGATGTCCACGAACCTACCGCCACCATCCGAGAGGCGCTGCGATTTTCGGCACTTTTGAGACAGCCGAAGGAGGTACCAACGGAAGAAAAATATGAGTATTGTGAACGGATCATCGACCTTCTTGAGATGAGAAATATTGCTGGGGCTACGATTGGCAAGACAGGTGCAGGATTGAACCAAGAGCAGCGAAAACGAGTGACCATTGGTGTTGAGCTTGCTAGCAAACCGGAGCTCCTCATGTTCCTGGATGAGCCTACGTCAGGCCTTGACTCTGGAGCGGCTTTTAATATTATCCGCTTCCTTCGCAAGCTAGCAGATAGTGGTCAGGCGTTGCTTGTCACCATCCATCAACCTTCCAGCGTGCTCTTCGAATACTTTGACGAGCTAATCCTACTGAAGACTGGCGGTAACCTGGTCTATCACGGAGAGCTCGGCAAAGATTCCCGTCAGTTGATCGATTACTTCGAACGCAACGGCGCCCACAAGTGTCCCCCTCGCGCCAATCCTGCCGAATACATGCTCGAATCCATTGGCGCTGGTGATCCTACGTACAAGGGTAAAGACTGGGGTGAGGTTTGGGCTTCATCACCTGAACATGACGAGCGTACCAAGGAAATCCAGTCGATGATCAGCTCTCGACGAAACGCCTCCGTAGGAGAAAAGACTAGAGATGATCGCGAATACGCTATGCCGCTCGGCACACAAGTCTACACTGTCGTACATCGCTGTTTCGTTAACTATTGGCGAGATCCGGATTACATGATTGGAAAGTTCATGCTGCACATTGTCACCGGTCTTTTCAATAGCTTCACATTCTACCACATCGGAAATGAGACAATCGACATGCAATCGCGACTCTTCTCTATCTTCATGACTCTCACCATCTCGCCACCTCTGATACAGCAGTTACAACCCAAGTATCTGCACTTCCGCAGCATTTACAAGTCTCGCGAGGCGAACTCGAAGATCTACTCCTGGTTCGCGCTCATCTGTGGTGTCACACTAGTTGAGATACCGTATTCCATCGTCGCCGGAACCATCTACTTCAATTGCTGGTGGTGGCCCGCCGTCGGCCGTGGCGCAAGCAAGTTCGACAGCGCATACACGTGGATGTTGCTCATGCTCTTCGAGCTCTTCTACGTTGGCTTTGGTCAAGCGATCGCTTCATTCTCGCCGAATGAGTTGCTGGCGTCCATTCTCGTGCCCGTCTTCTTCCTCTTCGTCGTCTCCTTCTGCGGTATTGTTGTGCCATACGTCGCCATACCCCACGTGAGTCATTACCTCCACCGTTTACATCATCAGTTCCTACATTACACATGGCTGACACGTCCTTCTGTAGTTTTGGCAATCCTGGATGTATCAATTGACACCGTTCCACTATCTCCTGGAAGGCTTCCTCTCCGTCGCTACACACGGCCGGCCCGTCATTTGTTCCTCCACCGAGTTTGCTCGCTTCGCTCCTCCGCCAGGCCAAACATGCCAATCCTACAGCGCCTCCTTCATTGCCCAAGCTGGTGGCTATGTGCAGAACGGCACCAATGGGCTCTGCGAGTTCTGTCAATACGCTACGGGGGATGAGTTCGCAGCGGGTTTCAATGTCTACTACAGCCACAAGTGGTTGGATTACGGGGTCTTCTGGGCTTTTTGCGTCTTCAACTTCATTGTGGTGTTCATCTGCTCCTGGCTTTACCTTGGAGGAATGAAGAAGGTTAGGGTGGCACTGAGTCCAGCTGCGAGAAAGCAGAGGAAAGAAGCGCAGGTGCACAACGAGAAGGCATGATGACCTCATACCTCGCCAACGACAGGCGACTCTTGGCATTTCCTCCAATTGGAGAGACCTTAAGATGCGTATATATTTACTCATATAGATATTGTCAGCATAGCGGCGGCGAGAAGAGTGAGTACATAATTGTTCCGATAGGACCGTCCAATCTTTTTGTGAAAATCGATTCCCGTCTTTCTGACGGGCACATGATACGAGACGGCTCCCTCCCTCGTTCGGCCCAATTGCGATCCCAAACATACATAGAACGAGAGCAGGCAGTCACCGATCCGTTTCCTTTGAAAAGTCTGACCCACCAGATCCTCCCGCCGAGTCCTTCAACCAATCAGGCTTCCTGCGGCTTGTTGGCTTGTATCCCACGCACCACAGAACATCTTCGAAGAGTCAGATCATTTCGAATGATGCCAATGCCCATAGGCAAGCATGAAAAGCCGAGTGCTTCGAACTGAAACAACGCCACTGTAAGTATCCGTGGGAGATCACGACGATGAATGTATCCCGTCGACTGCCGGGGGGGGAAATTTCAGAGGGTTCAGACCGAATATTTCAAATTCCCCTCTTTGTAATCTATGATGACTGCATTCATAAGTTCATAATTAGACTGTCAGCGTCGCGATGGTCCTTCATGAGCAGATCAGGGATCGCTTTGTAAATCTCGTCTTTTGAACGTCTGGCGAAGACAATGGCTTTCGGACCTTCCGTCCAGATATCTTGGACGCCCGTCGATACCCGTATCCCAGATGGTATCAGCTCGACCATGTCATGTCATGTCCCTTCAATCACCCCTCATCCCTCCCATCCCTCGAACCCAGAGAGAGAGAGGGCCGTCGTCTCCACCGCGACCGCTTCGAAAGCCGGGCGTTACGACAACGGCCGCAGCCCATGGCTGGACAAAGACGTCGCTGGCGCGGGCGAGAGAGTAGAGTATGACTTCCGCGCTCCACACCCCTTGCCCGTGCGGAACGTCGAGAGTGGGAGGGCGCGGGGGAAGGGGGAAGGGGGTGCGTGATGGATTGGGAAGGATGCTCTATGCGCAGGCGTTGCATGTGATTGGATTTCCTGTCGGGTGGTCTCAATCATCTTCGTTCGTGGATTCGGTAGGTAGGGAATCGAGACCCCCCGATGCAGGACCGTGGCGGGTAAATCACGACTCACTCGTTTCCGGCGGCGACGGGTCGCTTTGCTTTGCGGCTACGGTGAGGTGCCTCGTTAGGCTTGGAGGAGGACGAGGAGGATTACATCCTTGGTAGTCGGTATTCTTCCCACAATCGTCCGCGTTCTCCGTGTCGGCGCTCAGAGAGAGTTATGGTTACGGTTACGGTTACCCGCAGCGGTTCGAGTCGAGCCCGCGCGCGCGATCGGGTCCTCGGACCTCCGCGGTGTGTGCGCACGGGGTCGTGGGATCGAGAGGGCACGGATCGCTGCGGTGGTTCGAGGGTCAGATGGTGTTGGGATCGGTGGCGAGAGCTTCAGCGAGAGATGTGTGTGTTGGGTGTGGTTTGGGATGAGTATGGATAAGGTGGTAGTGGATGGTGAATTTGGGTCAGTGTCGACGTTGTCGTGTCTAGAGTACCATTACCACCACTCGATTCAACTTCTCATCACCTAATCATCTCGAGCGCATCCTGCACCGCCGTCACGTTGTTGATTACGCCGGCTGTGCAGCGCCATCGATCGTTCTTTCGATAGGTAGGTAGGTAGGTCAATCTGGCCGGCCAAAAACTCGCGACCTACCTACCTACGGGCTATCAACCTCGACGCTTCGTCCGATATCGAACCAGATCCCCGCAACCCTGGCCAAAATTCCCCATAGGGTGGCAACTAGGGGCTGGATCGCTCTTTTGATCCTTTAGGCCGTTCGTTCGCGATGGTCGTGGGTGGAGCTGCTGGTTGATCGGACTGGTTTGGGCGAGTGTGGGGGCTTTTTGGTACTATTTCTTCATCTTCTTCTTCTTCTTCTTCTTCTTCTTCGTCTTCTTGAAGTGAGTTGTAAAGGCTTAAGGGTTGGAACTAGACCAACCTTGCTCGGATTAAGCGATCTGGTTTTTATAGATGTGGCGCAAGACACCGATTGTGCAACACATACTTACAATTCCCCCATACCCCATACCCAAAAAAAATTAACCCCCCCTCATCACCACCCGCGACCAAAAAACCCCCCCACATAAACATCCTCTAGTCCATTCATATGTACTTCCCCCCCTTCCCTTCCCTCCCCCAAACCAAAAACCACCCCCACCCCCCCTACCCCGCAAACTCCCTCAAAACCCTCACCCGCGTCCCCCTGCTCCCGCGATCCAAGCCCGCCGCGAACCGATCCCGCGTCACGTTGACGGCCCGCGCGTCCGTGCCGTGGAGGGCGAAGTCGAACCGGCGGAACAGGCACGCGATGGCGAGGGTGATTTCCGCGAGGGCGAGACTGTTGCGTGTGTGAGTGTTGTGCGGATGGGAAGGATGGAAGGATGGATGGATGGATGGATGGGAGGGAAGGAGGGAAGGATGGATGGAAGGGAAGGAAGGAAGGGCATACTTCTGTCCGAGGCAGCCGCGCGTGCCCCGGCTGAAGGGCACGAGGTACCGGTCCGGCCTGTCGGCGGGGACGAGCCAGCGGTCCGGGGCGAAGGTGAGGGGGTCCGGGAAGTGGGCGGGGGAGAGCAGGGTGGAGCGGAAGTCCATGGATACGGGGGTCTGGTGGCGGTCGAGGTGGGTTCACGTTAGTTGGGGGATGGTGTTTGTTTGAGAGAGTGTGTGTGGTAGGGTGGCCCTTTTTCGGTGAATGAGATGGGGGAAGGGGGCGGTGTAGGAGAGAGAGGTATGAGATATAGTACGAACCCCGGCAGGTATGTTCCACCGCCCGTACTTCAACTCCTGCGTCGGTGCCACGAGCGGCAGTCGCGACGTCACCGACGTCGTGATACGGAGCGTCTCTTTGACGACGGCGCTCTGCATCCAGGCGCGATCGCGTTAGCTGATCTTATCCCAGAGCGAAACCCCGCTGCCTTCTCTTCTCCACTGCGATCCGTCACCCCTCTCCTGCGTTGCCTCCTCACCACCACCACCGAAGCGCAAGCGCGGACCAGACTATCGAGTCACTATACATACCAAGTATCCCGCCCCCTCCAACACATGCAACGGCGGACACACCGCCGGATCCGGCATCGCACGCGCCAACTCCTCTCTCAGGCGCGCCAACTTCTCGGGACTCGTCAACAGGTAGTAGAACGCGGCGTTGAGCGTCTGTTTCGTGGTCTCGGTGCCGGCGCCGATGAAAGCGAAGGCTTCGTCCGTGAGACGTTCTTCCGTTTTCTCCGAGGCGGGCAGGTCGGATTCCATGACGGCGTGGAAGATGGTGCGCTCTGAGGAGGAGCCGTCTTTGGCGGGGAGGACGCCGTTGTCGTACAGTTTGATGATGGAGGCGATTTGTTGGCGGAGGACCTGTCAAAAGCGCGCGGGTCACGTATCAGTGCTGCCGTTCACGGACCCTCATTGAAGGAATACATGGAATTGAGGAGAGGACGGCATATGGTACCTGTCTCAATCCTAGGAGCCGGCCTAGATTTGGATGCAGGAATCGGATGATCGGTAAGGGTAGTTTCTGCAGATACTGCACGATCCCGCTCATCTGCTTCGTCAGCGGCGCCGCCTCGGCCGTTCCTTCAATCGCGTCGTTCCATTGGGGTGAGAAATCGGGTTTCTTGAGAGCCCCCAGGGAGTAGCCGAATGCTATCAAGTCAGTTATTAAAGAGCAACAGTTATTTTCCAACAATCCAGCAACAACCGATGATGTGTGAGTGCCAAGGGTAAGTATGGTTGTAGGGGCTTACAATATCGAAACACGACATCAATCGCCAACGACAGAAACGCCGGCCTCAGCTCCACCACCTCGTTCCTTTGCATGCATCCTCGAAGGCCGTTGCACAAATCGTCAATGATTTCCTCAATCCGCGGCTGCAGAGCGGCAACGGCGCGTTTGGAGAAGAAAGGGTTTAGGGGCGCACGGCGGATTTTGTGGAGGGCGTGCGGTTCTGTGCCGAAGGCTATCTCGTGAGAGGGTGTGTCAGTCTTACCTGCATCCTGCGGGGTCCCGCCTCGGTGCGTGCGGGAGCATATGGGCGTGCGGCGGTGTTTGACGGGAGGGTGCTTACCTGATAAAGGCGTCCCGGACATCTTCGCCGAGGGACCATATTTATCGCGAGGTTGCGATGTCGAGTAGAGGGAATCGTAGTACTCGATATCTTTGATTTTGATTTCGTTTGGGGTGACGCGGATGATGGGTCCTATGGTGAGTGAGGCGGGCCTCAGCAACTATCTCGAATTTATACGAAAGTGTTGGCGGAGGAACAGATCAAGAAGGAATATCATCTCCACAGCCCGATGCTTCCGAGGAGACAAGATGATTGTTGGTAGGCTACACTCACCATACTCCTCATGCATACGCTCGACCTCCCACATATACTGCCCACCATCCCCTTTGATACAGTCGAAATAGAACTCATACCACCTCGTGGCAGCCGCCAATTTTCTGCCGGGAAAAGCTGCCAAAGGGTGGAAGTATAGCCGGTATACGACCAAAGCAACAGCATAAGAAGCCCATAAGACGAGGGTGGAAAGAAGGAAGGAGAACATGGTACTCTTAATGGGCGAATTGTTTTTGACGGCTGTTCTCGGGAATGATGTGGGAAAAGATGAGAAAGTAAAGTAAAGTAAAGTAAAGTAATGTAAGGCTGGGGATGGTCCCAGCAAATGCAGCACGGAAGATGTTGATTTTGAGTTCTTGGGTTCTGTGTGGGTGCCTGACCACACGCAACTACGGGGCGGCCGTTAGGACATCTTTCTTCAGCTGCAATAGAATAGGTACATGATTGGATGCGCAACGATTGGCTTCACTTTTCCTCGACTCTGCCATCCCGGAGATCTAGAACGATAGCCGTGCATCAGTAGCCAGCCAATCGGTGGGAAATTGTCATCTATTGGTAAAAGAATATTTCGAAAGGGCGGGTAAGGCTAATTAGTACGCGTAAAGTACCGTCGGATTCCTATTGGGAGGCATCGCTGACGGATTTAAACGAGAGGATGTGGAGCACTAATGCCTGCGGGTAAAAGTATTGGCTCCGCTCCATCTCCGTTTCCATACTTTTTCCATGCATCTTCTCGCTTTTGATGTGATTCGGATATTTTCGGCATCATGTCATGGTATACACACCTATTCACCGTAAAACATGCCCTCGTTTGACATTGCTTTTCGAGACTTCTCTTGGCCACCCGATGAGGTTGCGCTTATGACGATTCTGTTGTGTGGTAGAGTACAGAAGTCCTCGGCCGCCTATTTACCACCTGCTAGTCAGACTCATTCGTTGCCGCCCATTCCGGATGAATCCTCGCTGCTCCAGATTCACTCTACGATTAATTGTTAAGCGACGTATCCGACGACCGGTCTGAGCTGATGATCTTGATTCCATCCTCCGTAGCATCTTTCTCCAAGTTCCAACGTCGTAGAGCTGGCCCCTTCCAAACCACCACACCCAAGAGCATCGTGGCGAAGACGCAGAAGAACGCCATCATCCCAAAAAGCCTATCCTGTCGGTTAGCGTATGGGCACCAAGGCGCTGTGATGACAAGGGAGCATTTACCAGCCAGCACTCACGGCACCCTCCCAAGGGAACAGGAAGAATGGTAAAGCAAGGGCCAAAATTTGTCGATAAACATTCATAATGACGGCGACCTCGAGCGGCGAGTTCTTGAAACACTCGATGATATAGTTCACAGATATGGGAGTACTGTAACATGCGCCGAAGATGACGAGAAATGTGCCGAGAGCCAGGACCATGTAGTGAAGATGATACCTTTATAAGTCAGCTGTGAATTTGTATTTGCGCAGGTAGTGTAGCGATAGCATACTCAATACCGGCTCCGAATATTCCAAAACCTATGGGAGAAGCGGCTGCGACTAGGAAGATCGGATAAAGGCGGTACTCGAGATGCCAGGCACCGCCCCTACGACGAGATATCGATAGCGGGATCCTGTCATTGAGGAAAGCGCCGCAAATCTGACATAGAACGAGGCCGGCCCACTGGGAAAAGTTGACTAAATGGTTCAACGTCAGCAGTTGAGCAGGTGTCAATACTTCGTGGGAAACTACCCACATTCGGCGTTCTGATTGGGCGTGAAGCCATAGCCTCCCACCATTTCTGGCGTTTGCAGAAAGATTGAGACCACTATTCCTAACCCTACAGCGAATCCGTAGATGCAAACAACGAAGAAACCGACGATCATGGTGACTGGCGACAAGCCAATCTTGAGCGGCGTAATGTAGCGGTTGGCCTGACTCGTCAACCCAAACACAGCGCTAAAACATCGCCAAACAACTTACTATATGGGCGACTGTCGTCCGGGGTACAACAGCAGTCCCGGGAAAGAACGTCGCGATCCTGTTCGACATGAACGAACTCGGGCGCTGAGGAAGAGGCTCAGACTCTTCATTCCTTCGGAAAGCCGTCTCTTCCAAGAAGAAGAATGCTGCAAAGACGAGTAAGCACGTGAATTTTGACAGTCTGGTTGCCATACCTAGAGGGATCGAGACCGCAATGACTGCGACTAGCCACCAAAAAACATTGGGCCAAGGCTTGGTATCGGCGATAAAGCCACCGAAGACAGGCGCAGCCACCGCCCCAGCAAGAAGAGAAACCTCGAGCACGGTAAATGCTTTGCCCCTTTGATGGAGAAAGTAGAGGTCCATGATCAAACCGGTTGCCAAGATTGGAGGAACACTTCCGAAAAGTCCGGCCAGCATTCGTGACATGACGAAAGGAATATAGTCATTAGGACCAGTCATCAACGGGGCCCAGATATTGGATGCCAGCGAACCGAACAAAGACCAAAAGATGAGTGAAGATCGACCGATGATGGACGAGAGCGGTACAAACAGAAGGGGCCCACCCATCTGGCCTGCGACACCGGCAGCGATGGAATAGGACAGCTCCACTGGAGATTTATGATAGTAGCTTGCCTGTCTGATATAGCTGTTTGGGAAGATTTGGTGAGCGTCATGATTGCGCCGAAGACAGATGAGGTTTCACGTACGCAAGTTGGTGGACATTGACAGAAGCGACGCCGGCAAAGGATGCCAGGCACACTGTACCGAAGATGACATTCTTCTTCGTGAGAGACCAATTCTGACAGTCGACGTCAGCTTCATACTCCCAGTGACCTGCAGGATTCTATTCGTACCAATGGATCATCGGGAGAAGCGCTCGGCTGCCTTTATGCACGAAGACGGAAATCAGTGAATGCCACGTGGAAGGAGGGATGTGATCATGTACGGGACAAGGCAAACTCCATCGCGGGCAGTCCTCGATCCGTCCCTGGCTTTCTCTGGGCTCAAATCCGATGCCTCCACGGAAAAGCCTGAATCGGCGGCTTTGGAATGCATGAATGGCAACGTTCACACACGTTTGCGTCGCCCAAGAAGCTCGAGGGTGAAGGAGGTTGGCAGGTGAAAAGATTTTGCGGGCTGCCAGTGTCCCTCGTTAGCAGGGTAGTAGCAGAAGGATGTTAGATGATTGGTCACTGTGTTGGATATTCAGCGTCGCATTTGGCGTGCCGCCAGCAGCAGAGCTAGCGGGCACGAAGAGATAGCAACATGGTATGGCCGCATGGCACGGTATCGGGGAAAGCTGCGATGGGATAGTCGGCCATATTTAGCGTCCTGCTAAAGAAGTGGGGCGCTATTGTCTCATGGTCATATGATAAAGTACGGTACGGTATTCGGCTCTGAGGTGGAAGATAAGACTTGGTGGATGCGTATTCTGGGTATTCTTTGGCTCGGTACAGGTACTTTACCTTTTACTCTTCCGCAACTGTGCTGGAGACAAGGTGTACGAGTATCTCAGCGAGAAGAGTTGGAGAGTTGGAGTACTGCGGGTGTCGACCATAGTGATGTGCAGGATTTGAAACGTGGTAGGAACTAGCCCCGAGGGTAACAATGGTAATCGGGCCTTAGATTTGATAATTATGTCCGTGTTGCAGGGATCAATTTACTACTGACCATGTGGCTGTCTTCGTTCTGATTGTGGCACCACTAGTCGCCAGGATGGGATAGAAGATGTACAAGATGTATAAGACAGCATCGTTTCATATGCTACCCTGCAGCAGGCAAATGAAAGTGGAGGACGGGAAATGTAGTCATAGGTCAGCGAGGTCAGAGGGATTATCGTGATGAATGAGGGTACGGAGTAAAGTAAAATAGGTACTTGGGGAAAGAGAGAAGGCTAATTACGACTACGAGTAAGGTAACGTAGCGGTACCTATGATACTCTCGGGGTGAGCCGCTAGAATGAAATGGGATGGGACGGTCCGTCAGGGAGGTAGATAGCTACCTACTTTACTGTAAAGCATCTTGATGGCAGGACATCTTGTCGCTGACGGCAGATGCATCTTCACCGCCATTGTTGTCTCTCTTTTTCCTTTTCATATTTCCTTCGTCTCCTAATATTAGCTACCTAGGTAAAGTAAAGTACCTATGTGCGGCGGTCAGATTATTATTAAAATATCCAAGACATCTTGTGAGCAAAAACAAAGTGATGACTGCATGACGCCATGCGCAGATTTACCCCTCCATTGGCGCGGCAGGAAAGCACTTCTGTCTCACGTCGTCCCTTGTTCTTGCATGAAAGCTTAAAAGTAAAGTTGAATTTCTTACCAATCTGACCAAATTCATCTTAGCTTTTTTACGTATGACTCGGCTATCTTACCTTACTTTCCAATTATGACCTCGGTATTCCCAAGCTAACGAATTACCGTATGGTATCCTATCCTCCACTCTTTTCGTCGTTCCCTCGCTTGCAATCATGCTCCATTGATTCAATCGTCTGTCAGGAATAGCCTACCTACCAGTACCTAAGTAATTTCTGATATTGCAGACAGAACAAGAGCCAATGATAGCGATGCTGATTTAACAATTTCCGCCTTCCTAAGGTCATCAATGCATGATGCAGTCGTGCAGTAGCGTCAGGTAGTTCGCAAGAGCACGGGGATTCGCATCCTTCCCCAGCCCCGACACCCTCTTTTTTGAACCCGAAATAATTGCACCATGACAATTGTTGGGGAGCACAGCGGCACCCCCTTTCCCCCAAATGCAAGTGCTCACGTCGCACCGTTAGCTTGTTCCTGCAGGTATGGGATCATGCCATCTTACCCTGAGGCACTCTCTCTTGCATCATCCTACCAACATCCCCCCCATGTCCCTTGGGAACCCTATGCGGACTGCCGCTTCAGGGTGCAGCGCCGCGTTGACCATGACTTTTCATTTCAGATCTTCCTGATCTTTCTGTATCTTGCTTCAACTTTTGGCCAGTCATGGATCCTCAGGCGCTGACTTTGCGTCCGACCGTCGGTCTCACCACAGGTCACTCCAAGGCCATCTTTGGGACCACGATATCATTCCTCATACTCGCAACTGCATTCGTCGCTCTACGAGCGTGGGCCGGCCGATTGAGACGGAAACCGTATCGCATAGACGACTATCTCGTTTTTGGGGCGCTGGTATGTTCAAGTCCTCAAACCCAAACAGAGGTCGCGAGACTGAAGGAAAGCCCAAATAGTTCCTCTACTATGGTCAAGCAGCCTGTACTCTCGTACGTAAGTATTTCTATCATCTATCATGCTACTTCTCATTTCCAACGCTGATGACGGTCAAAGAGCTTTTTCTTGGCGGTGCTGGACATCATGTTGAGGAACTTCATCCAAAAAATATTGAGCTCAGTCTCCAGGTCAGTCGAAACCCCTTCGATCAATGTCTTACTGCAGCTCGCTGACCCGCGCTCGATAAAATAGATGCTCATTCCCCTGGCGATACTGTACTCCATTGAAATGGCATCAATCAAGTGCAGCATCTGTTTGATGCTTGTACGCATCTTCTTCATCAGATCTTTCAGGTAATTCTCATCGCATGCACTCGCTTCATGATTCACGATTTAACTCCAACCCTCGACAGGATGGCCGCCTATATGGTCATGACCGTCACCATCCTTTGGTCGATATACGCCGCTATTGGTACTTGGGCGCTTTGCACACCCATTGCCTTCAACTGGAACCCAATGATTCCTGGTGGACACTGCGCCAACCGTCAGGCAAGCTTCTACGCCATCGGTGTGCTCGATGTTGCAACCGACTGCCTCATCTTCCTGCTTCCTATTCCAATGATCTGGAACCTTCAGACAGCCATGCGAAATAAGATCGGACTGTATCTGATTTTTAGCATCGGTGTCGTGTACGTCGATCTTTCTTTGCAATGCACCTCGCGAGGGCGCCGCATATGCACGAATGCTGACATACTTTACCCCGCAGATCCATCATCATCAGCGGGCTCCGCGCCAAATCCACCCTCTCAATATCTTTCTCAGACTTTACCTACACCGGCGCCTTAGGTTTTATCTGGAGTCAGATAGAACCCGGTATCGGCCTCATCATCGCCTCCTGTCTTCTCCTGCGCCCAGTCCTCGACAAGGTCATCCCGCATGGTCTCAACATGACGGCAAAGCGCTCCCCGAGACACACCACCGATCGCACAGCTGCCAGCGAGCATACATTTCCATTGCGAGATGTGGACACAGGGAATACAACGACTACAGCGTTCGCAGCCGCAGGTTCGGAGCCTTCGCTGGAAGACGGTGTGACAGGCCCTGGGTGGAAGTATACGATGATGGATGATGATCGCGCTGTCACTCCGGCTAACGAAAGCATCAAGGTCGAGACGAGATGGGATATAGAGAGACATGAACGAAAAAGCACAGGCGTTTAGACTTTGGATGGACTTTGCGGGCTGTACAGTAAGGATGCTGCGGAAAATGTTTTGGCACTAATCGATGTACTTGACGATGACGTTACCAGTCTCTATGTTTTGAAACCCTCGAACTTTGATGTCTGAGCGTGCAGTTACGAGGTCCTAAGAATTGTGGCTCCATCGACATTCGCACTCTTGCAGCAAACTGTGCAAGGCCGTATTGGGACTAGCGTCAGACTCGTGACACACTTCGACTAATCACAACCCAGCAATCCGAAAAGATCCATTGTCCAAACGACAAGCTCTGTGAATCAAGCAACAGGCAACCACGATACGCTCGCTCACCGTGTACATATCCCATCCTTCATAGTTCTCTATCAAATCACCCGTCGTCATATCCTCCCTCCTCTTTGTCTATCGCACCTGTGTGTCAACCAACGCACCGAAAGAGCCAAAAAGGACTTTCGACCCACCACGCTCTCTAGGAAATGATACCCCCCCTCCCTCCCCCGTTTTCAAACCCATCCCCACCCCTACCGCCGCTCACTCACTCACTCACCAGCAGCTACCTCACCCGCCCCGCGTCCCGGCCCCGAGATCCAACCGCGCCACCGTTCCGGCATCGATGGGTATCTTCCATCTTCCATCCCTTTTCTTTCTTCCTTCCTTTCTTCCCCAAAACCCAACATCAGCCCCGCGTCCACAGAATTATCCTCCCGTCCGTGCGTGTTGCCGATTCGATCCCACTCCGGCAACGCGGGCGCTGTCGAACGGACGGGGAATTCCTTGGGGCCGAAACATCACTATTCCCAGCAGCCTCGAGAGGCTGCTCCTTCGATCCTCCGGCCCCGCAGCCCACGCATCTGATACGCAAGCGCTGCTGCGCGGTGGTGCGGAAGAGCTGGCGCGTGTGCTCTGGACGGACGGGGGTGAGAGGGGGAAGGCGTGGTGATGGGATGGGGGATGGAGGGGTGATGGGATGGGATGGGGGATGGAGGGGTGAGGAGGGAGGAAGGGTGGGAGGAGGGAGGTGATGGTGTCGAGTGTTCCGAGAGGGTGTGTCATGTCGTGTCGAGGGAGGTTGTTTGTTCGTGGATTGGGAACCGGGTCTGTTTGTGTCCATCACGAACGCTATGCCCGGCGACCGATGGCTTAGATCCTATAGTCGTCAGGAGTCGGAAAAGTCATGGATGTCAGCCGCGAAAAGGCGAAGAAACGACTTGAAGGGGCAATTGTTACAAACAGTAATGTCTTGTGCGGATCTCTCAATCTATTAAACACTACGTTGTCAGTATATGATCATCATCATCTGCACTGAGAAGCAACGAGCCGAGACCACGAAACCTGATGAACAGAATGCAACAAAACCCCCAAAACCGACGCAGCCTCCTTTTCCAAGCCGCCAAACCTTCTGCCCCTCTTCCTTCCTCCCCTCCCAAAAATCCCCCAGCCCTTCCCTCCTCCTTTTCACTCCCCCTCCCTCGAGATCGACCGCAGATACTCCTCGACCCTCACGCACATCCTCACCCCCAACAACGTCAGACCCGCGTACACATCCTCCTCACTCGCCCTCTCCGTACTGACATCCAGCAACCCGAGCGCCGTCTCGACATCATCCCCCACGCGCTCCGCATCCCGCGCGTCCAACCCCGACCCGACCGCGGCCTCGGGGTGGAAAGCCGAAAGGCCGGCCTCGAAGTCGGCGACGCCGGGGACGGGCACCGCGCCCGCGACCTGCCGCACGAGCGTCCGGAACGCAGACTGCTCCCTCGCGACCCGCTGCCGCTGCCGTTGCAGCACGAGCAGGCGTTCCTGCCGCGACCGCTCGGCGTGCCGCGCGGTTTCTCGCTCCGTTGCCTTCTGCCGGGCCATGGCGTCCTTGATCGTTTGCGTCAGGGAGGTCAGCTGGCGGTATGCTTGCCGGTGGGCGGGCGAGTCCTGGGGGTGGGTCAGGATCGCGTTCCAGAGCTGGCTGCAGCCGTCGAAGTGGTGCGTTTTGCGCTGCTCGTGGTGGCGGAAGAGCGAGAGGATGTGGGCGGGTCGGATGAGGCTGTTGAGGGGGGGGAGGCGAGTCTGCTGCGCTGCGGGTGTTGGGTCGCTCATGCTGACGGGATTCAGAGCTCTTTTTGTTTGTTTTGGTAGAGGTGAGGGTTTTTTGCTGGGTTGTGGTTGTTGATGGGTGGCTGGTGAGGGGGTTTGAAAGAAGGACAACAGGGTGCGTCAATTGAGAGGCTATATTTATAAAAGCAAGAGTCGCATGGCGAAGCAAGTTGCGAGCGTTGCACGGAGAAGGGTCTTTGTTCCCTGACAATGGCATTGTGATGGCTCTTTAGGACGGATTGAACAAAAACCAATCAGCAAGCTTTCTGCTCTTTGTGCTCTGCTCAACCGAACATTCTGCATCGAATCCGCATTCGAATTGCCTCCTAGCTCTCCAAATCAACACATCTTCCGGGTACAGCGCCCATATTTCGCAATAATCTCACATGAGTTGTTTCTGATGCTCCGCGGCTTCGTCTTGTACCGTGGTAGGTTAATGGTTGTATAATCAAGCCTGCTTTTGCTCATCGAGGAACGTCATAGTCTAACCGACCAATAAATTTCGATTTCGGAATAAAATCCTTGGTCCTTTAAGCCTTCCATTTCCGAGATGTCCTATCTTCATCTGTAGTTTGCAGGTTGCCTGGCATTGGTCGAGCTCGGTAGAAAAGTAATGTTTGTTTTCACCCCACACCTAGAATTTTGGACTCGATCAATATATTGACATTTTGCCCTACCACCAGCAATAGTAGGTAGTCAGCACAGTTGAATCGTGACTTGTGAAATTTTTTGGCAATAGTCGACAAATTCTCTTAGTCTAGAGCACGGATCGCTTGATAGCGTATCTGTCCGATCCACACCCTCCCTCCTCTTCATCCACTCTCTCCTACTCTTGTAGGAATATTCCACCTTCGGCCTCAGGATCTCATTCCCAGGCCCCCTCCCTCATCCAGACTCTCAGTCGTCACGATCATAAAATCCGGAAAACCCTCATTCTCCGCAGACACGGGCGACTCACCGTTCCCACCAAATTGTCTCGAAACCGTAGCTTCCTTGACCGTCCCGCTGTCGTTGTAGGTTCGAATGTCATCGTGGTTAGAAGGTGCGATATGGACGTGGGTCTTGGGGTACCAGCAGTTCGTCATGAAAGCGGAGCCAGATGATTTTTGGTAGTTGAGGCAGCGGCAGACGACGGAGTTGACAGGGTTGGTGGTGATGGTGTATTGTTAAGATTTACAGACGCAGGAGCCTGTGGCGTGTGGTTGCGTTACTGTTGCAGCTGCTGATGGTAGTGCCGGCTCGTCTGATGGTAGATAACGAAAATTACTATCGTACGATGAAGATGTAGAAATCATGAATAGTACTTTAGGAAGGACAAAAAGCCGAGCGCGAATGAGCCACTGGTGACCTAAGGGGTCGATGATGCTTGGCCCCGCTGATGATACTGCATAGCCCTGCATCCACAGATTCGATTACTCTGTAGGAGAATGGGGAAAAGTCATACCTAGATCTTGGCCACCACAAGCTCGCTTCAAATACAGAGTTTCTCAGTGAGGAGCCTGCGTGGGAGCAAACACGCGCTCCAAACGGGGAGAGTTCATCCGAGCCCGCTTGCTGGAATGCATTAAAGGCGAGATATAACCCGTAGGGATAGCGCAGACTCTCAAGAACTACCAAACGCCCATTATTCTTCTCTTACAATTAATGCCTCCTACCAGCCATCTACCCCCTCGTTCTCGCCCCGGCCCTCCACTCCCTCGCAATATCTTCGTACCTCAGAAATTCCACTCCTTCCCTCTCCTTCAACCACTTAACCATCCTCTCCACCATCCCGACCACATGCGCCATACCGCTACAATCCGGATGCAATACCAAGGGAAACACAAAATCCCTTCCCGGCTCTTCTTCCCCCGATCCATTCTCCCACAGCCACTCAAAGCGATCTTTCCACATCTGCTCGATGAGACGCACATCAACGTAGCCATGGGAGTTTTGGACGTGCGGCAAGTAGGAGAGAGGCGTCATGTCTTCCATGTACCAGTTACATGGAATCTCGACGAGGGAGGTGGCGGTAGCGGTGGAAGTTGGGATGGGGGTGGGGTGCATCCAGGTTGCAGCGGGTTTGGAGAAGTCGGGAGGTTGAATTTGGGTGTCAAGGGGAGGAAGATATGGTTGGGAATCGTGGGCACAGAGAGACGTGTCTGTTTCCGGGAGTTGTTAGTTGAGAGGCATGGTAGAAAGAAAAAAGGTTCGGAGTTGGTCGTTCTAGTAGACGCACCGTAAGAGAAGCCGTGCTCTACGAGGAGCTTTATCGTTGATTCGCGTATTTGATACAATGGAGCTCGGTAGCCGACAGGCTTCTTCCCTGTCAGCTTTGTAGCTAAATCAATGCACTTCTCAAGGACGTCTTTTTCTTGCTGCTCGGTCATTTGATACGCGCCCTAAAAACTTGTTAGAGAAAGCCCCTAAGGCAAATACATTTGTCGTACCTCGTGCGAATATCCGTGCAAAGCAATCTCGCAACCAGAATCCTTGATAGCTTTAGTAGCCTCAGGGAATGTTTCCATAGAATGCCCCGGTAGGAACCAAGTCACCTTGTCAGCAACGTCATGCTTCTTAAACAGCTTTACCAAGCGAGTCACTCCGATATTACCGGCGAAGAATCCTTGCGAGTAATCCGCTTTATTATTAGCGTCATCTTTGCCTGTGCCCAGAAGACCTGATATAGCATCGAAATCCACTGAAAGCGCTACTTGCACTCTCCGCTTTGGAGGCGGTGGGATTTCCGCTGACGGACCCTGTTTCATTTGCGCCGCTGATAATGAGGTTGCTGCGTTCGACGTCGGTTCGTGATGCTTTACAGCGTCTGACCCCTCTGGCTCTTTCCAGATCAATCTGCCTTCCATTCCTCCGTCGACACTAATACACTCGCCAGAGATGTGTCCCGCTGCGCGATGTGAGGCAAGGAAAGCCATGGCACATGCGATGTCTTCCGGTTTGGCAATTTTCCGAAGGGGTACGCTGTCGCGAAACTGGTCAATTCAACTGTAGACCAGCTCGCAACGCCAAGTAAAGTGTTTCAAATACTTACGTAGCTTGTGCCTCTGCCCACATTTCCTTCGCGTCGTCAAGTCTTCCTTCGATCAGTGGCGTGTCGACCCAGCCAGGAGCAACGGCATTGATCCTCGCTTTACTGTTCAGCCGAACGATCTCGTTCTTGACCCCACGCACAAGCCCGTACTGCAAGCCGGCTTTGCCTGAGGCATACTCGGTATGACCTGCTTGACCAAATTTCCCAGTCTCGCTACCCGTGACCACAATGGCAAGGTTTTCCAACTCCTTGCCAATTTCTTTTTGGCATATGGCGGCCGACTGTAGAAAGTGTTTTATAGTAAGGAAGGTGCCTCGGATATTGACATTGTATACCTCCTGCCAAAGCTCCAAGGGTATCTCCCAGATGGGATACTCATGGCTCTCATCCGTGATACCGGCATTGGCTACTAATACATTTATTGGACCATGGTGGTCACGGGCACTCTTCATGCATGTCTTGATGGAAACCTCGTTCGATATATCTCCTTGGACTATGTGGAGGGTGTCATCGGTGGTCGAAGGAGGGCGATCAATCGGTTTGCGGTCGTGAGCTGTAACCTTGCAGCCTTGGGCTTGGGAAGTAGACGAATTAGTACTCGCTCAAGCAGGGGAGAGGTCGATTCGTACTCACACAAAAACTCCCTCACCGCTTGGCTCCCAATGCCTCCAGCCGCTCCAGTGATGAAAACATGGAGGCCTTCGAGTGCGAGGAATGATGCTGTGCCTGACATAATGCCGGCAGCCAGGAGGGACTTCAAGCCATGGTGCTGACAATCCACAACGAGCTCAATGCCAGAAGAGTGTACGCATGCACGGCGACTTTGAGGGATTGTTCTTAGAATTGTCGTTGTAACAATTGATGGACTTGTTCCTCGAACTCCCTCAAGATACTTCGGACAAAAAAACACAGTAAGGCCGACCCGATTGCTTGTCTTCCATGACCAGACCTTCCTTGTTGGGCAAGTGTTGCGAACTGCAGTCCGGCGCCTTCTCAATTAGCCCCCGCTCTTCGAGCATCACATCTCGACAGAGCCAGTCAGCAAGGAGGGCAAGAGGAGGGGTTTCTTCGTAGGTCTGATGTCCGAACACAATTGCGGGAAATTGACGATCCGGCCAATTGAAATCGATTGTATATCGATAGCGGGTTGCAATGGACGCAATGATGAAGTTCCAATGCAGTCGTCCCTACCTGGAGCTCGCGAGATTTGGCTGGCCATGATAGGCTAGCGTAGGTGTGGACCGAGCGGGCTGTTCTACCGGGGCGACGATAGCAGATTCCGTGAGGACTACCTTTACCTGAGGCACTAATGCAGTGTATAAGACTGGCACCTTTCATCCTCTCCTCCAATCATCCACTTATCGGTCGTTTCACCCTCCCTTCAAGCCCATATACCATGGCCTCCCCTGCTCTGCCGACCATGCGCCCAATCACCCCGCTATTGAACCAGCCTGGCCTTTCAAGGCTCTATGGACGAAGCGGAGAATAACACCAAGAGCTTGGCTGGGCCGAACGACGATGTAGACGAAACCTTGGGCACCACGGTTGAGATCATTAATGCTGGAGGCCACAAGCAAGAGCTGGATAGGAACTTCAGTCTACTGAGCATCAGTGCAGTTGGCATCGTCAATGGCAATACCTGGGCCGCCTTGGGCGGAAGCATTGTTGGTCTCTCTCTTGAAATGAGAGTCTACAATGAGGACTTGTACTGAGTAGCTGTTATTAGGCCGTAGCAATCTCAAATGGAGGACCTCCTGGGGTCATATACGAATTGTACGAGCCACCTGCTATCCAGCCATGTCAATGCTAACATATAATCATAGTATTGCCGTCTCAATCTTCTACTGCCTGATAGCTGCATCCCTTGCAGAGCTCGCCTCAGCCATCCCATCTTCAGGAGGAGTCTACCACTGGGCTTCGGTTACGGCCGGCAAATATGGCCGAGTCTGCGGCTTCTTCGCCGGTTTCTGGAACTTCTTCGCCTGGTGAGGACATACACAAGAATGATGGAGCGGTTGTTGACAAGATAGAAGGATATTCGCAGCAGCCTCGACCTCTGCTATCATTGGTGAGTTCAGGACGATCGAAATCACCCTCGAGACGCTGAAACCCTGAAGGCAACCTGACTGTTCAAATGTACGCCACGTATCATCCTGAGTTTCAAGCGAAGGTACGAGAGCGCGATCATGTAGCTGGATTTGTAATGGCTGATGCTCTCCCCAGTCTTGGCACGTCTTCGTCAGCTACCTCATCGTCACTTGGTGCTGCTGCTGCATTGTGCTCTTTGCCAACCGTGCCCTTCCTGCACTTAACAACTTCGGCTTATTCTTTATCCTCGGCGGCGTGTTTATCACCATATTGGTTTGCGCAGCTGTGCCTGGTAGTGGTGGGAGACCGCCACATGCATCACCTGCTTTCGTCTTCAAAAACTGGTCTGCAGATATCGGATATTCGTCCAATGGCTTTGTATTCCTGATGGGCATGCTCAACGGAGCCTACGCAATAGGAACGCCGGACTGCGTCTCCCATCTCGCAGAGGAGATTCCGAGGCCAGAGATCAACGTTCCCAAGGCCATCGCTGCTCAAATGATGATCGGCTTTGTCACTGCCCTGTGCTACATGATTGCTATCTTCTTTGCTGTGAATGATCTAAGCGCAGTACTCTCCGGTTCCTCGACTTTCCCGCTCGCTGAAATTTACCGGCAAGCCACAGGTTCCCGAGCCGGTACGGTCGGCTTGTTGGGCGTCATCTTCTTACCCATAGTCTGCACCTGCATCGACACCTATATTGCAGCTGGGCGTACACTATGGGCTCTGGCTCGCGACAACGCTACCCCTTTCGGGACTTTTATAGGCCGCGTTGATCCTCGTTGGAGGAACCCGTTCAACGCAACACTCGTTTGCGGCTGCATGTGTACAATCTTGGGTTGCGTTTACGTCGGTTCCTCGACAGCTTTCAACGCCTTCGTAGGCTCCTTCGTGCTCCTATCTTCAAGTTCATACCTTGCCGCTATTCTGCCGCATCTCCTTTCCCGCAGATCGAACGTCACGCCGGGCCCTTTCTGGATGAACGGACTTGTGGGCTACGCAATTCATGGCATTTCGTGCTCGTACATCGCGGTGTTCATCGTTATTTTTTGCTTCCCTTACGCGCTTCCGGTACAGGCAAGCAATATGAACTACTCGTGTTTGATCATAGGTGGATTGACCGTCTTTGTATCGGTTGTTTGGTTGTTCAAGGGAAGGAAGGGGTATAATGGACCCCAAGCGCTGAATTATAAGGGACGTGAGGTTGAATCTGTCATTGTGGAGAAAGCAAATGAGGCATGATGTACTAACCGTTGGGGCAAGAGTAGCGTTGTGAATTTTGTTGAAACATACTGATTGGGTAGTTGAAAAAATCATTGCAATCACTGGCCTCCTCAGCCGTCAACGTAGCTTATGAATTTCGAGATCAGCCTAAAACCAAGTTATTATCTTTGTCTTTAGCTACTCATACTACTGTCAGGTAGCAATCGTACTTGTCATCACCCATCTTGCACACAGAGAGAAGGGTGGCCTATCTTAACAGTGTCATTGTCGATGAACAAACAATTACTCTCTTTGGTGCTCGATACCTGCAATGGCACGGGGCATTCGTGGCTACTCTATGGATATTCACTTTTTCCCCACTTTCTCCTTCCGCTCTGTTTACACAGACTACCCGAAGCTCATCAACAGCCAAAAAACAGCCGAACAAACCTACGAACACAAACCAAATCCACAGCGAGCACCGCCTTCGCCGCGCCTCTCGGCCACCTCATATGCCCAGACTTCTCTGAACAGCAACAGCAGCACTACCTCCAAGGCTGCAGCGGCCTCTGGGAAACCATTCGAGCCAACCCCGAGATATCCGTGCTTTTCCAACAGGCTCATAGGAAGCTAATTGCACTGAAAGCCTTCCTGATGGCCACAGGGAAAGCGATACAAGCAGCCAGCCACCGCGCACCACCGGCGCCAGCGAATCGAATCCACACGCTCATTCAGCAGACTTCGGGTGCACGGCCCATCCCAATCTGGGCTGATTTCGCAGCCGGTATCTCGACCTTCCATGAGCGGGCACAGAGCTCCACGTCGCATGCGAGCGTGTCGGAGATTTCGTTTGGCAGCCTTGATGCAAACGGTAAGTTGACGGAAGAGAGTGTAGCCGTGGCGTTGACGTTTCTGGGGTGCGATATCACGTCTACGACGGCAGATGAGATTGAGGCTGTGTGGATTCTGCTAGGCGTTCAGGAAGGTACGCGCGATGAGCTGGAGGAGTTCTTGCTCTCAGCATCTCGGTAGGGTGATTAGGGGATGTCAATTTGGAGCGGACCAGGTAGGAACATGTATCCGTGCAAGATTTTGGATCTGATGCTGTTTATCCCTGAGAAGATAACGAATTGGTGCTGGCGGAGATTATTGCACTCTTCTCACGCTAAGAATTTGTTTCAACAAGAAACCCGGGGGGGAGATGGTGCAATTCAAAAGACTCAATCAAATTCTCGATTTCTTTCTCACCTGTAGCATATTGTACCCTACTTCGGCCGCACCTAGAGGATAGGTGCTTACGGGTCGAACAGTCGCGCAAACGCACCGACCTGCGAAACATCTTCCTCATGCTCATAGCCTGGCTTACAAAGGGAGATTTTGACGCATCCGATAGATACACGGGAAGAAGCGGCCGGATGGCAGTATGTGCAAGTATAAGAGCGACGACAATTCCGCTTTTCTACAAAATCGTGCATCCTTCCAAACCAGGGATCGAATAGATCAATTCCAATATGCAGATCGTTGCTCTATATTACGTCTCACTTTTGGCCCAGATCAGCACCTACGTTACTGCAGCACCACCCATCATTCATCCATCAGTACTCTACCACAACTCAACGGAGACGTGCTCCGTAACCTAACCTTGTTCGCTAACAATGCCACGTCGTTAACTACTCTCGGGTAAAGTAATCTGCACAAACACACTTCGTCCATTCTAATGTCATCCCAGTCACCCACCCCCGCCAACACCCTTTCACCTCCACGTCCCCAACACAAACATGCTCCTCACCTTCAGCCTCACAATGTACGTTCACGACCGTATCGAGCACTGGGTACACGAGGCGATAAAAGGGGCCTACAACGACGCCTCCCACCACCGACGTTCCGAGACGATTCGCGATTCCATATCCCCAGATAACTATATCACGTGGCTTGGTGACGAAGGCGAACAGGCCATGGACAGCACGGATCTCCGAATCACGCCGGAGCGCAACTTGACGTGGGGCATGTTCTCCGATTGCCTTCCCGTGATCAATTGGTTCGTGTCGAACTATCCGGAGTGGGATTTCTGGCTTGCGATAGAAGTGGCTGGGGTGGCGGGGAATTTGGGGGAATGTTGGATGTATACACGCTAATGGAGGTGGTGGTGCTGTGTTGGTTTCCTTTGCTGGGCTCGATGGCGCCATGTTGCCGAGAAGGTGAGTCCTTCTGTTGGCATCATGCTATCAAAACAGGAGCTGTGCGACGGAAAGAAAAGAAAAATCGAACTTGATCTTTCCCTCTATCCGTGACTTGGCACCTAGATTCTTATATCCTTTCATCGCTCTCAGGGAGAAGGTCGCAACAAAGCAGCGGCTTTTCGTCTGCTTTGAGTTGACAAGGCAGCAAAACACCGTCCTAGATCCTCGAAAGTCATGCCATGTGGTATTGTTGAATAGTGGAAGTGCACGTCAACGAATGGGCTCAAAGCCATACATGAATAATTCATTACACACCTCGCGTCTCAGAAGCAGATGAGCATTGTCGTATTTTCCAGGGAATCTTTGCAGTCCTTGATACTTCGAGCCTGAGCTAGAAAGGGTCAATGACTTAGGAATCCTACCTGTCTACCAATGCAGCGCTTTATGCCTTGCTGTTCCCAATCTAAAGGACAGGTGCGTAGTGCTAAATCTGGCATTGATGGAAACCCTTGTGTTCTTTAGCCTTTGTCAATTGCCTTTCTTGTCTTCGAGTCATTGGGATAAAACAGCCTTCATGTGTGAAAGACTGCTTGTTCGCTACTAATAATGATCTTTTGTTCGGCATTCATGCCCTTTCAACCCGTGAAAATGACCATTCATATCTTGTACGTCTCGTCCGCCTCCTACAACCCTCCGAAGAGCATACACGCGCAGCGCCTGGTTTTGGATATACCACACAATATATATACACGCCTCAATAACGAACGTAATGACCTCCGAACAAAACAAACAACTGCCAAAACTGGCACCGAAGGCAGTAATCGGCGTAAAGCGCAAACCGAACCGCAAAGACCTATACGATCGCCGAGACCCCCATGACCAGAAACCACTCCGAGGCCTACCGGACCCGGACCCCGACGTCGTCCTCCGCAGGGCCGCCTTGAACCTCGAGCAAGCGGCGTTGAGAATGCAGCATGCGATCCCCGAAGCGAACCCCGAGTCCTCCCTAAGGGAGAGTCTCACCGTCCTTGCTGACCCTGAGGCTCCGTGGTCGGATTCCGACTGGGAGACCATTACGGATCCGGACAGTGGGTCTGAGCTGGATGATGAGGGCGAGAAGGGTGTGGAAGATGCGTTTATCGCGAAGGTGAGAGGGGTGGAGGTCGGGGAGGTGACGGCGGTAAGGGTTGCGCCTGTTCGAACTAACATCCCGGCGTTTATCAAGAAGGTGAGAGCTGTCAAGGGAAGGGGTTCGAATGTTGCTGCTGCTGCTGTGCCAGTTCTACCTAAAACTCGCATGCAGCCCGGGGACACCAGAGAACTGACGGCCGCGGAAGCGGCGCTGGCTCTTACGAACAGGCAAGCAGGGACGAGTGTGACGATGGAGGATCTGAGACCGACGAAGAAGACGAAGGTTGTGCGAGCTGACGGGGATAAGTATTGTTGGACCGTTGGGAGTGTCAGCACCAGAGCGTTGACGGTGGCGGAAGCGGCGCTGGTGCTTACGAATGTGCAAGCGGGGACTAATGTGACGATGCAAGATTTGAGGACAGCGAGGGAGATGGTCGATCTGTGGGATAATCAAGATACATTCGAATGGACTGTTGGGAATGTTGAGTAGTCGCGGAAATGGAGGTAAAGCGTACGAGCTGGATCTAGTTGCTTCAGATGCGAATATTTGATAAAGCGTTCTAATTAGAATGTTTCTAGCTGGTCTGAATAACTTTTCGTTGCAGTAAATTCCGTACTCATCCTAGAGTATAACGATTCTTTTCCAAGTAGGAAGGCTCCTCATCATTCAACGTTCTCCCGGAGAAACGAACCGAGAGACAGAAGCAAGACAATGCCCCTGCGCCAATTTCGTTCGCTCGAAAGGGGGAAAAGGTGTCGGCCGTGCTGCAGGTGGTCTTAGTTGCGCTCGCAGATCACGGTCAAACAGCTGAGGAATAGGATATGGCATGGCTTGAGGTAAGAATAAAGTGCAAGCTAGGGGTAATACCAGGGTCGTAAGCGATTGAGTGGGAGGCCCTTCTAGATATTCATGAAAAGGGTTGTGTCAGAGCGATTCGTCGTGCCGAGAAGCAGAGATCTTCTACAGAAGACCGTGAGGAGAGGAAGGAAAGTCAATCGTGAAGGGCAAAGCCCGATTGACACCAGAAATACAGTCAAGACTGCGGATCGCCTCAAAAAAAATGGAAAAGGAGCTTCGGGTGCTGCATAGGCTCTATTTGACCATCGTTTCACTCTCTGGAACGATGCCGATCCGTGATTGGTATAGAGAGCATTCTGATAGTGAATCATTCCTCGCGCCGGGGCGAAGAATGGTAGTCACCCAACTCCCACTTCACCACTCCTGTTGAAGGACACAGCAAGAGCCGAGACAGTATATCGGTTGCAAAGCCTCTTTGCTGCGCACTTAAAATAAAGGTGTCATCTATGTCAAGATATTTCGCACGCTCTGACTTATCCGATCTATCCGGCTCTGACTTCAGGTTGAAGATGAAAGCGTCTCTGAATGACATAGAATCATCTCCGAACGTAATATCTCCGAGATACTCGTTGTGCGGAAGGTTCGTTCTCTCGTCCTGACACGCATACATCACGTAAAAATCTACCTCCTCCACTTCGGTTTCAGAACTCAGACCCTTATTCGAGATGCCAACGAGGGAGCATTCGGCCTAGCTGAAGGCGTCTGGCATATCGTGTAACTGCATGTGGGGAATACGCCCAAATTCCTTCTCGATATCGTCGCATATGTCTTTGTGGATACCTCCAGGGCCAACTTTGATGAGTGGGATGCGTGTCAGGCAAACGGGAGAGGGGTCGTCGCGTGACAGCGTTGTAGGTTATGCGAACTACATTGAGTTTGTTGTGATTCTCCATGCTTAGTTGACTGTAGTAGATCAGTATGGAACTTGGTGTACGATGTCAGAGAAGAAATGCTTACGACAAGGAAAGTAGTAGGTATCTGACTGATGCTGATTGCGGTAAGAGGTAGATGAATCTTTGTAGCATGATAGTGTCAGATCAAGGTTCAGAAAAAGAGCCAGGTTTGCATCTTTGAAGGTAGCATACTCCTCAAAGTTTTCCATTATCCTACATTTCCACCTCCTTCATGTGAAATTGACCTCGAGAGTATCCTGTGTAGAAGAGCTTCGACGTACTCGATCGTGATGTCTGGGTCCGGTGAGTAGCTCTGGCAACGGTGCTGTTCGAAAGAATCCACGAACTCCCAAAAATCTATCAGGCGTGGCCGTCTGGTGGAACGTGTGAACCAATCGCGTATTGGCGATAAGCCTCTCAAGATGAGGTACGGTGACAGGTATCCGGCTTTGCTGGAAGAGCCGCGGCCGTCCATGCGTCATCTCTCAGCCGGGGGAATGTGGTTGAGCTTGGTACCTGGTGACGAAGTTGATGGTGTAGAAAGGGCATGGGATTATCCGCTTCTCGTTCCTCCACTAATACCCTTAATTCGGGCCTTGGCTGAGGATATTGAAGGACCCGCTGAGCATGTTCGTTCCGCGTAGCTTCATGCCCAGGTTGTTGGGTCAAGGATCCTCGGAAGGCACTCTTCAGGCGCATAGCGCGGGAAGATATATTCCATCTGGAATCACCAAGTTGTCCGAGCTGTTGGAATGGCAGGCAGTATAGGATATGTACCATCTTGTAGAAGATTATTTCGCAGCTTGACTTTCAAGAGCTCCCGTCTTCTCGCAACGCCCTCAATGAATACACGTATTCTTTTTGGTGCCATGCTCGAGTCGCTAAACTTTGGTCATTGACTACACCAACAGGCGTACGACGTGGGTCTTCGCTTTTTGTGACCGAACATCACAAATGACGCGCCAAACTCGTGCGAGGTCATCCTCCGTAGCCACAGCTTAGCCACTTCTTAGGCCTGGATGAGCTTCTCGATGGGATAAATAGTGCAGGCAGCGATTGGAATTGCAAGACACCCGCGACCATTAGCTATGTTGCAGGAGGGTTTTTCATCTTCAGTCTTGAACATCTCCTTTCGGTCTGTCACACTTTCCCCAATGAATGCATTCGCCATTTTGCGTGCCATGCTCAGTCTCGGTCTCTAGTCCTTCGTCATTGACCACACCGACCGTCGTCAGGCTCTGATTCTGAGCTTTTTGGGATATGAATTTATCCATGACGCGTCCGACTCTGGAGAGTATGTTCTCCTTCCCAGCGCGTTTCTTGCCACTTTCCTTGCCAAGGGTGTCGAATATGTATGGCGGTAGGCCAAACAGCAGAAGGTTCGGATTGCCTCCACGTGATTCGGGAGGCAACCATGCTGTGAACTCGTCCTTCAGCTCCCTATAGATCTCGAATAGCAGCAACCAGCACGAGTGGTGTAAGGTCCAGTAGTTGAATACTAGCTTAGCCTCTTCTTTCTCCATACATTGTTCCAAAAGGGTGAGCAGCTGTACAGGGTTGAGCTTATGAGAGGATCCATCCTTCTGCACGCCTTGTGAATGGGCTGTCTGGTGAAGGAATTTCTCCATGAGATCAACGTTTAGGTCTGTCCTCGTAGCATCTGTCTGACACAGGAACTTCTCAAAGGTCTCCATGAGCTCTGGAACCTTCAAGAAACGCGCATTCTGGACGGAATGCTTATAACCTCCCTTGTGGTCCCGGGCAAAGTTCGTAGCTGAGCTTCCTCTGGCCATCCGATAGTGATGGCGGTAGGCGGAAACTGTCTTTGGTGGTGCTCCGAGAAAGATATCGCCGCGGCCATAGAGATCAATTAAGTTCTCCATGTCGGACCAACGAGTCGCAAGGTCGCCTTCGTTCCTCGCAGCATTGTACAAGTGCGCTGCAGAGACAGCGTATAGCGACTTGTTCATTTTTTTGATACCTCCAGCTTGTGATTGCAGGAGGGCCGCACACTGCATTAGCCCGCATACCACTGGGTTATGCAACAGGAAGAAGAATGGTCTCCCAGGGCCTAACTCAGGATGACGTTTTCGTTGCTGCATAAAGATGTCGTTAATGATCCATGAGTTGAGCAGAGCGCTGTTTTTGCGTTTTTTATCTTGCTCTGCTTGATCAAAGTGCATCTTTTTGATGACTTGAGAGTACTTGATGAAATACTCAGTATTGTCTTTCAAGGTATCACAGCTCGCTTTGAACTCTCGGAACGGCCTCGTGACTTCTTCACCTAAAGCAACAATTAGCACGGTAAGACACCGCAGGGGCTCAGAGCAATACCAAGTATTCGCTGGGTATCGAGGAAGACTTGCAACCCGAAAGCTACCCACAAATGAACTGGTTTATCCAAGAAGACTTCCATAATTCCACGGGTCAGTTCATCCTCTGATGGCATTGAACTGGCAGCCCCGAACGAGAAAACCTCCGTAAAGAACTCATTCAGTATGATTTTGTCGGCTCTCCAATTGTCTTGGTTGTCAATTTCGGAACCCTCCACCTTCAACACCGGGACGTGACCGGATAACATTTTTGTCGTTGTCCGTCTGACGAGGAACTCGCGGAAGCGCCTAAGCTCTTCGAAGGGTAGGCAGTACACACTGCGAAGGTAAGCAGTCTCGGAATACACGAAGGAGCCCGTAAAAAGTTCTTCGAATTGAGTAGGAGTGACTATCGTGTCCATGACCTTTTCCCAGCTCGTAAACTGTGGCACCGATTCCATGAAATCTCTCTCAATGCCTCGCACCATGCCAATCGCACAGTTGATGACTGCCGAGATCGATACTAGACTTAGACTGCGGGTACGATACCGTTCCAAGCGCTCATGGATGTGTTTACGAACCTGGTGTAGGTCCGCAAACATCTTGAAAATTGCAAAATGTATATCACCCTTTGAGTCTTGAAACTGGTACGTTGTTTTTTTCTGAGAGTTCTTCTGAGAGTTTTTCTGAGAGTTTTTCCGAGAATTTTTCCGAGAATTTTTCTGCGGTGAGGGAGCCAGATTGTCGCTTTGATCCGTAAGAGCCAAAGACTCCAGCTCGAGGATATCGCATGAGTCTTGTTTAGCTGGGGTGGCGTCCAGACCGCCTTCGGAGTTTCCGAGTGGCTCATTCGAAACACTCGCTTCCTCTTCCAAGTGAGATGGAGCTAGAATGTCTAGCAGTCCATCAAGAACGTTGTTAAAGTGCTTGTGCCCTTTGTTACTTTGCTCTATTGATGGATCGCTCATAGGCTGGCCCTGGTACCATTCAGAAAATCGCCTCCGAGACGCGATTGCCTGACGAAGGTCTTCCAGCTTCTCGGCTGGGATGGGTTCTGGCGATGCTCCCACGACTAGCCGCGCAAACGGGACGATGTCGTTCACATCGATCGTGTAGGAGACAGATGGAGCAGCTGGTGTCGAGGCTGATGACACGCCTCCTTTTCTTGGCGGTCTTATGTCACCTACAAAAGGCGTCAACATCTCGTCGGCTAGTAGATTGCTGGTGGGTACTCACGTTTTGCTCCTTCTTCTACCAACCAGGACAAGACCGACGCGGTCTGGGCTTTGTAAAGCTTGTAAGAATCGGTCAGGAAGTCCAGAATCATCTTTGGGCCCGGTATGTGGTTAGCTCGGGGTATTGTGTGGGCGACTGGTGAAAGACGAGGGATGAAGACCGTCTGCTTGGTTAGTCGTCAGAGTAGTAATTCGAGCAGCAGGAAGAAGATCTGACTGTCTTGCTCAAGGTGCAGGAAGGAGAGCAAGCGTGTTGACAATCTTACGAACGTCACCCGTTCCCAAAGCGAGGCTAATCCGCGTTATACTGGCGTTAAGAATGCCCTGGCTGCAGCACCTAGAACGTGATGCTTGGAAGCGGAGGTTAATGCGCAGTTTACTTCTTGGAACCCCTGAAATAAAGACGGCGCCAAGATGTAGGATGCCTTCTCGGAAATTAGGCGTTGTTCTAGTGATTCTTGTATATACGACCCGGGTATGCATTTCAATGCTCTGGGGAAACCACGAATCTTCAGGACCTGGCTCCAGCTCTAGCGGCCTATATGGGAACCTCTAATTCGGTCCTTTTCTATGATATGGCTTAGAGACACCGATCTTGCATTGTTACATCAAGAGGTCATCGGCGCTAAAGGCTTGCTGTTACCTTTTGAGCAGCCACACCTACCTTTCAAAGGACATCAGGGGTCACTTACAACCGTGGTCTGATTTTGGAAGTCTGATCTCTAGCACTGCCCTCATAACAGCTTTCTCGAGGCTCGTCCAAGACATCGCCTGGAACAGCCCAACTGGCCAGCGACTTTCGCACACACAGTCAGGGCGCAGTCTTGGAACGTCTGCGAGAACATCATCATATCTTCTCAGTCAGCTCAATCAAGAAGCACCCCAGGACAGACTCGTTACGCGGATGTAACCAACTAGAACTGAACCACTCCGGCGATCTCGCAAAAGCACTTAGAAGCCAGGGCTTCATAGTGGAGACCTTAGGCATCTTTTTACCGTCTGGCATAAGAAAGTATCCATTCTCTTCTAACAAAGGATAGGGTCCCTTGTCCATGGAACCTTGGTACTGGAATGATTCGCCGAGAGAAAGGACATTGGCTGCCATTATAAGGAGAAGAAGATATGACACAAAGGTGTGATGTTGGATGCCATACTGTTGAGAAGCATTGCACGGCTGGAGCCCACATGCGTGTGAAGAGAAGAGATCTACCTACAGAGAAGATCTAATTCCCTGCCTTGCTTGGAATGTAGGCTAGAGGCAAGGGATGGAATGACGGACTATACTTGATTGATTTGAACTCTTGGCCAATTTGATAGGCCTCGTGCTTAAGTCGGACATCTGCTTGGTGCCTCAGAGCAGCCGTATTTGGCAGAAAGTATCTCCTTCCGGTCTCCATGGGCTCTGAGTATTATCCATACAATGACTCCAGTGTCTCCCACGTTATACGGTGATAGCTTGCATGAGATGCTAGGACTCACTGACAGCAATGGTCAGACAGACGTGGTCGTCCTTACTTATCCTTCTCCTCAAGCTGCTCTGGGTAGCTCCTACCCTGGTGATTGTCCCGATAAGAGTATATGTATATATATCGCAAGGAATAACCTACTGTCGTTGATTTTATGGACTAAATACTAGGCAGCAGGTCCTGTAGCATATCACTTATGCAACCGTGGTCGGAACATCAGCAACAAATAGACACAAAGCTGCTCTCATGGATTGATCAAATGCGGTATCCTTCCAAGAACTGAGTGTGCAGAATCTTGACTTGTCGTCAATCGAAGTTGAATGGCAATAACAATGCCGAATGAGAGAGGCATATGTGGATGATATGGCACCTCGGTTGAAACGAAGCCCCTGAGTTAGCGAGGAGCGAGCTAAGGTAACTGCATAGCACCATTAGGGGCACCAGGGGCAAAGTTCCCCCGACTCTTCCCCAAATCTTTACTCTATTCGCCCCGACGGCACTCACAACCGTGAACATCTATTCACCCTCACAAACTCCCTCCGACAGTGGAACATCAGTTCGGCCGAAAAGATGAACTGTCAGCGACATTGGAACATGGCTATGAGGAAAGAGAGAAGATATAAAGCCAGCCTCAATCCTTCGTGAATGGAGAGATCCCAGGTTCAACGATCACACAGCAAGCACAAGCATCGATCACAGATAGCTTACCACCAAATCAAAACACAGACATTCATCTCATTCATCCCACCACCCTTCCTTCACCATGTGCTGTTCCAAGAAGCGAACCCCTTGCTGCTCTGCCTGCGGCAAACGCTCCGACTGTCACCGCCGCAGTTGCACCGCCAAAAATCCTCCTACTCCAGTCTCCTCCAATCAACCCGATCATCCTACCGAGCCCATTCAGCACGCCACTAACAACGGCTACGACCACCCGCCTCACTACGAAGAACTCGCTTGGCCTGCGCAGCAAGACGGTGCATTGGGCTACAAACAAGTCGGGCAACAAGGCCAGGGGGGTGGATTGTTGGGGTTCATCATGGGAAAATACAAGTCGGGAAATTCTGGAGATGCGGAGACAGTTAAGGCTCTTGAGTATGCGTATCAGGCGGGCAGGATGGCGGAGAAGGGGGAGAAGGCTTAGGGTTGCGATGAGGGAAGGAGACGTGGACAGGGTGAAGTGGCTTGAAGGATTACGATGAATACATGTACTGAGGGTGGAGTGGGGGTTGGCAGATCTTCCGGTGATAGATGCATTGCCAATTCAACAAAGTACTCTCCAGAATTCACGCAAAAGTCCATCGCAACGCAGTCGGTCTATTATGAGTGATAAAAAGCCGAAAAGGGGGTAAAATTCTACAACTTAGACCCAAGGTAATCTAGATGGGGTGAAAAGTCTACAATTCACTCGCTTCAACCTATCAAAGTTCTCATATTTTCCACGAATAGTGTGGATTGGGAGAGTTGGTGGGGAATCATGAGCCTTCAAGACGCCGATTGAAGGGAATTCTGTCATCAGCTTGGTTCATTAGGATGCACCTCTGCGTTCTTGTTCATTCATCCATCTTTCGGCCGCCCACTCTCCCATCTCTCAATCAGTTGCTTTGGCGTATACTCCTTATTGACAGCCTTACATCCACAGATCTTTCCTAATGTCATCAACAAACCCATCAAAGTATACGTGAACGCCGCTTCAACCAATTCCCTCCACCCGCCCCTGTACCCCCCGAAATCTACAAGGACAAGGTAATTGTCCATCTCCCACATCACACACATGATCTGTAACGTCTTCCACAGCTCCCCTAGCCAAGACATATCAGATCTATATTGCGGCTCCGACGCGGTGGAGAAGAGGTTGCGGAAGAAGATCTCTTTCTGTCCGTCGGCAGGATCCGTCCACTCTTCCGCTATCAAATCTTCCCCTCTCAATTTTTCAATCCCCTCCTTCCCGTGCTCTCGCAAATATGCCTCTTGCGTCTCCCTCTGCCCTTTACCCAACAGTCGCGCGGGGCGATCAAATCGCATCCATTCGTGACGAGCGTAGCGAGGTACTCGCGCTGCGCCATCCTTGGCCGTGTATATCTTGCTCACGCCGGAAACCGTGATGAGCGCGGCACCAGATGTGACACGTACGTATTCTGTATGCGTGGTGTGCCAGTGGTATTGCGTGCTGAGTTCGGAGCCGATATGGAAGTTGATGATTGTCGGCTGAATGGTTGTGGTATCGAGAGAGGCGGGAGGGGGAAAGGAGAAGGTGATGGATTCAGGGGGTGGGCGGTAGAAAGAGCTTTGGTGGGAGGTCTTGGTAAGAGGCTTTATGGTTGTATTCATTGTGTGCTGCTCTCAATGCAGGATATGGAAGGAGGTCAAGGAGGCTCACGTCCACGGCGGCGGTGGGCTGAATAGCGCAGCTGAGTGAGATCTCCTGGCTTATGAGAAGACATTCTGGTAATACGGCGCAGTATTACACTTATTTATGTGAACTGGATGGCCTGATTAAGTAAACAGTTGCTGTTGTTGGTTGACTAAATAGACAGCTGAACAATAGGACGGTTCGCTAGCGCGGAATGCTTCCGTCTCTGCGGAAAGATTTTGGCACTGACGGAGAATTCCTTGACCATCTCAACTCCACCGCTATCCTACGAAGAATGTGGCAATCCGCACTGTTACTATCTCTGCAAAATGACTATGAAACGTACCAAGTACATTCAAGCCAGTATTCTGACTTGTTGGCCTTTTTCCTTTCTATTTCCTTATCAGCTGCCGAGGCGTTCCCACCTGCAGCGAGGACGAAATCTCATCGAGGCAAAGACTCATGCATTGCGGGGATTAGCCTGCCTCAAGGGTCTGAGAACTTCTGGCACTGTTCTTGGCTAACCAATAGTAAAGTCAAGAAGGTCCTTCCTACATGGGTAAGAGTAGAACGGTTCTGGCAGCGTGCAGATTTCCCCCGCGCTGTTGACGATTCGCTGCATGATGACGGAGCGCACACCGAGGCTCTCGTTTCATGTGCAACCACATAAGTCAAATTCTCTCTTTGTTCTCTTCTGCATACTGTGCTTGACATATTGCATCTCTGTTGCGTTCCTTTCATAGACAGATTATACCAGGAGGAGAGGAAGTGGGTAGTGCTGTCATTGATCATGGCTCCTCCCACATTCATGGGCCTAACAGGCCGTCCGCTTTCCCTGATGGTCTCTACGGTAGCTACAACAGGCTTTGTACTTTTTGGCTACGATCAGGGCGTCAGTAAGCAACTTCCCCAGCCCTTTGTTTCCTGCCCCATACCCTGATTTGAGTCGCGCGACACGTTGCGGGTGTAGAACGACACCCACAATTGTCTTATGACTTGATCTTTGATGTTGAAAAGGAAGTTACTGACTGGAAAATCGACTTGCAGTGTCTGGCATCATTACCGCCCCAGCTTTCAATGATCTCTTCACAGCCACCAAGGGCAACTCTACAATGCAAGGCTTCGTGACTGCAATCTACGAGATTGGATGCTTGTTCGGTGCCATCTTCATCCTCTCTTTCGGTGACTTCCTTGGCCGTCGAAGGGCCATGATGATGGGTGGTAGCATCATGATACTCGGCGTTATAATACAAGTGACTTCTGAGCGAAATTCGACTCCTCTGGCTCAATTTATCATTGGTCGCACTATTACCGGCGTAGGAAATGGTATCAATACCTCTACCATCCCTACTTATCAAGCCGAGTGCTCACGAACGAGTAATCGAGGGCTTCTGATCTGCATCGAAGGCGGCGTCATCGCCTTCGGAACATTAGTAGCCTATTGGATAGACTACGGCGCAAGCTACGGCTCCCCCAACCTCTCATGGCGTTTCCCAATCGCTTTCCAGATTGTCTTCGCCCTCATCCTCGTCTTCGGCATGATCTGGCTCCCCGAATCCCCACGCTGGCTTCTAACCCGTGAGCGCTATGAGGAAGGCGAGACCGTGATTGCAGCTCTGCGTGGACTGGAACTCGATGACAAGGAAACACAATTGCAGAGGCAAATCATCATGGACAGTATCCGCGCTTCTGGCTACGCAGGTCGGAAGGGCACGCCATTGAAGGCGGTCTTTTCTGGTGGGAAGACGCAGCATTTCCGCAGGATGATGCTGGGTGTGAGCAGTCAGTTCATGCAACAAGTTGGCGGCTGCAATGCAGTCATCTATTACTTTCCGATCCTGTTCGAACAGTCGATTCATCAGTCGCATAATATATCCCTACTTCTAGGCGGCGTCAACATGATCGTCTACGCCATATTCGCTACGGTATCTTGGTTTATCATAGAGCGCGTCGGACGGCGAAAGCTGTTTCTTTGGGGCACCGTGGGCCAGTGTTTGAGCATGGTGCTCGTTTTCTCATGCTTGATACCCGGAACCACCACCGCTGCGAAAGGTGCCGCTGTTGGACTCTTCACATACATTGCTAGTTTCGGCGCAAGCTGGTTGCCACTGCCGTGGGCAAGTCATCTCCAGCGTTAGCGGACATAGATCCTCGAAGCTAATCGTCTAAAATAGCTCTACCCGGCCGAGATCAATCCCATCAAGACACGCCAAAAAGCCAACGCGCTTTCCACCTGCTCAAACTGGCTCTTCAACTTCCGTGAGCACAGATTTTCCCTTCGACCCCAATCTCCCTCCGAACCCCATTCCGGCACGAAAAAAAAAACTAACCCGCGAACCCAGTCATCGTCATGATCACCCCAATCATGATCACCAACATCCACTGGGGCACCTACCTCTTCTTCGCCGTCGTCAACGCCTGCTTCCTCCCCGTCATCTACTTCACCTACCCCGAAACGGCCCGTCGCTCCCTCGAAGAAATCGACATCATCTTCGCGAAGGGGTACTGTGAGAACATCGGCTACGTGAGGGCGGCGAGGGAGTTGGAATTCCTGACGGATGAGGGCGTTGATGGGAAGGCGAGGGAGTATGGACTTGTGGAGGAGGTGAGGGCGGAGAAGCAGGCGGAGAAGTTGGGGGTACTGATGGAGGTCGAGAAGGGGGAGTGAGCAAGTAAGTGCGAATCGTCGATGAGCAGGTTGCGACAACAAGCGAAGCTGTTTTGGATATGGGGAGCGCAGCCTCCCATGAAACGAAGTTCTATCTATGTATCCATCTCCTCCCTCTATACCCCCGTCAATCATATCACAGCCGATACCATCTCAACGCCCCTCCCCCCTGATGTCGGGGTCGATCTCTTCCCGTCGATCGCGCCGATAGCATCGCTGTCGTAGAAGGGTAGTGCGAGTAGATTCCCATATCCAACGTTTGCGCCGTTCTCGTCTTTCACGTCAAAGTCCAGGTTCTCAAAGTGTTCCTCTTCATGAACCGTTCCGATCCCGTTTGCAAAGCGGAACAAGCCCGCTATCACAGAATCGACCTGCGACCAGCTCATCTTGATCATGCCGTATACCTGGATCGATACCCGGACTCTGCCGGCCGGGGTCCAGTAGAAGAATTCGTCGTGGGGGATCGTCTCGCTACCTGATCTATTGAGAAAGGGCGCGATCTTCAAGAATGCACCGTCCAGGGCCTCGTTGACCCTTTTGCTGGGAATCGGATCGCCGAACCAGATAAACTCCAAAATGAAATTGGTGCCGGGAACGGGAAAGGAGACGTTGGCTGCGGTACTCGAGGGCAGACCGCCCGCATCGGACGAATTGGAGGATGTCTCGTTGGCGAGCCCAGACGCCAGATTCAATCCCTCGTCCAGCGCTCGACCCGCGAGAGGGGTTTCCGCCCGCTCCTGTATCTCGGCCGCGCCCCGACCTCGACCTGGAGTACTCCACAGAAGCCCAGTGCCTATCCTTCCCTCATCCGCCAGGTTGACTTCGAACTCCAGGGTCTGGTAATGCACTTGGTGGTCGGGTCCGGCCCCGCTACTGAATTGCGTCAGTCCTTGCAGTATCTGATCGAGTTGTAACCACGATAGCCCGAGACTTCCGGAAGCCTGTACGACGACCGAACAAACGCGGGGCGTGGGAGTGGCTGAGCGCGTGCTGTATCCGAATATATGGTTCGTTGTTGCGTCTTCGATGTTGGATGCTAGGTGGGACAGGACCTGTTGACGGGCGTCAAAGATGGTGGAGAGTGCTCGGACAACTGGGATTCGGGCGCCGAGATGAGTGAATTCCAGAGTCATGGCGGTGTCAGGAACCGGGTAGGGAACAGAAGCTTGCGAGGGTGAGATTTCTGGTGACCATGGGATACCGTTAGGTAAACGGAGAGAGGTCTCATTGTTGAGACTCAGCGTTGCATTTATGGGGAATTCTGTAGTCGGTTCGGAGACCGGAGAAGTCGTGCGGAGCGCGCTGTTGGTAACGAAGAGGCTAAAGAGGATTTGGGCGGCGCAGGTTGCAGGCCTGCCGGCTACGTACATAGTGAGGTCGAACGTGTAAGAGTAGAGAGAAGCAAACCCTGGCAACAGAGCGAGGGTCGCCGCCAGAGTATCTGGAGCGGAGTGGGAAAATTTCCATACGTGCTGATTGCGAGGTGGGAGATTCTTCGTGTCGCTTGTACAGCGTGTTGCAGTGAATGTTGTTGCGCCGCGACTTGCGCAACATGCGCCAACGGCATCCCACGAATGAACAGCTGCACGGGGAGCAAGGGGGTATGGTGGGTACAAGCAGAGAGGTCTTGGCACGTTTTGAAAAGGCGAGGCATACATGAAGAGAGACAGCGCCAACAAAAAGGCCTTGCAAAGGCTATGATGACAGCGGATCATTGATTATAAGGATCTAAAGTTCACAATCTGAAATCCCTACCCTCTGTAAGAATTGACCTAAATAAATGGTGGCCTCTCAGCTGTTCCGTAAGGTTGGTTATATGGGAAAGCTAGTTGGTTGCCGCCAACTTCTTACCTGTTGGCACGTATGTTGGCGTAAGATGTCTTGCGAGTAAATATCACCTCCGGTCTGCCTCTCCTGCACCTAGTGGTATTGGAGTCGGAAAGCCCTTACTCTTGTTCTCTTCACATTGTCTCTTGTCCGCGTTCTCGTCTAGAGGATCCGCCACAAGCTCGTCAATAATGCTTAGTAACTCGTCCGCTCTCTGCGACCTCCACTCGTGCCAGACGTTCCACCACCAAGTATGCGTTTCACCATCTCTTCCCAAGTGCCCTCCTATGCCGTCACTAGCTACCCTCTTCATCCACGGCTTGTCAACAATGTAGTGTAATGCCTTGACCTCTTCATCGCGCCAGATGTTTGTGTGCCATTGCCTCATCGTTTTCAAAGCATTGTATTTCCAAGGCAATGGACGCCATCTGCCACAAAACACCGAGGCTAAGAAGTCTTGGTCGGGAAACTGGAAGGTCGACAGCTCAGGTGATGTGAGGAAGTGATCGTGTATTGCTTTCCAAAGCATTTCGGAGGGATGGTAGAGGAAGACTCCACCGTTCAGTAATGCGTAGGTGTCAGGAGGGGCGGCACCAAGAGGAATTGGCGTTGCTTTTTCCAAAGCTGCGGGATGTCGGAGAGGCGTGTACGCGCAGTTTTCACGTTTCCATTCCTCAGGTGCCCAACTATCGTGATCGAGATTACAGACACAAGAATGATTTGCAGCGATCCAATCATTAGCAGGAAGTATGAGATCAAAAATCTCATCCATGTTCTTGTAGATTGTGATATCGGCGTCGACAAAGACGCAACTTTCGTAGGAGGTCAGCTCGAAAGCTCGGAGCTTGGTCCATGTGTCCTCGAAACGGTCGGCTATGAGGGTAGTTTTCCTGTTTTTTGGTAGCAAGAGAGGTTCAGTTGGGTGGAGTGTTAGTAGAGGGTTATGGATTGACTCAAGCTCTAGGGCTCGGATGCATGACTGGGGCAGGGAAGGTGTGATGAGTACGACAAGAGGATATGCGGTGGCGTGAGCCGAGAGGCTATGTGCTAGGGTGAAAACACCTGGAAGATAGGAAGAACGTGTAAGGAGAGTCACCCAAGCTCTCTTAATTGCGTGACCGTTTGAAGCCATTGAGAAGAGATAGACTGGAAGGAGCCTTTGAGAATAGTTTTTGAAGTTGGGGATTGAGAAAGACTGGAGGGAATACAGCAAACAAGAGCAATCGGCGCCATCCTATGTTACCAGGTTTACTTTTTTTCATTCGACGTCCTTCTGGTAATGAATGACCTCATAATTTTCACAGGAATTTGCGGAGGATGAGAAGGTTTGGAGCTGGTTACCTAGCTTCTTTACAAAAATCTCCATAGTCTCTTGGCATCCGGACTTTGCTCGCCACTCATTGAAACATCTTCACTACTAGACATCTCGTCCGAATAAATCCCTCCCAAATTCATCGTTAACTCAAAGTCGCTTGTTGAATGGAAAATCTCACAATGCCGGCCCTTTTAGAGTCAAGTACTCGAAGTGGTCAAAACAAGTGACGGATTTAAGCGAGGCGCTATTTTGCGACTATTTACTCCACTCTCTTTCTTTAACATCACTCCACAAATTACATAGCTATCGCCTCCTAAAGTAATCAAAATTAAAGCTATATATAATGGCTGTCTTACCCCAAAAAATTGCGCCCGTGAGATTACCACTTCGTTAAAAAACTTCTATTCTTAATAACATCTCGATATCTTTCTAGTATACTATATACTCACTTAACAAAGGCCCCCCTTTCTACCAATTGATCCCACTTAAAGACCGCTATTAGCTATATATCTTTTAAAATAATAATTATTCTTTTATACGCTTAAATTTTCTATTTATAATACTTTTATATATACTTATCGAGATTTAAATTAAAGCTTAATAAAGACTATACTAGCGTCTTAATATTATATTATCTTAATTATAATAACGTCTCTTTAGAATCATAGATTCCTACGCCGTCTTATATAAATATCGATCGATATCCTATCTTCTTAAGTTCGCGATATTAGAATAGTATATAAGACTTTAAAATCTAATTAATATAATTCGTACTAGTAATAGACTTCTTTAGATTATTCTTATTAAGATTACGTTTTATAAACTTAATACTCTCTAAAAGCTAATATAATTCGCTTATCTAATTATTATAGAATTCGCTCTAAACTATAAGAAATTAATATCTTAAATACTTAAAGTTCTAATAGTAATCTAAATAATAACGTTTATCGAATCGTCGAGTTATAAAAATGCGATTACGCTTTTCGATCTCAAACGAGCTCTTATTCGTAAATATTATATGTATTTAATCTTCTATCGTTTAATATAGATATTCTCTTATTTACTTAAGTCTTTTTCGTCTATTAATCTATAATATAAGAGGTTTAAAATATACGATATAGCGTCGAAAGTCGACTTTACAAAGTACGCGCCGAATAGTAAATTAAGAAGCATCAATCCTCAGATCTGCAGCCAATTATAGATAGGATTTACGTCTACTATCTAGAGAACTCGTAACTATATATATAAGCTATCGCAGATTTTAAGCGTTAATTTTTTAAGGCGTTCTTAAGAAAGAGTTTCGACTAGAACGCGTGTCTCCGGATCTTAGGATTCTTCTGATAGTTAATGTGGGAATGTTGATATCTCGTTTGATCTGTGGGACAGTCTGACCCTTCATATCATGGTAATCAATGATATATTTGCGTTATAAGGTCGTAAGATGCTTATTTAATATATAAGGCTCCATTTTGTGGTAGGTTGTAAAAATGATGGTGGGGGAAATCGCGAAAAAACGCGTAAATCCGTTATTTGTTTTGACGCGTACTAGTACGTAGGTAGTTGCCTCATTTCCTCAGACGTGCCAAAGCGCCAAGCCCCTTCGGGTTAGCCCCTCCTGCTTACCGAATAAGCTTCCGGGACTGTTGATGTCACCGACAACCTTCTGTCGCAGACCATTAAGTTTATTACATACCTAGCCACCTCAGACTTAATGATGTGGCGCCGTCGAAACTTCCCTCGCCTCTCTCTAAACTTTTACACTATGAATCATTCTCCACAGAAGTATATCCCAATCTACCAGCAGTCCTCTACCGTACTCAACCGTTGACTTGCCACAATAGACACATCCATCCTTACCACCGGCCTTTGCCCGCCCAATCTCAAACTACGGACAAAGGCAGAGCAGAAGCTGAAGCATACTACAACTCCGACTCCCAATCCAACATGTCTCCCTCCAAGCTCGCCCTCACGGACCTCCTTCCTCTCCACAACTCCTCAGTCAAAATTCCCCGCCTTGGTTTCGGCATTTACCAGTCTCCTACCAACGTCTGCATTAATTCCTGTCTCACAGCCCTCAAATCTGGATACCGCCACATCGACTCTGCACAATTCTACCGCAATGAGACAGAGATGGGTGAAGCGGCGCGGCAGTCAGGCATACCCCGCAATGAGGTCTTCCTGACTACCAAAATCATGAGCGCTGGTGGCAGTGCAGAGAAAACGTACAAAAAGTGTTTGGATAGTGTACACAAGATTGACGGGGAGGAGGGTTATGTGGATCTCTTCCTAATACACACGCCAAGTGGAGGGTCTGCGGCCGTGAAAGAGATGTATCAGGCGTTGGAGAGATTAGAGAGTGAGGGGAAGGCGAAGAGTATTGGCGTTAGCAATTTTGGAATTAGGCATATTGAGGAGATGAAAGAATATGCACGGATATGGCCGCCACATGTGAATCAGATTGAGGTGTGTACGAACCATAGCTCTACTTTCTCACTTCATACCTCTCCAAGTTGTAATGTTTGTCCTTCACTTCATTGCTTTCGCCCATCAGGATTCTTCACCTCGCAGTTCCCTGTTTGAAAATTCTTTACTCATCATCTCTCACTTCGTCAGTCCCTCAGTTGCTCATCTACCACTAATATATAGACGCTAACATTTACGACCCTCACAGCTTCATCCGTGGAACCAACAACGAACAATAGTCGACTATTGCAACCAACAAAAGGTCGTCATCGAAGCGTACTGCCCACTCGTGCGCAACCTCAAAGCACACGACCAGACTCTCGTTGAAATGTCAAAGAAACATGACAAAACTACTGCGCAAATACTAATCAGGTACTCATTACAAAAAGGGTGGGTTTCATTGCCAAAGAGCGATACGCCCAGCCGAATTGAAGCAAATGCGGATGTATACGGCTTCAGTTTGACTGATGAGGATATGGAAACCTTGGACTCTCTGGATCAAGGGGCCAAGGGGGCGATTGTGCAGGCAGTGAAGAATTAAATAGTGATGCCGCCTTGTGAAGAATAGAGATATTCACCAATCTACCAACGTGAAGTCTGCTAGCGCAGGCATTGGTGGGTACTTAAGCCTCCTTTCCCCGAGCGGAAACATCTTTCCTCTTTACATCTCGCCATCAAGGATAGCCTTCAACTTTCATGGCTGGTCATTGATAGGAGTCTTGACGGTTATGGTGCTCATCAACAAGTCTCCTAATTACGACCTTCACTCAATGACCTTTATACAAACCCGTCACATTCTTTAATCGTCACCTCGCAAGTAAATATATACCTACGTGATTGTTGTTCACCTTTCATTTCTCAAATTTTTCACCCAAGACCTAATACTGAGTCATCTCCCTTAACATGAGCGATCTGAAAACTCTTATACCCTTCATACCACGCAAAGTTACCACTCATGTTGAGACACGTGTTCCACTATTCCAACCTTTCATCTATTCCATACCCCTCAAAGTACACAAACATGTTCTTTGAATGAGCTCTGCGATCCACTCGTACGTCATCAGACACGTTCCTGTCCAGAAGAAAACCCTTACTCTCGCGCAGCAGCAACCAAAAGGTTTCCAGGGGAGGTACCCGAGTTATACCCTGTTGGTTTCCAGGGCGGTGAAATAGACGGATTTCTATCAAGCGGAAAGTCCGTTTCGGGTTTTACGTCTGTGAATGATGGAGCCGTGCCGCCGGCACCTGATTCTGGGGAAAGTACCGAGACCCAAGCCCCCAAGGGCTCTACCAAAACGCTATGGTCAAGGAAATGCTTTCACTGCAGAATACTTCTGGCACGGAAAGCTTCCGGAGGTAGGACGTTGGCCTGTGGAACGGGTACAAAGATTTTTCAATTCGGGACCCAAGTAACTATCTGGAGCTACGTCATAAGGCACCGCCTGCCGTTGTTCTTAGAACGGACCAGGACTTCGAGTACTCCAGAGAAGCAGTACAAGCGAAGTGCAGTACCACGTTTGACAGCGTCGATCTTAGCAGCTTTCAGCGGAGCATCTACGAGAACGCGGACGAGGCCCACTGGTATATGAATCACGGCCCAGGCGGTTTACCAGACTTCAACTGGACCGAGGAACGAGACAAATTCGAACTCGAACACCAGCAAACTCAAAGGCCGCTGGAACATACAGACCACTCTCCAAAAACACCGTCGGTCTCGCCGCTCACGTCACTACATCCTCCAAAAGCAGAAACAACACCAGTGATCGTTCCAAACGACTCTCCACTAACGCCATCGGAGTCATCACTGACAGATTCGCAACCCCCTAATTCGTCCGTGGAGATCCCAGCAAATACACCACAAATAGTCATCCCAGACGACTCGTGGCCGCACGGACTCGAGTTGAGAAGAAGTGAAAAGCAACTAGAAGCGCTCCTAAGAAAACCGCAGATAATGATTTGAAGATAGAGAAGGACGAATACTTTGAATCTCCTTGACCGACCATTGTCAAAAGGTCTTGAGCAAGATCTTCCGCTCTTCCTCTGTGCATGTACCGGCTGCTCAGGTATTTACCCTTTGGAAAGACGGAAGGGTAGGATCACGTCGGCTTCTCTCAAGCCATTGACGAGCAAGTTTCGTTGATTGCTAGGACACGGTCTAGGAGGAAACTGCCGCAGGTTGCCGCACAGCTATTCGTCCTGCTCAAATCCAAAACTGGAACTCTGCACACCATACACCGTTGAGCAAGAACACGTCTTTCACCTTTCTCAGCACCGCGGTATCATGGCCAGCGTCAAAGTTGCGGGGTAGGAGATGTAGGGGTTGGGGCAGGATTGCAAGACTTGCCCTCGCATGTTCTTACGGCGTCAAATATCCCCTGACCAGAAGTCTCGACGTTGGCGGATCTCTTGGCGCGCTCTCGACTTGTTGGTTTCATTTGTTTTGTCCACCTTCTTCCGGGTTTCTCCCACCTCTCTCGGCTTCGGTTATTTCGAACTGCACCCTCTATGTTCCAGCGAGTGCTATCTGAAGCCATAGCGCCTTTCCATACCATATCCCCAGCCTCTCCCGTGAACTTGGATATCTACTGCGATAAAGGGACCGACATGGATGTATTCAGCAGCGCCATGAGATCTTTCTCGGCCTACCTCTTCTGGTCAACTTGGAGCGTGTCAGGGTTGAGTGTGATAGCAGTGAATGTATGGAAGAATTGCAGGCCGCTCTACGAATTGATGGATCCCTGGGGCGGATCTCGAGATTGTGAGATTGAACAGCTCTGCCTGGAGGACGACTGGTCTACGGATTGAATGACGTCTGGTGAGTGGCACACCGCCCATCACAATCAAGTATCCATTCATCCATCAACTCGTCATACATCGATTCGAAGTGTCAACTTTTCATGATGACTGCCCATCCGCAACCATGGCTGTCAAACGGGTTATCGTCACCTTCTTCAAACGCCGACACGCTCTAACGCTGTTTACTACTCCACACTCATATGGGGAGTCGCTGCATACTGAGCTGACGAATCAGCGAGGACTGAATCGCAAACTAAACGTCACTTTCAGCGAACAATCTCGGACGCGACTGAGTGTGCATCGTACCAGCAAAGTTTCTATAACGAACAATAAGCTACCTGTGATGAAGACACTTTGCATTTTACGCGGGTGCTCTCGCGGCTAAGCTGTGGCAACGTCAATGCACGAAAGCTCAGGATATGCTCTTTGGAAAGTATACTTTCGCTATCGCAGATGAAGGCTCGCTTTACATTTACAAGGGAGTTATGTCTCGAGGAGAAAGATGACGCCTGTTTGGTTGTTACGTGGATGTATCGGCATTGTTATTAAACAATAGATGTACGCGCAACGGATGACGGTGGCACGGCCAACAGCTCTTTGATCTCGTAGAGATACCACCATCGTTCTCCCAGAGCGCTTCCAAGGGACTCCGACAGAACCCTTAGTGTGTGGCTCTATACCTAAAGGACGGATCAGCATGTGATTGAAGTATCCACTATCCGTGGCAACCGAGGCTACCTAACTTTGTCTTCACCCAACAGTGCCTGCTATCAGATTCATTTTCAACTTGCCTTGGTGTCTTCGATGGAACCTTGTACACCAAAGTGAAGCCAATACTGGCAAACAAGGTAGGGCAGCATATCATCCCTTTTGACCCAACCCTTGGCTCACTTCAGTCCAGCAATGCCTCGCTTGTATGGGTGGCACCTTACTCATGGCTGCGTCATTCACCCCATGCAGCCAAACTGTCACGGTCGCTGTACCTACGTCATCAGCATCTGATATTCCCACTATATAGCCAGCCAGTCCACGGCCAACAACACCACCGTCCATGGAGTGCTTCGCTAGAGAGCTGAAGGAGCTCAAGCCCAGCGTAATGTGCAACAAACAGCGTTCAGCAGTGATGCATGATCAGAGGCGCCAACTTCTGAGCTATATAACCTATACGAAAGCCGAAACCGACCACCTTGAGGGTCCTGATAATAACGTCCAAAATTCGCTTTGACGTCGTCTAGAACATGACATTCTTGACGTTTGTCGAGCTGGAAATAGCTCGTTTTTTTGAACGTAATCCCGTCTTGCTTGTAATCTTTCGACATGCTGTGAGCTTGAACCCGCAGAATATTCGGGCTACTTCCCCACAATTCCACATGTTCTCACAGCATGCTACCCGTCAAATGATTGTGTTGTTGACTTTTAGAAATGCATCACTGATAGGTCATAGTATTTGTCCATGATCACGTTGCAAGTACAGATCGCATGACTAGATTACACTTCTGCATGCATTGGAATGACGAAATGAGTAATATCTGTGTTGCACCTCATGTTCGTCGTGCAGGTGTTGGAAGAGCTTGTCTCTTAATTTTATTTTCCCTGAGGAGATTGTTTCTTTACACACCCCATCCTTGCACACTTGCCTCTTCCGGAACACATCTTCTAAACACAGTGTCTTTCCCCTCTTTGTAACCTCCCTCCACTAGAACTCCTAGAAGTTCATCCGCTAACACAGTGTCATTCCCCACTTTTAATCTCTTTCCAGACGCACCTCTGGATTCTTATACCACTTCTTGTGTTCCTCTTGCACATAATATCTTTCTTCTTGCATGCCACACAGTTCCAGCGTTCCTCCTGTACACAGCCTCTGTGTTCATAGATACGGGTCAAATCCCAAGAGCCATGGCACATTATCCTGGTGTCCCCTGGAACCTGCGGCCTGACTATCTCGCTTTGACCCAGCGTGTCGATCCAGCGGGAATAGTCACTACATACAGTAAGGCTTGAAGGAGTATCAAGCAGACTGCGTTGCTGACGATTATCAAGATCCTCCTCGTCCAGGCGTCTCTGCCACCGATGTCACGTCATTCGTCTATGGGTAAGCAGACTCTGCAGTCAAATCCTTTTAGCCATGGTAGTTGACAGTCTGCCGCAGTCAAGCAACAATCACCCGAGACAACTGGCCAGAGATCATGTACTACCTGCATCCAACCCCAGAGTGGGCCGCTTTTAGGGGTACCGCACAGCCACAGCAGAAGGTAGACGCCAATGGCCAGCCGATGGTTGAGCGCTTCCCACAACAAGGCCAGCCTCCACGGCCTCTCTTGGACTTTCGAATTTTGCCTGATACCGTGAGTCTTTACCTTATTACCTGAATTTAACACCAGCCTTGACACCTCTTACAGATATGCAGCCAAGAGGAATTATGGTGGATAGAGTTGTGGCGGCGCATGGATCCCCGTATGCACTGGGCAGACATCCTCATGCGCATTGAAGTGCCAAACCGGACTGAGGATTCGGATAAAAAGCTACAGAACAGCACCAACAACTTGATAAATCGCCAGGAGCATAGAAGGTATTTCATGCTCGCCTGGCACACCACCGGCATCAACTCAACAATGAGGGTCAATGAAGTGAGGTCTATGGTCACGCGCAGGGTTGCTGCGGCTCATCCACCTCTCCCTCCTAACAGTACACGTGGACTCACGCCTGGTTTGATCAACCCGCTGCTAGGGAATGTTCCTGGAAACAGTGTTCCTCAACCTGCTCTGGGACTCAATCAGGGTAGGCTACGTGTGGGTGGCCGAACACAAGTCACACAGGCAGCAGCAGCAAACCAAGCACTGACAAACGCGGCACAAGCAAACCCGCCACAGCTGAACCAGATACAAGGACACCCAGTGCAGAACAATCTTGCGCGTAACAACCATGGACGTGACAAACGGATACATAAGAAACGCCGTCGTACTAGTCCCGTGCAAAAAGGTCGACCGCCGAAACGTCAGGCCCAAAACCTCAACAAGGACACTGAGGACGACAATATGGACACTGAATCCGACCAAAGCAAGAGCTCAGAGGTACGAATAGACGCTCCAAAGTTCCTGCGGATCTTGCTGACGTGACTAAGGATATCCCGTTATCGGTTGCGAAGGCCCGCGCTCAGAAAGCCCGGACCCGAAAAGTCGCTAAGCCTACAACTGCTGTGGGGAAAGCCAAAGATGTCAAGAAAAAGCCAGACAAGAAGAAACTTGGTACAGCAAAGATGGCCGACCAGCAAGACAGCACCACCGATCCAGACTTATCCGAGCCTAACGATGATGAAGAAGACAACAACGAGGAAGGAGATTCTTCAGGTGGTCGATTCCTCATCGAAGGCGACACTGGCTTCGAGACTGCGTATCAAGCAAGCATACAGGCACGTCGCGAAGCTCGGGCTTCCGGACGTGCCCCTCGACGTCCCCCTCGCCCCGGCCGACGCCCCTCTGCGAACCCTCCCAATCGACGCACCCCTCACGTCTCGGTATCCGAACTTCTAGGTGACACCGAAGACTGCAATTTTGTGGCACCGGCTCTGAGACCTGACACCGAGACAGCCCCTCGAGCGTCAGCACCACCTACGCGTCCTACAGACGCACCCACTCCAGCACCCCACCGAAACATCAGTGCAATCACCGGCCTACCTTTTGCCGGACAGCATCGCCGTCCAGAAGCACTCTCCGGCTACGGTGACGGCCCGATGCGCCGCAGAACTTCGCCCGTGAGGGACTCTCGGGTCGCACAATCTACCAGCGTCCGCACCGCAGAGGACAACGATGGGCGCGAGACGGTCACGCCGACCTCCAACGCCGCCAGACTCGGGCTCCCCGTAGCCTCAGCGGATCGTCCCCCCCAAAGCTTCTACGCCCTCGGCCCCGACGGGTCGCACCACCATCACACCGACGGGTCCGGAACAGCAACCTACACCACACGTCCCGGACCGTCGTCAAACTCCCGCCTGGGATTCACCCCGAACCAGCGCGCACAAGCACAAGCACAAGCACAAGCACAGGCACAAGCACAAGCACAAGCACAAGCACAAGCACAAGCACAAGCACAAGCACAAGCACAAGCACAAGCACAAGCACAAGCACAAGCACAAACACAGAACAGCGCCCCGCCCCCAAACTCCGGCGGGAATGCCGCTCAGCCAGTAGGTCCTTCCGCCCCAACCGGCAGGGTTTACAACCCCACTGATACTGATACGACCAGACAGGCCACCCGGAGCCCCGCCGGCGCCCCCACCGGTCAGCGCGACCCCACACCCACCCAGCGAACGGGCCGGCTGACAGACGAAATAGCACGGCATAACGACGCCCTGATCGAAGAGATCCACCGGCGCGAGCGGTGGCCGAGGCACGAGTTGGGCCGCCACACCCGTGCCGTTTTTGAGATCATGAGGGGCGGGGAGCCGTCGTACGCGGAGGGCTTTCTGGAGCGGGAGGATGAGAGGGAGAGGAGGGAGAGGGAACCTTCTTCGGATGATGAATGAAGGGGGGGTGGGGGGTTTACTTTCTTCTGTTATTGCATCTGAAGCCTGTTGATTGGAGGTTTTTATTCTGGCTGGTCCCTTTTGGTCGAAACATTTGACGGGCATCACCAGCAGGCAAAATCGGTAGAGAGGATGCACTGTGGTGGTTGCTCCGACTTTCTTTTCTTTTGCAGAGACTAGATACTATTTCACTCCAGATAGAATACAAACTTGATCTACACAACCTTTCAGGGAGAGCCTACGCTAGCTAACTTGCTCGTTGCATAGGCTTTTTGCCATAGATTCCGTAACTGTATACAGCGCAGGAGCTCATTCTGGAAATTCTGGTCTTGGATAATGATCTCCAGGTGTCCAGCCGGAGTGCTGGGTGCCCACAACATCATATTTGGTCACGTGCCGGGCTAAGGCTCACTTCTTTTGCTGTCCAAACTTACCTTACATCTTCACCCAATCCGCCAATCTTTTCAGGTATATCGCTATAGATATATACTACGTTTGAGTAATAATAGCATAGAAAGGGGACATCTCGCCTCTACCTCTTCACCCGATCCATCGACTTGTTCAGGTATGCCGCCACAGGTATATACCACCTATGAATCAGGATGAGCAGAACCCACCAACCTGTTCAGATATATCGCCATAGACATTACCACTTCTGAATCAGTGAGCAGAACCCACAAACCTATTCAGGTATATCGCCATAGGTGTGTGTCACTTCTGAATCAGGATGAGCATGACACCTTGCCTTACCTCTTCACCCAATCCACCAACCTATGTAGGTATATCGCCATAGATGATTGTCACTTCTGAATCAGGATAAGCAAGAACCGTGTGAGACTTCAACACCTCGAAGTCGCAACAACACCTACCTCGAAGTCGAAACTAGCTTAGCAAGCTTTTCAAGTTCCGATCTTCTTCCTACTTCTCACTACTCTCTTCAGACATTCACAACAGTTTCCAAAACATACCGCTTCACCACCAAAATGGCAAACGCAGTAGTTCCTTGGGACCGACGTCCTGAATATCTGGCGTACACTGATTGGACTCCTGTCCCTGGGGTCACGTCGTACGGTAAGCACAGAAATCCGGCTGTCTGAAAGTATAGGTGCTGAATGGCGGACCTATAGCTGCACCGCGCAACGGCACCGGAACCAACGTGACACAATTCCATCCTGGGTAAGAAGCTCAGATCTGGCTAGAGCCATAACTATGCTAATGACGGTAAAGACAAGCATTTCTGTCGGAATACAACCTGCCTGACGTGAGTTCTCCGTTGTTGCCATGTTCCGAACCTGCTGACGATGTCCTAGATAATGTATCAGCTTCACCCTTGTGCAGAATGGAGGCGTTTCAAAGACTCGCCCCTTCCAGAGCCAAAGTACAATCCCGACGGTACTGTGGTATACGAACAGTGGACGAGACCTGGACAGGGACGTCGACCACTGCTCGATTTCAAGTTACTACCTGACAAGGCAAGCTTCATCGTCGCAAATGCTGTATTCGACGATGTGCTGACATCTCTAGATCTCCACCGAGGAAGCTTGGTGGTATCATGAATTTGTTCGTCGAATGGACCCTAGGATTCGCCAGCGCGACATCATCATGAGGGAAGAAGTCTCAGCAGAGAGATTGAGGATGACCGATCAAGGTTACATCAATATCCATCTCAATACTCCAGGCTACCGCACTTATCGCCCCGCATGGAAGATGATCGCATGGCACGTGACGGCAGGATCAGGCTCCGGCGAAGAATCCAGAACGCTGAACGATAGGAAGCGGAGGGTGTTAGATAGCCTGACGGACGCACAGAAAGACGCAAATACAACCCGTGGGAACACGCCTGGCCTCATTGACCCAGCTCTGGGTGAAGTTTCCGGAAACAGGGTTGCTCTGCCGGACTTGGTATTGAGGAAGCGAGGCCCAAGACGTGCTAACGTAAACGTAAGCAACACCCCGGCTACACAGCTGGCACAGTCTGCACAGGTTCCGCAGACTCCGCAAGCTCCTCAAGCTCCTCCTCAAGCTCCTCAAGCTCACGAAGCTCCCCAGGCCCCACAAGCCTCACATCTGTATCAGAACCAGCAATTTCCACAATCTTCACGAGCTAGCAGCGCCAATATCGCTACAGCGCAGTTCCCTGTGGCCTCGGCGCGTATGGGTTCTTCATCTCAGGACTTTGCCACTATGGCAGCTGTACCGGTACTTCGATCTCTCGCTTGCAATTTTAAAGGCGGACAGCTGACTTGGCGTTCTAGAGGCAGAATGATCTTCGAGGATACGCAAATGCACAAGCCCGCGACGCAGCCGCTATGCCACCACCACCCCTTCCTCATAAACCTCGGAACGGAAAGTTCTCTCATCCTCAAAAGTTTGGTCCACATCCAGATCCACCATACTCCACCAACCGGCAACCAGAGTTTGATGATACCCAAGCCAGTTTTATGGTAGTAGAGGACTTTAGGGCGACGGCGACGTTCGATCATGTGCCCCGACTCGAACATCAATTCATGAGTGACGAGGAGATCGCCACAATGTCTGCCAAATCTGACGAAGCTATGGCGGAGATCCTCTGGATGTGCGAGCCTTTTCTTGGCCCGGTTTCCAAACTTCAGGGCCCGCCACCCATGGACGTGAGTGCAGAGCCACCGGTGCTGATTGAAGACTTGGAAATGAGCTTCATGTTGCCAATTCAGGCAGGCGGAAGAGTGCGAGGGAAGTGGAATGAGGACGCGATGCCACATCCGGCGCAGAGCATGCACGCCCGGGATATGGCACAACGAACAACGCCCAGGCTTTCAGAGAAGCAAGGCACAAAGCGGAAAGAGTGCGATGGTGGAAACGAAAACCTTCGACACCTACAACTCGATGTTGAGAGGCAAGAGCGCCGCCCCATAAAGCGGGTGAAGTCGGTGCACAATGCCAACCTCCAGTATATAAATACAGCGTCCTACCATGATGCTGCACATGATGCGCAGCAACAGCACTTTGATCCTCATCCTCAGCTTGGAGACTATCAGTCCGGATACCTTCATAGGCAAACTTTCAGCGGGTCTGCTTTGCAAGGTGCCCGAGCTCCTCGGTATGGCTCGTTTGAAGATGTCGATCCATACACTTGCGGCGCTCCATCTGAGGGCGAGTACGGTAGGACGATTGGGCAACAACCTAACCAAGTCGTCAAACCATACCAACCCCAGTACTACCCTGTAACGTCGTTCAGGCCGAACGTGCCTGATCACCAGCCACGCCGCCAACGATCTGTGGCTTCGCCCTACATACCCGTCTTCACGGCAAAAGATCAGAATCCTGGTCATCAAACCTCAACTCTACAGCCTAGAGGCTTGTAGGGTTATTCGCTCATGGTGATATCCAAGCTGGCCAGGCATTGGGACATCCATCTTCCATGGCCCCATCCATTTCCAACGCACATATTATCAGCCACGAGTCCGCAACGGTGCGGCCTGGATCAAGAGCCGATCGTGAGCATCATAGGGCACCCTTGGAACGTGTCAGCAACGATCATCGACTCCATCCTCATGCGAGCTCTAGGAACGGTCATGCCTAGAGCATGGATGTCTAACAGATGCGACAGTCCGTGGGCGAAGATCAGCTTCTACCAGCATGTATTCCAGGAGCCCAAGTTGAAGATGTAAATGTTCCTGATACAATACACAGCTCATTAAAGCATACTTTGCCTCCGAATGGTGTCGCAGATTTTCCACTCGATCCATATTTGGACAACATGGTCGTCTACTCAAATAGCGACCCAGAGCAAGGCTTTGATTTCGAGGCAACACAACAAGCTCGGGACTGGCCCTCGAGAGGATGATCGCAAAGTTTTTTTAGAAATAAATGCAACGCCTCTCTTCACGCCTAGGTCATGTCTATGACTGGCAACACAATTGCAGTATGGAGAATGAAGCACTCCAATTTCTTTGCGGAAGTCGGAAGCCGAGTGTCTATACATCCACCCGCCCTTCCAACTTCCACGATGCACAATCGCAGCGAACCCATTCCATGCCAAAGTTGGCTCGGCTTTCTCTACTCGACAGGCTCTCAGGTCGAGCGAGGCTTCCGAGGGTCTCACGGATGTCCGACGTGCTTTGGATTCAATGGCCGTATATAGCAGAGCCGGGGAATACACCAGAAAATTTGAGTCAGGAATTCCAAGGAAAACTGGAGTCGGATTAATGTTTTACCGAGAGCCGGGCAAACACCGACGTGCCGACCTCGAAGGAATTTCAGGGGTAACAAGCAGTCCACTTTCTCCAGTATATCTGAATGCAATTAAAGAACATTGTCACAGTACAAGTGCTTGTAGAAACCATGTTAGCTCGCGGATGGAGCAAATCTAGGTGTCTTGGTTGGCATATAGAAGATTGGAAGCCGGCCAAGCTTATGGTTCCTCCCGAAGAGCCTGAGGGTGTGCATGAACCGGCTGGTCATTTACGTGCAGTGGACGGCCTTAAAAAAGGAGCCTTGAGCGAGGCCGCTAGACGCAGAGATCTAAGTACTCTCGATCTATGTCATTGATGGCAAGAGAGCCCTGTATACTGGCTCGATGGATCATCTACGATGAGACTTGAAGGCATTGGCAGCATTGTTGAGCAACATTGAGGCGTTCTGAGGGACTGCAATGGGAGGTATCACTAGCAATGGAAACACATGGGAGAGTTACTGGCCAGCAGAAAACAGCAGTTCCATTCTCTTCATGCGAGCACACTACTCTCCTCCAAGCTATCACAAACAGCGGTCTCCAAGCCAGACGATCCCGTCCATCCACCATTTCCATCTCGATCCCATGTGGTAGCTAGCCCGGCTTCGGTATAGTCAGAGAGGACGCGTAGAGAGGGGGGGACCTTTCTCCAGCCATGAAAGCCGTCAGCATTCATCCTCAATCCATTACGACCACAGCCGTCTCTGATCAATATAATCACATCAAGATCCTCAGCCTATGGCCACGTACCGGCCGGACCTGCGCACGGATCCAGCCACGAGTTCCACACATTTGTTGCCCAGATGGCCGTCGGCTCACCGCCGGCAAGCATTTCGGGGTATATGTCGTTCGTGGCCCGTAAGTGCGCGACCAAGCCGCCACAGTCCATGTTTTGAAGGCCGCTCGATGTTCCGATTACTTGCCCGATCGTTTGATCGTCGGGAATTGTGCCGTCTTCGAATTTGACGTAGATTTTTAGGGCGCAGGCGAGTTGACATTCATAGAGGGTGAAGGGGACGCCGCGCCAGGCGATGTGGAGGGGTGCGTTGGCTGACATGGTGGTAAAGGGTGAAGGTAAAGATGTTTGTGGTGTGTAGCTCTTCGTTTGAGGTGTGCGGTGTGGTGTATGTGATGTGGTGTTTGGATCAAAGGTGTGTGGAAGAGGTGGGTGGATTGAGGTAAGATGTACGTGTTGTCGCCACAGTCAAAACCCTCAAGTCAGGAGTTTTTAACAAGCAGGAGCTCCGGAGCTAGTACTTCTGCTTCACTGCCTAGGCGGGTAACCGGTAAAGGGGTGAATAACACCGGTCAACATTCACTATGTTGTATCACCATTTGGGCCGACTGCGTGCAAAGCAGGGAAACAGACCTTATTGTCACTATGTTCACATTACGGTCCAGCTGGTACCCACAACATGGTAATGAATGTGGCCAGTTTACTGCCTATGTCTCATAGCTCCGATCGGTAGCCTGCAAAACAGTAACTACTACATCTCAATTTCAGACCACTGTCCAGGCCGGCAGCCTGCATAATCAAGAATTTTCATATCGTAGCAAAGGTTAAAAAGCTTTTGTGTACTCCGTCACTTGGAACAGGGCCTTTGACTGGCAGTACTATTCCTACAACCAGGAGTTAATGTGTTAGTACTCGTATTGCTATCTAAGCTGGTATTTCGCAGAAGCGTGAAGTTCTGGCTTAGCGTCACTGCGCTCTTATTACTTCTTAATATTGGCGGACGGAAATACGCGGAATTTTCCGATCGGTGTCACTGTCTTTGCCTTATTCTCTCAGATGAAGATCTGCAAAAGGGTGAAGAGTTTGGGACAAAGTCACTGCGTCTAAAACACTCCTTACGTGCGGAAGTTAAGCGTGAAGAGTTCGGGATAAAATCACTGTCTTTCTTTGCATCACCTTGGAATGTTTGAAAGTCAGGAGTGGTGAATAGTGAAAGTCAGCGTCGCTCTGAAGGGTCAGTCAGATTATTCGAACAACACCCTCAATCGATACCACATATTAAAGTCTTTGAGACTACCATCTTGGTAGCCTTCTGCCTCTGTATCTCTTTGGTATACATTCTTTATAGCACATAGCTATAAAATAATATACCGTCCTGGTGATAATGACATTGCTCAGTTCAATGTACACCGGCCACCACTAGCTTTCCTCAAGATGGATTTCTGGCTACAGCACTTCTTCAGCTCAAGCTATGCTAAAAGTAGCCCCTTCATTTGCGGGATGTTTCAGAAGCCCTCCTGAGATCATCAGGCTCAAGCTGGTGGCTTTCATAGCTTTCGTAGACTTCCTCAACTCTCGCCATGTGTCTTCAGGATTTTCCTGTTTCACAACCAAACGTTTTGAGAGTGTGAGCAGTGCAAGAGAAGAACGTCTCTGGTATTTCGGGATTCTCTGTGCACGGTCGCCGCTGACACCTTGGAATTTCTCCTAACGCTGGGACACGGCGATTCCGGGGCGAGAGCGCCGCCTCTATCGAAGGCAGCTAAGCCCTTTGCGCGTCTCAGGACGCCGATCTCGTCCTTCGCAATGCCAAGGATACACGTCCTAGTGCCGCTGTGGATGTCTTGGCATTTTGCTATGCAGCTGGAGGCATTTAGCGTCTGTCACTCGTATCTCGGTCTTGCTTCCGATTGGTAAGAAGACAAAGCGGGGCTTCTCACCTGTATGATACCGCTGGTGGCGGGAAGGAAACACATATAAGCAATGCGGAATCATTAGAGAGACTCTGGGCCACTTGGCAAAGGTCGAGAAGAGTTGGAACAGTTCGTCTCGAGTAGGGTCCAACTTCAAATAGTGCCCTGCTTTTGAGTTCAAAGAAGCTATCTATTGCAGAATATCCGCTCAAGCAAAAGGAATAATGAACGAAGCCATCTTTTCAGAACGGAATTCATGCCCAACAAAGCCGCCATTATTCATTGTATATTCTAGAGCATTCAAGGCTCAATGCCTAGTTAATTTCTTGATCCAAATCGATGACAGCCTCCTACAACACACACGGCCTGACTGGGCCTAGCGCGGCTGGGCACTACCTACACACACACACAGGCTTCACAGCTAACACAGACCTCCTCATAGCTATTTTGTTCTCACGCTGCAGTTTCAGAAGCATGGCTACTCTATCCATCGGAACATGTCTCCTGCTTCGAATGGCGAGTCTTGTCCTACGTATAGATTTTCCCAGGGCTTTCAGTCGTTCTCACGGTCGGAAGGTTCTGTGAGGATAGCTCGTAGAACAGTTTGCTCGTGTAGCTAAGCTAGCTGTGTGAGTGAATACTTGGCGGAGTAGTCGATGCCTCTCATGGCGGAATATGCGGCTATCTGGGTGTCAACGGGTAGAGTCTTCTGACACAACCCGTTCCCGGCTCCATTGGGTCTAGTCTAGGGCTCTCCCTCTTCCGATTGGCCATCGGCCTGTACTTTATGCAGCTCGAGCTTGGGGCTAGCTGCTCTGCGTGTTGACGGGCTTTTGGAGCATCACGTATTTAATCACCTACCTGCATGACGTTCTCCTTCCTCCATCACAGAGTCCACACTTGGAAACATTCATTGAATCTGCACTATTTGCTTCCATTGCTTCCAGTACTGCTCCTTTCTCCTACGAATATATCTTAGTGACACACAGACAAGCTCACTCACAACAACCACTATTTCTTCATTGAAGTCTTTGACCGTTGACCTGAAGGCTCGTAGCCATTGTTCCAAGTCCTATCCTTTCTACCAAATTATCATCTGGCAGCTTGCAAACCTTGGACAACGGCAGCAATAGACGACTTGACGTCCTACTGGCACTTGGACACACATTGTAAGTTGACATAACATTCCTCTCCACCCTTCCACATTATGGGTCTTTTTCGGCGCTGGGCGTTGTCAAATTTGCGGATCTGGAAGATAATCGACTTTCGGCGCCCGTTCAACACTTCTTGACCAGAGGTCACAGAAAGGACCTTCTCTGGCTTTATTCCACCCCGCCTTTCAATATCACAACAAACGACCTTTGTCACTTCGCTTGATCCAATACGATTGTGTACTTTCACAAAGCTAATTCGATTTCTAGACGGCCCAACCACGCACACATAATGGAAGATTTTGAGCGCCTCCTCAGGCTTGGTTTACCCTTGGATAGGGTGGAGTATATTGTCTCTGCTCGTCAGCCGGTCAAACACCTTATGCTCCTTGGCCTGCCCAAGAAGACAATTAGGAGTGTCTGGGTTGGTAGTGAATCCTGTGCCTTCAAGGGTAGTAAGTCATCTAGTCATCTCTAAGACGCTTGCTCTTCTTGCTAATTCCAAGTATTAGCTGGGCATAGACGAAATGTTACAGACCTGCGTGGCCACCACCTCACACAAAAGAAGCGGCGTTTGAACTACGCATCAAAGGACCCTGCTGCCGTGGCTCGAGAGGCGTGCGGAGATTTGCATCATAAACGATCCAAGATATTATTTGGCTCCAAATTCATCCCTCTTCCGGGCGAGACGACGGGCAAGCAAGTCACACAAGTCTGTGAACCGCGGGAGGCTTTCCAGCCTAGAAAGTCTCGCTTTTCTCCCGAAGTTGATATGAACAACTCTAAAGCTGTCTCTGAAGAAGATTTCAAACAGATGGAAGATTTTTACAGCCATCTCTTACGTCTCAAGGATGGTGATATGAACGTGGTTGACTTCGATCAGTTCGACTTCGATCAAGCTGAATCCGATCAGAATGACTTCGACCAGGTTGACTTTGATCAGGCTGACGCCGATCAGTATATAAATACCGGTAGCTCCAATCAGGGACAGGCTAGTTCCGAAAAGGAAGTCGCCGCCTCTACCACAGAGGGTCCAGACGACTATGACATTGAGATGGCCAAGGCCGAAGAGGAGGGTTTGTTCGAAGAGCAACCCGAGCCAACTCCTCAAACCCCTGGCCTGCCTGTCTTCTTGGCCGCTGTCAATAGGGAGCCCGAGAGACAGACGAAACGAAAGCGGGAGACCGTGTCCTCTCCCGAACTACCCACGTCCGATCTGCCTGGTGAAGCCAACCACAGCGAGAAGCGAAGGAAGCTACAGGCAGACACCGACTTTCCTCAAGTCCCAGCACCCGGGCTGCGGAAGAAGGGGAGAAAGGAACATGGGGGCAAACTCGAACCCCACCTCCTCTTTCTCCGGAGCAGCGCTCTTGCCGCTGTAGCCCAAGCGGTCGAAGCGGCCGGAGCCGTCGAAACACCGCAGGAGGACAGCCCCGACACTCCTGAGCTGGACTCTCTTGATCTTGAGTTACTGGGAGAAGAACCTAGTAACTCGGAGCAGACACATCCTTCGGTCAGCAAAGATCTCAAAACGATCATAGCTGAGGAGATGTATCCCCTGGTCAGCCACGACGACCTCCGTGTTGTGAGTGCAGCTGCGAATCTCCTGGATACCGACCAGGGCAATTTCAATGTCGCCAAGCTAGACTCAAAAGACCGAGAAGCTTTGAAAAAGGCTTTCGGCAATCCAGGTGGGTTGCAGCCATCGGTACACACGGAGAAGATCCCACGCACCGTGACTTTCAGCGACCGCTGTTATATCAACAAGTCATTGATGAAGCGTCATGGCCACACCAAGAAGTTCAAGGCCTACGACAAGGTGATTGGGCCCTCGAAGGAATTTCAATCCTTCTTCGCGACACGACGTCCGCGCACAGAGCCCGGCGCTAGGCTTGGAGCGGAATTTGTCGCCAAGAGCTTGCTGGATGTAAGTAAGCCACACCGGTTCCCTCAGTGAAAAAATGGAGCCTTCTACTAACGATATGTCCAGGGACAGAAGTCGCCGCTCAAAAGGCTCGTACGGGACTCACAGAAGTCCAACGATGCGCGCCGTAGGCAACAGTTTTCTCTGCCTGAGGCCAAGGTCAAGAAGGTCAAGAAGGTCTCCGCTAAAGACCGGAGAAAAATTGCCGTGATGAAGAAATCGGGCCTCAACGCGAAGAAAGAGTGAGCGCCTTGTTGCAAGGTGCTTTGCAGCAAGCCATTGGTCGCCTGTGGGCATTTTTGATCCCGTACTCCAAACAGGTTCACTACCACAAAGTCTGGCCTTTCGATCGAGGCTCCCATTCCGTATTGTCGCTTTTCCAGCCGGACACATCTTCAGCACCACTTACGCCTTCCTCGCGACGACTCGATGGACCCCCCTCTCAACATCCCTCATGAACAGCACGCCATCACCTTCCCGCTTTAGCTTGGCTTAGGTGCGTATCGCCGTCGAGCATCGTCACCGTTTGTCACTTTGAAGAGAACTGTATCACAACTATTATATATTCTACACCCTCGATACGACAAGAATGTCATGGGAGGAGGAGAACGCCCCCAATCTTGGAATCAACAAGCATTCTTGTACCCACAGAGCCCGATGCAGGAGGTTTTGCACTGCATGAGGGTTTGTCGGCATTAGTGTTTCCAATCATTTGGAGAGGGGACAGTGGTATACTCAAACAACAACAAGATGTTCTGACCCGACTAGCTTTGCTGTCATTGGTGACAACAACTCTTTCGTTATTTCGGCCCGATGCAGGAAGTTTTGCACTGCATGAGGTTTTGCCGACATAGCCGTTTCCAGTCGAGTGAAGACTGTGATGGGCGTTGGGCTTTCTGCAAGGAAAACAAGTGATCAAGATTGGAGTAATTCCGCATTGGTCTTTTGTCAAGCGAGCGAGTCTTACGAGCGTTAAAGACCAGCTGTTCTTCTTTTGTATACCTTTGCCATGGATGATGGTAGTCCTTTGACCACTTCTCGGAGGTAGCTAGCATGTCGAATGATCTAGAAAAGTCAGAACTCAAGCAGCAGCTTAGCAACAAAAGGGACAGCTCAACCTCACAGCAAGCCTGCATACATAGAAAATCAAACTCTTTACTCCATTAGCCACCTCTCCAAATAAGAGTAAGTCATGCACATGGGGGTTCTCAAAAAATTGCCCAAGTCCCACTGAGGCAAATCTGCCGACCGCACTGTGACACTTGGAATTCCTCTCCATCTACGCATGACTTGTGACCCATCAGTCAAAGCGAAGCATCCATCTCATCGATGCTAAAACGGTGCTATGCCATCGAAGTGCGTGGAAGAGCGGTGTTGTCAGGCACTGCGGCGATGGTGTCCAGTAGATCATCACGTGATGTGAAGTCTTGGCACCCATTCCCCAGACACTTAGGTTCTCAGGGGCATCGCGGCATGGCGCATCTCCCCCATGCCTACTTTAATTTGGACTGGCAAGGAGCCTTGGAATTGGAAATTTTATGCACTTCTAATTTTCCTTGTCGACGGGTTCAAGCTTTACTCGTATTCACTAGGATTTGCAATCTACTAGGATTTGCAATCTTTAAAATCTGATTCTTATAATTTAATATGTGCTGGGGCGCGGGCTTCCCAGTAGTGAAAAGCTTGCCGAGTACTGGTTTTTACCTAGTATTTTTGATTCTCAGGGAGATCCCCTAAAACCCCTCGGACCCTTCGGGGGCTCTTTAAGGGCTCTTCGAGAGCTTCTGTCGAGGGGCTGTCAAAGTAAGCTCGAAATTTGATTATTTTAGTGATATTTGATTGATTTCGAGCTTGCTTTGATAGCCCCTCGATAGAAGCTCTCGGAGAGCCCTTAAAGAGCTCCGAAGGGTTTAAGGGATTTTAAAGGATCTAACCCTGAGAATCGAGAGAGGTATTATATTTCACTAAGAATCGAGAGAGACGTTGTAATTTATTTGATATACTCAGGGGGAGACCCCCTGAAACCCCTCTAACCCTTCGGGGGCTCTTCGAGGGCTCTTCGAGGGCTTTTGCCGGAGGGGCTCTTCTCGCAAGCTCGATGTTAAGGAATCATTATGGTTTGAATCATATATGTGTGTGTTGTAAAAGATTTTGATTATCTATGTGGTCTGCAGGCAGATATGTGCGGTGCCAAGCCTACGCTAGTGGCCCTATGAGTATCCCTGAGGCATCTCATGACAATTGCCCACAAAAAACAGAGAAATGCCATGTCCTCATGGCAAGAAGTATGCATGCATGAATGAGTGAGTTTTCGAAATGCCGGAAAGGAATGGAGACACCAGGCCAATTAGTGGTGTGAATCCCATAAGTTCTCCTGCCGCAGTGAAAGCCTTTCGAATAGTAAAATGGATGTTGAAGCAAGACATCGGACGGTTTCAATTCGTCCAAATATGCATCGTCCGATGTGACCCTTGCCTGCAGAGGTCCAATTGCCATAGCCATAGTGATTTGGCTGTGACCGTCGTAGTAGATCCTTCTCTTGTATGCTCAACTCAGTGATTGTGTGCCACAATAGTGCAGCGGAGATGATAGGCCAAATTGCAGTGATGTTCTCCTGCTGAGTGGTGGTTTGACGTGGAATCGTAGAGAGCATATGACGTGGGGTCTTGGAGAGCTGAGCCGTGTTCTTGATGATGGTGGCCGTGTTGTCGCTTGGTTTCTCCGCAGTGTTCTCCGCATTTGCCTGTTGTAGTGACTCCTCCTCTTGTTCAACTGAGTGCTCTGGCTGAGTGGCTGACTGAGTGGCTTTTAGAGACCTCTTGTATTGCTGGCGAGTCTTCTGATTCCGATGCTTCTTCTTCTGCTGTGTTGCACGTACAAATGGACACTCCGGTGATCGAGTAGCGTGGAAATCAAATGGATTGTCACTATCCCAGTCACAAGGATCAAGACCGCATAGTGAGCACACAGTGAGATCCGGAGATGGAAAAGTAGGGTCGAATTCTCGATGAAAGCCAGCACGGGCTACGTCAGAGGCACTTGGATATACGTGTGGCCATGACGTGAATGAGGCAAGTCTTGCAGCGTATGAGTTCATTGTGATATCGACAGGCCTATTGAAAGGATCGATTTGGACGGTGTCAAAAGGTACTCGATGACTGCGAGTGTGTTGGAGGTCCGGCTTGGAGCGTCACACTATTAGGTGCTGATGTGGGCTTTGCGTAAACGTCTGATGACGCCTGGATATCCTATGAAGTAGGGCCAGGTGTTGCTACCAATTGTTAAGGAATCATTATGGTTTGAATCATATATGTGTGTGTAGTAAAAGATGTTGATTATCTATGTGGTCTGCAGGCAGATATGTGCGGTGCCAAGCCTACGCTAGTGGCCCTATGAGTATCCCTGAGGCATCTCATGACACTCGATAATTTGAATAAAAATCTTATTTTTTAGTATATCTTTACGAATACTTTATTAAATTTCGTCTTTGCTACTTTATTTGAAAGCGTATAATTAACTCTATAAATCTATAAATTTATTTTATTATTATTTATTACGTAACGTTAAAGGAATTAAATAGAATAAATTAATAAAGTTAATATTCGAGGTTTAGCTTTATGGTGCTTTCTCTTTTGAACGTACCCGTGTTTAGAACGAGAATAAAGAAATAAGGTGTGTTTTAGACTAGAAATCGTGGAATTCGAGGATCTGATTGGTCACTAGCCTCTTAGCGTAGAAGCCATTTAGGATTTCAAGTCTTGAGTATTAAGAAAGCAAGCTTTCCAATTATTTCGCAACAATATAATTTAAAACCAGAAAAAAAACTTAAAAAAATATAAAATATAATTATTATAATTATAATTTTTTTTGTAATTAAGCTTAAATTGATAAAGTTATATAGTAATATATTAAGATATAGTTATTAAAGTTTATTACGCTATTATATTAATTAATTACTATTATCTCAATTTTAAAAATTCTTAAAAATATTAAAATCGCATTTCATATTCTTTAAGATTTTTTTTTCGAGTTTTTTATTATAATGTTGTGGAATAATAATTTATAAAGATTAAGTTTTAGAGATTGCAAATCCTAGTAGATTGCAAATCCTAGTGAATACGAGTATCGAGAGTATCCTGCAGAATTATAGTAGATGAGTGGTCCAGCTCTACGAATTCTATCTTACTTTACCAGCCGGTATGAAAGCATGCTAGGCAATAGAATCGTTCGGTGTTTGGTTCTCAAAATCAGATCACTAGAAGGGTCGGCGCTAGATGATCGAGAACTAGTGTACATATCTCTCTGTCAATAAAGTGGCCTTTTGTCTGTTGAGGAAGGCAATCGCCGGATGCGTCGAACGCGCTTGGCAGCAAAGATGTACAATGTTTTCGCACTTAATGTAAGAATCATGTTCGCATCTTCCCAATTAAATGCCTTGACTTATTGATCGCCTAAGTCTCGATGGCTCGTATAGGTATATTGCGTTCGGCCTTAGTCGCCGTAGTGGGACCGGGGATTGGTGGGACATATGATCTTACCTCTATTTCAAATACTATATCAGCGGTCGGAGACAGGACCAGCTACATATCCACCTGTTCTGCACCTCCAAGTGGCCCTTCGTTCGATTTCCTCTCTTCCAGAGCCATTGCATTATTTGGTGCCCAACCTGCACGGCATGTAGGCTAAGTCGCTACGGTGTCAATTTTTTACAAGAGCTAATTCAGTTACAGGCATGTGAGCGTCAAGATCATAGGCATTGAGTGAGCTGGTAGTCTTTCCCTCTATCTTACGCGGGTTTTGAGTTCGAATGAGGCTAGCGAGGACGGATGTGATAATCAGGGCTACACAGGCTACCAAGGCGCGTGGCTGGCAAGATCACAAGGCTATCGAGGTACACGGCTGTCAAAGGCACACGGCAGGCAAGAGCACACGGCTGTTGAGGAATATGGCTATCGAGGTACACGGCTATCGGAGTACACGGCTGTCAGAGCATACTCCCCCACAATCATAACATCCAAAATACGACTCCTAGGCCCACGGCCATCGCAAGGATCTCTCCAGGCTCGCGGCCACGTCACGGTATATGAATGGGACTTCAAAGCATACTGCTATCTTCTAGACCCACAAACGGCTAGCAGGGTATACGTTCAGCAGAGCTATCGGCCGCAGAGCACTCGGCCCACTGCATTCTAAAGGATAGAATTCGAGTCACACAGCCAGCAGACAGCCTACGTCAACGTGAGACT